ATAGTTTATAAGTTCTTTTATTAGTAGGTAATAGAACTAAGAAATATAGATATATTCTGGATTAATATTATTATTCTTATTTCTATTATAGTACCTATAATAAATTCGTTCTCTTGGTTCTAGGTCTATATTATAAGCTATATTAACTTAAATAGTATTTTCTAACTATACTTAAAACTAATTTCCTTTAGAATATAATTATTCAGACTCTTTATTTATTCTAGTTTAATTACTATAGCTGCTATAGTATTCTTTATAACTTCTATTATAATTTCTAGTATATTTTCCCTAAAAACTCGAATTATATTTACTAGGCTATTAATACTATTATACTTATTATAGTTAGCTAGGTTATATAAGCAGGCTATAAATATTCTCCCAAATTATAATAGCGGCTATATTAAGTTATTTTTATAGGTTCTCTTAAGTTATAGTAATAATAAATAGTTTTTCTAGACTTCTTACTAGCTAGTTAATATTATCTTTTTTGGGTTTACTACTTTTAGTAAGTTTTATATAATTAGCTATAGGCTGGGTTCTTTTCTTATTTATACTTATAATAGCTTTAAGAAATATAATAGGAGAAACCGGTAAGAAATAATTATTTTCTGGTTTAGGAACTATATTATAGACTACTATATTCAAGTATTCTTATCTAAATCTAGATATATCTGGATTATTAGTAATATTAAAATAATATTTCTTCTTTTTATACTAATAGGATATTATTATCTTTTTATATATCTTATTATATTTATAAGTAGAAATATTTATAGGCTCGAAATTCGTATTTTTAAGAATATAATTTCTTACTAGAATAAATAATTCCCTTATAAATTCTCGGTACTAAGTGATTTTATCTATTTCTTTTTTCTTTAGTAATTTCTTTAATACTTTATTAAATATATTAATATAAGACTTAAACGAGATTTCTTTATTTTAAGCTTATATAATAATCTAATTAAAAAAATCGCAGCTAATTTTAAATATTTCCCAGTTATATTCTCGGAATTCCTTTAGTAAGGCCTTAAAGAACTTAGTCTTCTAGTAATCTCCCGGATTATTAGTATAGTACTCTAGTATAGCCTTAATCTAATTCTTATAAATAGGAGAAATATAATAAATAATTCTCTTTCTTTTAGTATTATTAGAAATATAATAGTTCTTATATATATCTATATATTATTCCAAGAATATAAAGATATTATTTCCCTAAAACCATAATATTTCAGAAACTCCCGTAAATAGCAGGTTTAAACCCGGTACTAGTATATACTTATTCTTAGCTATATTAATCTTAATAATTTTTTCTATAGTTAATTATAGAGTTTCTATACCTGAGACTTCTACTAATAAGGTTTCTAAAGAACTAACTTCCTATTTAAGTATATCTTTTAGTTTGGAAACCGGAATTAGGGAGAAACCGGTTAATAATAATAGATATAGTTAAAGTTCGAGTTTTAGTATTAGTAATAATAAGGTAATAGCTTTTCTAGTCTTATTTCTATTATTTATATTCTCTTTCCTATTTCTTTGGCTTAATACCTATAGTATTTTCCCTTAATTTCACTAAACTAGATATATCTATTAATACTATTAAAGATAATAAAAATAATAAATATAATTTCGCTAATTTTTCTAACTTTTCTGAATTCTCTTTTCTTTCTTTACTTAGTATCTATTTCTTTTTCTAGAAGTTTCTCTAGTTTATTTATATAATTTCTTATTTCCGATTTCTTTTTAATTCTTATTTCCGATTCTAGTTTACTATTTTACTTGAATTTAAGAATATTTCCTCTTTTAAATATCTTTTTCGGACTTAGAAATAAGCTTTATTACTAAGATTAAAGCTATTTTAATTCCGGCTTTTACTATAACTAAAAATAATATATAAATTAATAATATAACTTTATTTCCGAATACTAAAGTCTAATTCTAACTAAGGTCTGACTTATACTATTTTAGTATAATATTTCTCATTCTATTTCCTCTACTTCTTTTCCTTCTATAGTTAGCCTCTATTTCTACTATCCCTATATACTATACTAGTAACTATATCTTATAGCTAGCCTGTATCCAAGTCGCTAGATATATTAGAAATTAATATAAGATACTGAAATTAATACTTATATATTCTTAATATTTTGGTCTTAGGCTTAAGGTATTATAATAGCCCTTTTTTCTCCTAACTTACTAAGCTAATAATCTGCCTTATAGATATCCCTCAGAACTTTATAAGAGTATTACCTTAACTATAAAGTTTCTATTCTTCCTGTATTACTTATTATAAAATATATAGAAGGAAAACTATAATAAGACAAAAATCTATATAAAGTATACCAGAGTATAAAACGTGATTTAATAGTAAAATAATAAATCAAAAGTATAAATAGTAAAGTATAAATAGTATATAGTATATAAAAGCTTAATTAATTAAATATTTATAAAGGATTCTTCTCTAAGTCTATAGAAAAACCAGCTTTCTTATATGATTTTCGCAAGTTATATATAAAAGACTATAGCCTTTACCATATAACCTAAACCTCAAAACCGCTAAAACAATGCAATTTTCGACGAGTACGGCCTGCCGTACTATATTAGCTAAATATATAATATTATAATTTATATTTATAAATTAGTTAGAAGAATAAAGAAGTTTCATATATTTATAAGAAGGCTAATTCTAATAAATAATTATATAAGATAGAATAGCTAATATAAAATACTTCTTATATTATTTAACTTATAGCCTATTATAAAAAGATATTATTAAGATTATAAAAAGAAGCTTAAAAAGAATATCTTAATTCCTAAAGATTAGAAAAAGCTTTATATAATTAAGAAGTTTCTTATTTCTTTTATATGAGCTACTTTTACTACTAAGGACTTAATTTTTCTTAATTTTATTCTTTTTATAATAGATATTTTAATTAAATACCTCTAAAAAAAAAATAAGTTTTCTTTTTCTATTATATAATTATACTAATTCTAATAGGCCAAATATTAGAAGAATAGAGATCTAGAGGAAAAAGACTTTCTTTACTAAATTAAGGTAGTATATAAGATTCTAGATAATTATTATATAAAGACTAATATATTTCTAGTTTATATTACTATATTAATTTTAAATTCTTATAATTATATAAAATATATTAAGATATACTAGCTAAAGAAATAGTTCAAACTAGTTCTAATTAAGGTTAAAAAGCTTTAGGAGAAATATAGGGAAAAGGCTATTCCTTTGTCTGCTAGAAACTGTCTATACTAGCAGGGGAGCCTGGCTCAGAGCAAAAAGGCAATAGCTAACTAATAGGTTTCTAAGTAAAGGCACACGTTTTCGCCCTGAGCCAGGCCCCCCTACTAGTATAAATAGTTTCCAGCGAACGAAGGAATAATTATATCTATTTCTCTAGCTTTTTCATATAATAGCTTGTTTTATGAAATATTAGAACTAGATACTTTTAATTAAATTTCTATATCTTTCTAAATAATAACTCGGCCTCTAAATTAAAACGAGTTTAAGGATTATAACTTACTAGTATTATATAATCCTAGTAAATAGGGAACTCTCGCTTAGTAATTGTCGGTTTACTAGGAACGCATAGTACCGTTATATAGTCGTGGAATACTATTTGCATAAGGTTAGTAAAGTTATTATTATCCAGAAGTAAGAATTACAATATCGTAGTATTAATATGCGATTCCTAAATCTGCTAAGCCTAATAGGGACTAGTCTACCGGTCGAGTCACGCCTGCGACGCGAGCTCACATGACTAGTCACATGACCAGGAAATTCGCAGTACAGCTATTCCGATAGTAATATTAAAATATATAGAGGTAATACTAGCCAAGGCTTTTTTTATAGCTATTAATATTCTTTCTATTCTATTAATAAGTAATAAGCCAGAGAAAGTATTTTCAGGAAATTAATATATAATAAGCTAAAATAGGGCAAAAATAAAAGTAGAGACTATTAAGATATAAAAATATTTAAAGTATTAAAAAAAAAGTAGAATTCTAAATACTTTCCTTAAAACTAGCTAGAGAAAAATCAAAAAAGGGCAAATATTAAGAGCTTAATATAGTCTATTAGGTATTATATAAAAGCTAGGCAATTATATAATATAAAGAGAGTAGTCCTATTTATTTATTTATAATAAAAGGGATATTCTAATTAGGATAATATCTAGGCTTTAAAACCCGGCCATTTTATATAATTTAAGGAGGTTTGAGTTATCTTCTACTATTACTCTCTCCTCTATTATTATTAATATCTCATATACTATAATAAGTCATATAACTATAACGAATATAGTTACTATATATTCTATATTACTTTTTTTCAGGAATCCTTAAATATTTTTTAAAAATACCTTAACTATTTTGGCAAATAGTATAAGAAGTACAGATATTAACTTGGCTACTATATTACTTAGTATAGATTATATAAAATATAAAAAAATAACTTATACTCGTTAAGTTAAGATTATATTAATAACCTCAGGAAGAAGCGGGATATTAAAGGTATTAGGAGTATAGGAACCCTTAATTATAATATCTGAGGGGGCAGGATTAGTAATATTAAAGGTATTTTACTATTAAGGACTACTAGTAATAATAGATGGCTCTAGTTTATTACCTCTTATATAAAAGAAGTAATATATGTTATTATAGCTATTAAGACGAGTTCAGATTACTAGATCTTGCTAAGCTTGAGCTACTATCTTAACTAATATATATATATATAGATAGATAGGTAGAATAGAGGGTATATGGAAAGTATATATAAATTAGAGAGAGGGTTGGGAGCTGAGAGCTTATTTTAAAGGTATCTGGATTATTGAAAATTAAAAATGGGAAAATAAATAACTCAGATTAAGCTATAATTTATATAGTTATTTGGTATAGTTCAGACAATGGCACCAAAATTAGCTGGGGCCTTAGAAATAGGGCAAAGTATTACTAAGAATTAATACGGTATTAATAGTATTAATACCTTACGATTCTGGCATCAATACCTATTAATACCGGAAATTAGGTATTTCTGCCAAGCCTGATATTGGGCCTTATGCTGCTAAGCAAGTCCCTGCATTTCCCAGGATAAGCATCACACTTAATACCTAAAGCAGGACCATAAGAACAGAAACACAGAAACTTAATTTAATCTATCAACCAGACGGACCAAAGAAAGAGCAAGAAGCTAACCAGAAAGGATGAAATGGCAACCAGGGCAACCATCAAGCACCATGCAGAATTATAACAGCATTATGCTTCCACAGAACCTTGATTTCACCCACACCTCTTTATTAATTGCCACCTCCCCTCAGTCTCTCACCTCGCTCTTCTCCGCCTGTGGAGCCGTAACCTTAATCCCACTTTCCAGCTTGAGAAGATTCATCTCGAACCCCTTACAAACACACCAAGTTCTAACCGTCTTAATCGCGTTCTTGATCTCACGTCCATTTAACTCCCACTTAGCCAGCTCATCCATCTCCTTCTTGCTAACCTTGGCCTGAACCTCGGGCCCTGGCAGTCTCGACAAGAATTTCTGCCATAGGACAAGACGAGAAGAGAACGGCAGGGGCTTGAACACTAGGTGGATGTTGACTCTGGAACGAAACGCGGCGTCGATGGTGGAGTAAAGGTTGGTGGTGAGGAAGATGATGCCTTTGAAGTACTCTAGCTCGCGAAGGAATATCGACACCAACTCGTTGCGAGCGATATCTCCTGGGTCTCGCTGGGCCATGAAGACATCTGCTTCGTCAAGAAGAATAACGGCGTCCCACTCTGTAGCCATCTCAAACACTTTCTTGATCTTCGGCCCAAGATGGGCTGCGTTCGTGCCGAGATCTTCAGCTTGCAGGTAATACAGGGGACGACGAGTCTTGTCGGCAACAGCTTCAGCCGTGAGTGTCTTTCCAGTGCCAGGAGGACCGGAGAGGAGGAGAATGAGACCTTGCCCTTTGCCCATTATTACATCGTCGACACCACCTTTAAGGCGTTGGTGATTGTCGACGAAAGTCAAGACCAAGTCTTTCTGTTCCTCGGGATATACCAAGTGGCCGTAAGCTTCGTCGTTCCAGACAACTGGTTCAATATCGTCGACGTAGAAGTAGACTAAATGCGTCAGTATTGATCAAGTAAGAGGGGACGTGATTGGTCAACGTACGCCAGAGCTTATTCTTCAATGCAAATCCACGAAGAAGAGGGGACACGAAAACCAGATCTTCCTTCCTGTCAAGTATTTCCTGTTTATTCTCCTCTTGCAACTCTTTCGACAGTGACCTGGCATTTGTGGATTGTCCCGAGATCGAAGCTGCATCTGCAGCAGGGGTTGCTGGGGGTTGCGGAGCTTGAGGTTGAGTACGGCGTCTACGAGAGCTGGTTTCGTTTCGTTGGAGGCCTTCTTGGTGCTTTTGGTACCCAAAGAAATCGATGAGGATGCGGCTTGCGACCTTAAACGATTAGTTAGAGATCATTTGCATCGAGCTGGGACTTACATTGTGTCTCTGGAAACCACATCCAGTTGGCAAGAGGCCCACACCAGAGTATTCACAATAGTGAAGATCCTGATACTCTAAAGTTTTCTTCGCTCTCGCCGCCAACCTCTCCTTGACTCCTTCCTGATCAGCGTGGAATGACAGCGGGTAATTGGGAAGCTCGGTGACAGGAAGATTTCCAGCAAAGAGAGGGATTTTGAAGTCAATGGGCTTCCAAGCGAAACACTCTCCATCAAATGCTATTTCCTCGCAGTTGATCAGCAGATGCGGTCTCTCCTGTGGACTGCCACATTGGTAAGAAGTCCCAACGACTTTGCACACCCGCTCGGCGTCTTTGGAAGCATTAAACAACATAGTGTCTTTGGCGAAGTAGGTCCAGGCCAGTTTATACGAAATCAGACCGCTGGTGTTAAGATGCTTGAGGTGAGACATAAAGCCTCCGAACAGCTCGCTCATGACTTGGACCAAGAGTCCGAGATGTTCCTTGAGCAGACTTCCCTCTGATCTTTTCTCATACAAAGCCATGATCTTGTCATAGCAGAAGAAGAGAGGTTTGAATGGCTCATTGAATTTCGCGGTCTCGGTAGTCTCGAGGAACATGCCCTCATCCTTGACGATATCCTTCAGTGCTGCAACGAGAAGAGAGCTTTGGACTTCGATCATGTGGATCTTGAGGGGAGTCTTCCCGGAAATAGTTGGCTGTTCGTGATCCTTGATCTTGAAGATCTTGATTGCAACACGATTGTTGGCCTTGGCAACTTTGACGGCAAGTTGCTTGGGTGGTGTTTCGACCCAGTCGTAGTGGCCGCTCCGGCTGTTCTTGCCTTCGTAGAAGGTCTTGATGGCGGTGCTGGTACCGAAGTCTGGGTCTCGGCCTGGAATGACAGGAGGTGCAACGATAGTGACCTCGCTATCGCCATCGACGGTTGAGTCGGGTGTTGCAATATCCTTGGCGGACTTGGATGCAATTGCCTTGGGCGGGCATACTTTGTTTCGCTTCCACAGCATCATGACTGGCTCGCTGTCGTCTTTTGCCTTCCGTTTTCGGAGTGTTCGCTGTTTGAAGAATAAGTTTGGATGGCAGAAGAAAGACGAAATGACATGATGTAGAAGGACTTGCACTTGTTGGGGAGGACATGGCGGATAATGTAGCCTGGTTGCAAGCTTGCAACTTGCACGTGATTTGTTAGTGGCCTTGCAATGTGGCTTGACACAAGTCCTAAAAACGCCCGACTAGGACTATTTATGTCTGCCTGTTACAGCTGGTTGATTCGGGAATCGAGCGGGGTACGGCTGCCTGCAGTCCTGGAGTCATGCTCCGAAGGGGAAATACAGTGGGTGGCCACATGTCTGTCCGATTGGGCTGTTTTACACCAAAACGCCTATATTGCCCTGGGCAGTTTTGGCAGGACAGCGTTCTTATATTTACCTTAGATTCTTGGATTTAAGCCAGATTTACTAAATACCCACTTCTACTTACTTAGCATTTTGCATTTTATCCCTTTTCAGGCTATCCCTTCGTCTGTCGGAAACTGTCCAGCGCTAGCAAGGGGGGTGTGGCTGCACGCAAGCCTCTTGAAGCGTAACAAAGCGAGGTGGGGCTTGCGTGCAGCCACACCCCCCCTGCTAGCGCTGGACAGTTTCCGACAGACGAAGGGATAAGATCAAATAATACCGAGCACTTTTATAACTTCGCAGATTTACTATGTAAATAAGCGAGAAAATCGAGAAAATCAAAAAGTGAAAATTAATAAGTTATATTATACATAGAGATAAACCTCAAAGAGACCTATATTTGAGTATATGTAATAAGAAGTAATTATTGATCGTGGGTTAAAAGTATTATTATTATAATTTAAGAAGGCGCCAGATTTTTGAGGAATTAAAGGAGGCGTTTTGGCCGTTTTTGCTGTGATTTTCGCGAGTCGGACAGACATGTGGCCACTCACTGTAATTGGTGATCGGCGAAGGATTTCCAGGCTACCGAGTCTGCCTAGATTTTCGCCCGAATTGCCAACACACAGGATGACTCTTATAGGTGGATCTTGGGATTTCATTTCCTTCATCCAATCATTTCTTCACGCTCCTGAGACCAGTTTGATACAATTGTTGATAAGAAATGGTTGAGATGATTGGGCGAGAGGAACCGAGCCGAATCGAGGAACGAATTGATGGTATCAGCCACAACAATCCATATACTTCAAACTCCTCTCTCTGTACTCCAATTGCTCACTGGTGACAGAATATTAAAGGAAGGTCTCGTTTGAAAGGTGAACTGGCATTTGTATGGTGGAGAAATATAGAGATTAGTGGTAGTGTGGGGCTCAATCGTCTCAAGGCGACTGAGACGACTCGACTGGATGATCCTTCAGTTTCTCCATGCTTTTCAATGCATACGGACTTCAAGACATGCACAAAAAACACGTGATTGACGAACAACCTCTTTTTGGGGGGGGGGGGGGGGGGCACTGCGTCCCACCTTTGATTTGCGCCAAACTGTCCAGGGCAACTGAATTCCACACTCAGATGCCACTAAATGTTCATTGGGACCTGCAATTATTTTTTATTCATGTGTGAGCAAGTGCCTAAACGTGTGAGAAGAAGATGAAAATTAACATAACGAGGAGAGCTCCCGGATATATCACCGTTGAGGAGCAAACCACAGAGGAACGGAAACAGATTCAACTCTCCTGTATTACTGCAATAGTTACTCCACAAGCTCAAATCCGACGTCTTGAGCAAGAACGCCTCTATGGCGAAAAATTTGTCTTGTGGCACGTCCTTGGGAGCGATAATCGATCTCATTGACCATGCTCTCGACAGCTTCTTCTTCAGTAAAAGAAATGCCTTTGTTGTCTTCTCTAGGACAATTGAATATACCACTTACGTAGGGAAGAGTGGCTTTCGTGCGAATAGTATCGATACGAGACACATGCTTCACCGAAGAAGCCCGGCACAACGATACACTCCGCAAACGGACCTTTTCCAGCACCATGGCACCTAGGACTCGCGTGTCAGTTTCCGTTACACTAAGCTTTCTGGAATTTTGGACAGAAGTATAAATGTACTTCTCACAGTCTTTATATCCAAGTCGCTCTTCTCCCATTATCCTAGAGAAACAAGCCCGAAATCGCCGGGTTGGGAAAAGACATTGGGAATTGCAAGAGTCCGTACATACTGCAAAAGATAGACTGAAGTTTGGACAGAACATCCGCCGCGAATTGCGGAGTTATATTTATTCTCTTGAAGCATGACGTTGCTACTAAAGTCAGCAGGGACTAATCAACAGTGGGTCGCCTTTCATAGGGCGGAGGGAAATGAAGACAGCCAAGTCAGTGCCACAAGTGATGCTCGGATGAGAGACGTTGACGAGACTTTGAGATAAAAGATATGGAACCGGAGAGGACGGTGTCTCGACCGTGGAGAACCGCAAATCGACCATGGGAGATGATGTTTCGAGTCACGCAACCACTGCGTTGTGTGTACAGAGCCTAGATTGGTCCAGGCCGCTAGAAAGGTTAGTATCTGCGGAGCGCCATTCTACTTCATGGAAGTCCCTGCAGCCATATATCCTCTAAAGTGCAGGCGAGAATTAAATCCGGAATCGACTATAGTGTGTGTTTGACAGCAACAATAAGCGATGAAATGAAGTGCTGCAAGAACCCATTGACGCTAGGAATTTGGAAAGTCGATAGGACTAAAATAATAGAATAGAGAAATACCTGTGAGATTGATTCTAAAGAGTTTCCAGTGAAGACCTCCGCCTCGGATTTTTTTCACATATGATATAGTATTTTTTAGGAAAACAAATTATAAAATCCAGTTTCGCGTTTCTTACTTAAACTAGTAATTCTTATACCTTTATACACTAAGAAAGCTATAAGAACGTAATATTTAAGCTAGAAACGCAAAATACAATACTGGATCCCACAATTTATTTTACTAAAAATCGCTTACGTGTATTACTATATCCTTTCCCTCTTCCCTCTTCCCTCTTTCTCATTCTCCCTCTCTTCAAGCCTCTATTATTACTTAAAATCTTTCCTCTCCCAATTTAATTCTTATGTATAAGCATAAGGGTAGGAGAAGAGGGGGCCCTGCGAGGGGGCCCTGCGAGGGGGCAGGGAGAGAGTGGTAGCGTAATAGAATAAAAATTACGAAGTAGAAAGAAAGCGAGAAGTAGAAAGTAAACTTCGAGGGTCGCGAGTCGAGAGTCGCAAGGAAGCGCTATATTTATAGGCTTTTAAGTACTAAATTATAGAGCTATATACAGCCCTGAATATCAGCGATCAATTTTTTCCTGGGGTGCGGCATAGCATTTTTGGGAGGGAGAATCGTGAAATCCGGTTTCGTGTTTCTCACTTGGACTACCTTAGTGATCCTTATGGCTTTCCGTAATCTACACCGCTAAGGTTACCATGATTGGACAGCAACATGCGCGGCAGCAGGACAGCGAGGTTAAGGGCCTCCCAGCCGCACCAGGCTGGCAGGAGCCTCTTTTCTATTTCGACGCCTGACATCGCGGCCGAATCATGGGAGTGTCCATACGCTCAAATACCCAAGGACCTCAAGCAGAAGAAAACCAGCACAATGGTACGTTGGCGATGGTAGTGGAAATTTGTTGAGCGCTGACGGAGGAACACAGCCGTTGCGACAGCTCTGGCCCGATCCCAAGAGCTCGGCCGGCGAATTTGCCAAGGTCGAGTAGGTCAAACTCCTATCATCCATGCTCCTGCTAACGCATCCAGCATTATCGCTGTCCATGGTCTAAATCCTCGAAGCAAGAAAGACGCCGACCACGCCTGGGATACATGGCGCACCCCTCCAAGGCCGGATGGCCGCTTATGGCTCCGCGACGATCTCCCCGAATACATCCCCGACTCGCGAATCTTCCTATACGAATACAACGCGGCGGCAGTCTACGGGAATGACCAGGATACATTCGTCGGTAAAGCGAACGAACTGCTCGAGGCGATCCGAATCAAGAGGGACAATATCGAGGCTCGACCGATTCTGCTGTTGGGCCACAGCATGGGCGGATTGCTGATCAAGCAGGCGCTGATCAACGCGCACAATAACCGAAAGTATACACCAATCAAGGATGCGACCACAGGGCTGGCGTTCTTTGCCACCCCACACAAAGGCGGAGACTGGAAGATGGTGAGCCTGGGAAGCATAGCGGCCAAGATTGCAACTGCAGCGGGATTCCAAAAAGGGGACAATGTATTGGAGACACTAGACAGAGGCAGCATCTTTTCAGATATCTTGCAAGAACATTGGAGACACCAGTTATTGGAATATGATATCATTTCTTTTTGGGGTGCTCTGGACAATGTGAGTAATATTAGAAAGAGATGTGCCTCAATGCTGATTCCACCTCACAGGTTGTTCCGGTGGACAGTGCGCGGCTGGGATTGCCGGGGAACCGTGAAAATATTGTGAAGCTGAACGCGGACCACGGAGGGGTTTGCAGATTTGGGGAGAGCCAAACAGATCGAGACAACTTCGAGTTGGTGTCTTTCAATATCAGAGAGATATACAAAAATGCACTTAAAAACTGTGAGTTGAACGCTACCCTTTCTACTATGAATCGGTAATGGGGACTGTAATGGAGGTTATGCTTGAGAATACACTCAAGGATACGATATCAAATAGATGCGGCTAGTTCGATGATAATATACTGCGTTTTGCCAGGGTTGTGCTAATAGTTATGAAAGTGTTGACAGACCACACGTCCCCTTTATGTCAGGTCGGACAACCTTGCCACTACATCCCATTCCCTAAGAACAAACGCTTCGTAGGACGACAAAATATAGTAGACACACTCGAAGCGATGTTTTTCACAAATGAGTGCCAAAATATCGCCGTTATAGGGCTGGGCGGAGTTGGCAAGACGCAGGTCGCTCTCAAGTTTGCATACTGGGTAAAAGAGAACAAGCCAAACTTCTCTATCTTCTGGGTACCAGCACTTAGTGATGCGAGCTTTGAACAGTCGTACACGGAGATGGCAAGAAAGCTTCCTATCCGCAAAGACAACAATGAGAACCCCATGGAGTCAGTTCGGCGATACCTGAGCTCGGAGGAAGCTGGGCCATGGCTTCTCATCGTGGATAATGCAGATGATAGAGAAATGCTTCTCGGGAGTTCAGACTCGCCAGGCGGGATTCTCGAGTATCTGCCACAGAGTGAACGAGGCCTGACTTTATTTACTTCACGTTCCCGGGAAGTAGGAGTGGCGGTTGCTGGAAAAGATGTGGTTGAGTTATATGAGATGAACCCACAAGAGGCGGAAAGCTTTTTGGAGAAGTCGTTGATTCGGAGAGACTTGCTCAGCGATAGTGCAACGACAACCAGACTCTTGAAAGAGCTCACTTATCTTCCCTTAGCAATCACGCAAGCGACAGCCTATCTGAACATAAACCAGGTTTCGATTGCAGAATACTTGAGATTATTACGAGCCACAGAACAGGATATGATCCACCTGATGAGTAGACAATTTCGCGACAATACCCGATATAATGACTCGCAGAACGCGGTGGCAACGACCTGGCTTGTGTCATTCGAACAGATCCGAAAATCCGATAACGCCGCTGCCGAGCTACTATCATTCATATCTCGCATCGAACCGAAGGCAATACCGCAGTCTATCCTGCCTAGCTTGGGCTCGGAAGAGCAGATGGTGCACGCGCTTGGCACACTGCGTGGGTATGCTTTTGTGGTCAAACGAGGAGACGAGGAGATGTTTGATATGCACAGCCTAGTACATTTAGCGACGCGAATATGGATTCAGCAAGAAGGGCGTGTGACACAGATGATGGAGAAGGCAACAAGACATCTGGCAGCAGTCTTTCCGTCTCGCGATTGAGTGAATCGCAGCTTGTGGAGAGAGTACCTGCCACATGCTCTTCGGGTGCTCTATGGGGATGAAAGGGTTGATATAGAAGAGAGATATGAGCTGGATTTTAGGGCCGGGAAATGCCTGCAGGCAGATGGACGAACTAAAGAAGCTGTGAGGTGTATTGAAGAATGCCACAGATGGAGGAAGAGTCATTTCCCAGAAGAGCACCCTAATCGACTAGCCTCCCAGCACGAGCTTGCAAAAGTCTATAAAGCTGACGGACAAATAAAGAAGGTGGTCGAGCTCCTAGAACACGTTATTGCGACAGATGAGAAGATGCTTGCCAAGGAGCACCCTGATCGACTAGCCTCCCAGCACGACCTTGCAAGCGCCTATGAAACTAACGGACAAACAAAGAGGGCAATTAAGCTACTAGAATGCGTGGTTTTGGTAGATGAGAAGACGCTTGCCAAGGAGCACCCTAGTCGACTAGCCTCCAAGCGCGCGCTTGCAAGAGCCTACGAAGCCGACAGACAGACAACGAGGGCGGCCTTTGGAAGCACAGCTATACCTTGAAGCAATATGCGGAAAGCACAAAGTGGATGACACAGTTAAGGAGCCAAAATCTACCTACGTTTAGCCGAATAGGTGTTGTTGGCTAGAGTTCTCAATTCTTATGCAGGAACTTATTTTCGAGTTCGTTAAGCCCTTGTGAATTTTGTGTTGCTTCACTTGTTATTGTGCCTCTGATTTTAGATTGTTTGATTAGCATTGTGGCTTCACACTAACCAACACACTGCACTTCACCTATCTAATCACTCGCCACAGCATTTGCCTCGCAGCTAGAGGAGAAGGAAATGTATTAGCTATCTACTTACAAACAAACATTCATCCCTCTAACTCGTGTAACAACAATCGAGTACACGCTCTTGCCTTTCCCAAAACAAAAGCCAGCTCCCAATTCGATAGAACTGTCTCCAATCCTCCTTGTGGTATTTCTTGGCAGCCTTTGCAATGGATTTTTCGAGACTTTGGCAGACTTCCAAGTCTCCAAGTATGTGAGACGTGGAGATCGCCCATTGTTCATCCTGCACTCTCTTACCACCTCGTGAGGGCCCCGCGCGAGGTTCCCCGGCTGGTTTCAAAGGTATCGAATTTTTTGCAGCCGGGAACTTGTCTGTGGAGCCAATACGTTTGCTTGTGGTGGAGCTCAAATTCATCGAGAGCGGCTTGTTTTGAAGCATCAACCCCAATGTAAGGTTCAAACCGATATCCAGTCTTCCGCCCGACAACCAAATCCCAGAGTGAAGTCCAGAAACGACGAGGCAAAATCGGCTAAGGTGTCCGAGATAGCGTTGGCGAAATACTTCTTAATTAGCTGGCGTCAGGACGTGACCATAGATACTCAGAACATCCCTCTTGTTTGATCGAGGCTGCGATCACTTCGAGGATTTTGCGAAATTGGCTTCGAAATCTGGCAAATGTTGCCTCGTCTTCGAAGTCCGACTCGGGTGATTGTGTTTTGTGCCCGACTTAACATGCCGGTCAGGCCGAGTTGAAGTGGAGGACGGACGGTGAGTCTCGGGCTGACAGACATTTGGAATTGTGTTCGGGCAGTTGAGCGTGTTTCTTTGTGAACTGACAAGTGAAAGACAGGCAATATGCTAACGGAGTCTGACTAAAAAGGCTTCGTTATAGTCAGGGAATCACGCTGAGGTTGGTGTTGACCGGCGTTCAGGGCCAGTGATGGGCCATTGATCATGTTCCTGAGAGTCTCGGGGTCTGGGGAAAGAAAGCGTCTGTGGATTGGCTGTCGCGGGGCGAAGCGGGAGCCCGCACAATCAGGTCAGTCGCCATCGATGTAGACAAGAGGGTGAGTGCCACGGATGACGTCGCCGTGGGTAGCCTCCAGGCGAGTCTCAGCTTGCTAGATTCATCGGAGATGTTTCTTTGTGAACTGACCAAATCGAAGACAGGCTGTGATGCTAACGAAGTGTAGTCACCAAGGCTTCGTTATTTCTGGGGCCTGGTTCCTATGATGCGTAGACCCCCAAAAATGCTAATGCTAGAGCTGCCGGTGCCAAATCGAAGCGTGACTGGTGGAAGAGGCGGAATTTGCATCGTTGCATCGATTCGGTTCTCCATGTTGTGTGGAGGATCCACGGGGGCTCAATATGCACCAACATTCTTCCTCTTGGGATCTTGACTCCGGGACACCAAGACTTCCAATATCGATCTAATCCAAGCATGATCTGGCAGACTTGCACGGGGGGAAACGGTCCCGGAAGGGAGGAACCAAAACATATCCATTGACCTCGGGGCCAAGATAGCCAGCGAAGATCGATTGTCTCGCATCTCACCGCGTGCAGTGGTCCAGCCTGGTTTTCCGGTGTATCTTGTCCGAGTAGTTCTTGTCCTTCTCAACAATAGCCTCCGGCTTGTTCAACGTGCATGATCTCCTGGTACTTTCCCCCCCCAGTGATTTCTGTCATCCTCGGGATGCCATTGCGACGCGGATTGAATAAGACTTGACCCATCGAGCTTCTGGTTGTCTCGGTTGTAAGTGGAGCAACCAAAGACTGGGCAGTCATTCTCCGCACAACATTCAAGTCCCAAGAGGTGCCCACATTGACCCATCACCTTAACATCAACAGCCTTCGAACCGAAAGTACCAGTGTGCGCAGACAAAATTGATGATGTGCTGAAGGGAGAGGATATTCCGGGAAAACCGAGGAGCTCGCTTTTGGGATAATTAGCCATGTATGCTCAAGGATTTCATCAGATGCTTCAGCTAAATCAGATTCTAACACCCGATGAAAGGTCCGAATTGACAGCAACAACAGCAAGAACAAGTATTTCCCACTGCAAGATTCCTCCTGAAGATACAGAGTCGAGAGTTAAAAAGTTGAAGACAGAGAAAATGAGCTTACCTTCGACACAGAATGTCCAGTGCCAGCTAGCGGTTGGCGAAGACATGGATTATCGGAAAACAACGAAAATGTTGCTGTTGCCTTCGTTCAGTCGTAGCCAGGGCTTGTTATGCTCATTAGCCCCGAGGTTTAGCTGCACATGAGGAAGGCCATCAACATTTGGGGACCATCTCAACTTCTTAACGAAGCCAATTTTCCCATAATAGAAGTTGATGCAGCTCCACTCCTTGTTCTTTTAGGTTCAAGTATCGCCCCACAGTGAGAGGGCAGACTAACCTCATAAGTATTGACATTGAGATTCTCAAGCAGCCCCAGTTTTAAACATTTGGAAAGGATTCACGCCTTCAAGCCATGGCCTTGTCAGCATATAACACATTCCACACCCTTTATAACCAAGATTGCTCAACCTACCTTGTGTTTTCTTCACAGTTGCACGCCGAAGCGACCTCAGGAGAAAGATTTGATTGACTATCCGAGTGATTCTAGAGTACAGAACTTCCCGAAGAGATTTCCACAAGAACACTAAGTCTGTATAATATCTCGCCCACTTCCATCCCAACGAGCGGCAATTCCAAAATCGACAGTAAGATGGAATATGTCAAAGGAGTCATGCGAACAGGTGTAAATGCACTACGTGTGGTTCGTCAATACTTCTGGCTGAGGCTCGTCTATCTGCGACAAGTGGTCCAGCAAAATTTCCACCAACGTGCCATGGGAATAAACTTTGACATTGACAACCGTTTTCGTCCGGAGGAGTCCCAACGGAAACGTTCTTTGACAATCAATTTCGTCCGGTCGAACGGAAACGGAGATGAGTTGAAGGGCTGCTGATCAATGTTGTCTCGGTTTCATATGAGACGAAATTTAAGCTAATAATCGATTTTGTCCCGAGCGCACACTAGATGGATTAAGGACCGACAATCGATCTCGTCTCGGTATCACAACAGACGGACTGAGGCTGACAATTGATTTCGTCCCGAGTATACAGCCGCAGTATTAACTGTGTTGAAATCAGCTCTCAAAACTCATTGTCATAGTGAACCTAAAACATACCTCCAGCTGCTCGTCTTTCCTGAATATCCGTAGGCAGCTCAAGCTTTTGCCGCTCTACTCATAGGAGATGGAAACCACGAATGAGTGGAGTTTGAGCAGATTTAGGTACGATCTTGACGCAGGAGGGGTCTGCCGTCGGTATCAAGGAATAGGTAACGTGAGCTGGATATAGATCGTCGTGAGACAAGTTCAGTTTTACCATACTGACGACCGTTTCCACTGCTGAGCCCTCAAGTATCCATGACGCTCAGGCTGCTCTTGCATCATGCCAAGCATAGCCTCCTTCTCCTTCTGGAACTACAGGTGTGTAGGTTTCCAAGTGTGCTACAAACAAGTTAGAATGATCCACCGAAGGAGGGAACAATGACTTACCATCTTCTTCACTCTCTTACCGGCTACTTTGCGGGGTATGATTTTCGTTATCATAAGTAAAACAGTCTTCGTACGTTTCACCAACATCCATGGATTCATCGTGACTTGCAATGTTGCCAAAATTATCAACCCGGAAAAGATCCTTCATTGGCGCTGGCCGAGATTTCTGCCTTTCTCCGCAACTTCAGCCAAAGGATTGGTCTTAAGGGTTGGGTGCGTTGGGCCTGGTAGGACGTCCCTAGAGCAGGAAGGGTCTTGACCTGTATGTGCATTGCTGATCCAGCGAGAGATGCCGACCATTTGTTCTTCCGGTATGTCGTATGTGACGATGAGGAAGCGCAACGGATTCGGGATTGCGGGTCGTGGGAATCGATTGTTGACGAACGTGTTGATAATATTTAAAATTAACTTCGAAATTGTCAAGAACATTGATGCTTGACGCTTCAGTCTGGACGGGGAAGATATTCCATGATCGAGGGTGCGATCGCAATTTTCAACAGCCAAGCTTTAGCCCGGTGAGCTCGGCAGCGTTCAGGCCAGCATCGGTTTTGCTGAGCGGAGACGAAGACAAACACAATTCCGCGTATGATGGTCATTATCAACGTAGCCGCCGTCGTCCTCGGCGTCGACAATTTCCTCGGACCTTGCAGCCTTCTTGCCACAATCCCCGTGCAGCCCAGCTCTTCCCATGCATGTTGAAAGACGAAGAAAGAAGAGAGAACGACACTTTTGGTCGGTAACATCTCGCTGTCTCTTTCTGAACTGATCAGATCAAGATTGAACTGGAGTTTACCAACAATCAATTCACAAAGACGAACGAGGACAATGACGAGCGCAACAATGCGGGGTTTGACAAGATCTGAAAGATCAATAATAATAATGACTGGCACGTCATTCGTCTCGTCTGATACATGCTCTTCCAAATTCAAAGTCAGACTCAAGTCCGGGTCCGTGTTCTGCGGCCGGAAGGTTTTCGACTGGAAGTACTTAATCTCTTCTGCGAAGAGATCGCTTGGAGCAGTCCCGGCTTCTGCTGGATGTGGTTGTGTGTCATCTTCGTCCTGGATTGGCATCATTGTGGGATGATGCTGGACTCTTCTTGATTTTTCGTCAAATGTCTGTTCGGCGAGTGCTAAGCCGTATGTGAGCCCCGCAGCCAGAGCAAAAACTTCGACCCTAAGGACAATTTGCAAGCAGATGTTGTAGCAGGTGGACCGGCTCAACGCTCGGTAAGGTGTAGGTGCTATCGTGGGCGTGTATGTATGTTGGCCTGCGCTTTCAAGTTAAGCGGACGTTGAGCACCACTGATAGGTGGTTCGTTATCCTCAACGCTGACCTCGCCGTGCTCTTGCATTTGCTGACTGCCACCGGCTGCTTGAGTTGTGTCCATTTAGTCTTCGGCGGAGTCAGGGGTGAGAGTAACTCCATGGGGCTGCTCAACTCTAACCGGACCCACGAGCAGGAAAGAACTGGCTTGTGACAACCAAGCGTTCCAAGAGACTTGTGTTTTCGTCCTTCGATGTCGGCTCTTCCTATCATACCGAAGCAGAATTCGGTAAGGGTTGGATTTTTCACCCAAAAACCTCTTGGCGGGAGTGACGCAGATGAATGAAAGACCGAAGTAAGGCAATTGGTTCGGGCTCAGACGGGGTGTTGGCACCATGCCGGGCAAAGTGTTGAATGGAAGAAGCAGTGCCATTTGACGGAGCGCAATTTGTCGATGGAGATTATGAAGTGGACCTCTTCCAAATGCCCCAGCAAGTTTCAATCGTTGCTTAGGAGATTGTGTAAGCTCTCCGAACTTCTTGCGGCGTGGCTACGACCGGGGCCATGGTCAAGAGCATGATCAAGTTGACCAATCTTGTATCTAACTCGTGGGGTGTTCTTCGTATCTGTCTTGCGTGCCTCCGGAGGCGAGTGCCGAAACACAAGGCCACTTTGGCAGTAAAACCCGCCCGTCTAGTCCATTCTACACACTCGAAGACTCCTCTCAGTGTACAAGAGTAGGTCGGTGAGTACGCACTCCAATCTTGCATCTGGCCAATGGGGTGTTTTTCGTATTGTCCCGCGCTCCAATCATGGAGTGTTCTTCGTATCTGTCTTGCGCTCCTGATCGAGCACCTCAAGAAGAGGCGTTCTCGACATTCCTTGTAAATCCGCGGGAAGGAATTGCTTTCACACCAAGTCGTACTCAAAGCTTCCTCTAGCTTGCCACTAAAACCAGTCCACTGGGCAAAGATCAATGCCTTCTCCTCTTGGACATCCATGGTTCATTGGATCAGCTTGATGATTGCGTCAATCTTAAAGCCTTGCTCGGAACACGACTGCGACGCCGATTGAATGAGACTTAGCTCATCGAGCTTCTGGTAGTCTCGATCGTAAAATGAGCAAGCCATGTTGCAAGCCGGGATCTCCCATCCACTTATTACCATTCGCATTTGATGCTGGAGCTCCAATCTCTCATAGATTGAATGGTGAATCAAAGCCTAAAAAATCCAAATTGACAAGGGCTACCCAATGGGATGTAGAGGAGCAAGGAGAGACTCAATGGTAAGACTGGCCAGTGGGTTCTAAAGCCTGCAACACCGACCATCCGTGTAAACACGGTTTGAACGGGCTCGTACTCGTGCTTAGGATTCTTTCCACACTTGCTACACGCTGTGTGCCCCCAGAGTCGGCATTCCAAGAAGGCTGTAGTTGTTCCAGTCTTGTTGCAAGTTGAAAGTTTTGGTCATCGAAAATCGGGTTGAAGCCGCTTCAGCCCTGTTGCGACCCTCGCAGAAATATAATCTGACTGCCATCTGAGAGATTACAAAGGTCTTCAGGTCGTTCCGTTCCCAAAGGTTGGTTGTAGCGTCGAAATGATATAATGCCGAGCAATACGCAGCCACCTTGACTCTGTGGCATCGTCATGTTGCTCATCGCTTGATCTTGGGGTACTTGTCTGGTGCTCTTCATGAGCTTGTGGCGAAAGTCCATTTTGTCCCCCCTGGTCCAGAGAAGACACTATCGATTCGAATGCTCAGCTTGATTAGACAGGAGCACTTCCGTGTGTTCCGAGGAAGGCAGGGACCGAAGCAGAAATTGCCTGTGAATTATTAGTATATTTCATTTGCGCAATTTAGACAACAAATTTCAGCGGAGTTTCAGTTCGAAGTTGGACGAAGTACAAGACAGTAACTATCTAGAAACACTTATCCGTCCGAAAGCAATGAAAGAAAAGTTCAACTGAGAGCTAGTTCGATTTTGGACGAAAGTAAAGCTAGCAACTATCTAGAAAGTCCTATCCGTCCGAATGCAATCAAAGCTCGACAGCAGCAAAACACATGACAGTGAAAATGAAAATAATGAGGAATCTTGTAGTGCTGGAGATAATGGGGGCAGACAGTTGAAAGAAGTGAGGCGCAAGAGGGGCCGGGAACAGCCAACTGAAAGGAAGTTGTGGGGTTGGTAGCAAACTCACCAGAAGGCATGGAATAACGGAACCACGAAGAAAACTCAGTTGCTTCTCGAAGCATCGAGTCTCAGGAGTCATTTAAGCAGCAGCTTTCACGACAAAACCACGGCTCTCGAAGCCGAAAATATTATGTGGAGCTGGAACCATCAGCTGTTCTCCACCTCAACGGTTCCAGAATAATTCTGCACGATTTCAACTAGCATTAACTACTTTGTGAAGTAGGTGCTATAATTGCAGGAGTCAGTAAATAGTCCGGAGCATGAATTGAAGGTCAAGCTGCTTTCTACAGCAGCGTAGCTTGATGTGGATGCCTGGTTTCAAAAAGGGGGAGGGTGTCGAGACATCTCTCCGGCTCGTGTGCTTACTCGCCAAAATCGAAAACCCCTTACCGAATATTTTCCTCCGCCATCAACAAAGCCTTTGCTCCGCCCCAACCCACAGTACTCACGACCACGACTCGAAAAACGCAACCAATCGCAATCAAAAAGGGCAAAATGAATCGCCAAGACGCCCGCAACCGTTCCATGCAGAGCAACGCGAGCTCCAGCTCCAGCTCGTCCTCGCATGTCTCAGTACAGTCCCGAGCTTCCACGCCACGGCCAAACCCGAATGCACCACTGGATTGTTTCTATCCATTGTACATGAAGTACATGAGGACTTATATTAGTGCCGTTGACGTCAATCTCCCACAAAACGCCAATCTCCCCATAGACGAGTGGAGGAGGCGTTTGGACGCCTTGGAAGGAAGATGGGTGGACCTGGTCGATGCGTGCCAAGAGGCCTTCGAGACTAATCTTACATGCCGCACCTGCTTCGACAGACCAGAGACAATCATCGCCAACGGAAGCCCACGACATGCGTATTCCAGAGAGCTACAACAAAAGGTTACAGATCTGGTCAATGACATGGAGGGCGCGTCCCTGACACGCTTGAACCAGCACAAGCTGGACAACATCCGCCGAAGATGGTATAGTCTGGAACTCCAATACCAGCAGGAAAATTTGTCCACACAATGCCCTGGTCTGATCGAAATCGACAATAGAGATGAGACCAACTACGGAGAGGACGGACCACCAGAAGGTTTCGGGGAGGGTGAATAGATCCTCCACATGGCGGCCCTAAGTTTTGCAAAGGATTACTCGATGTATATGTTCCCAAGGATTGTTTTGAGTATGTTGGATATGATAAAAGCTTGTTCGCGTTATGGGTGGAGTGGCCAGGCCACTGCGAAGATCATTGGCCCCGAAGATTATTCGGAATCGACTCCTCGCTCGCCACGATAATGCCCAGCAATCAGGAAAGCCATCTCGAGGGCTTGCTTCTCATTCAGCCTCGGGTCGCAGAAGCTGGTGTAGTTGAGCGACAGGTCTTCCTCGGCAAGGCCAACGCTGCCTCCAGTGCATTCGGTAACAGCGTCGCCGGTTAACTCAAGATGGACACCACCGAGGTAGCTGCCTTCTTGCTTATGTATGGCCAGTGTTTGCTGCAACTCGGAGAAGATATCAGCGAATTGGCGGGTCTTGATGCCAGTGGCGGTTGAGCGTGTGTTGCCATGCATGGGGTCGCATTGCCAAACAACGCTGCGTGCATATTCGCTGCCTTCAACGATGCGGATGTGGGTTGGAAGGAGAGTGCGAACTTTCGGGGCTCCATAGCGAGTGATGAGCGTTATCTTTCCAACCTCGACGGAGGGATTGAGGGCGCGAAGAAGAGCGAGGAGGTCGGAGGATGAAGTTGTGGGACCAATCTTAACACCGATAGGATTCTCGATGCCGCGGAAGTATTCGATGTGAGCTCCATCAATTTGGCGTGTTCTATCACCAATCCAGAGGAAGTGTGCACCAGTGTTGTACCAAGACTTTCCGTCGTCTGGAGTCTGTGTGGAGGACTGTGCAGCACGTGATGAACGGCTTGGATTCTTGAGTCGGCGTGTCAGGCTCTGCTCGTAGTCGAGAAGAAGGCCTTCATGGCTTGTGTACAGGTCAACTGACTGCAGTTGGCCGGCTGTGTCTGCTCCAACGGTTCGCATGAAACGAAGGGACTCGGTGATGGAGGAGACGATGTTGGAATACTTGACTTGAAGCTCAGGGTCGTGAACGTGTCCAAGACCCCAGTCGAGAGGACGATGGAGATCAGCAATGCCCGAAGAGAGAGATCCTCGAATGAAGTTCAGCGTGGCTGCAGAGTGAAAGTATGCGCTACATGTTGTCAGCGAGAGTCTTGAAGTCAAGTTCGGAAGGAGCACTCACCTGACGAGTCTTGATGGATCGAGAGCTCTCTCGTCGACAGGATATCCGTTCAAGATGTCACCTCTGAATGAATTGGTCTCTTTGCCATCGACCATCTCAGTGGGCTTGGATCTCGGCTTGGCGTATTGTCCAGCCATGCGAGCAATGCGGACAACGGGCTTGTTCGCACCCCAGATGAGGACCAAACTCATCTGGAGAAGCAACTTGATCTTCGATTCAATAGCGTTCTCTTCGCAGTAGTCAAACAATTCGGCGCAGTCGCCTCCTTGGAGAAGGAAGGCCTTACCAAGGGCGACATCTCGTAAGCTTTCCTTCAGCTTCACGATCTCGGTCGGGGTGACAATGGGAGGAAGACTTGTAAGCTTCGAAAGGGACTTCTCAACGCTCTTCTGGTCCTCATAGACAGCCTCCTGATGGATTGTCTTTGTTGTCCATGAGACTGGAGACCAAGGCTGAGGACTTTTGCGGAGATGAGCAAGCTGACTCGCAGTGAACCCAGAGCTGCCAGAAGGAGGTTGGGAAGTGCTCGACATGATCCTCGTGGCTTGAAGATGAAGTGATGGGACAGATGAAGTTCCAAAGACAAGAACAACGACGGAAGGGGGGGTGTTCAAGGCGAATTGCTTGCAAGGTTGAGTAACTTCGTGAGGAGTTTGATCTTCGCGTTCCTGGAATGAGGTTATTTGTTGTGCGGAGCAAGGCTCGCGAGGCGCCTGAATCTGCCTCCCCGCCATCCCCTATTCGGCTAGCGGCTTTCAGGCGGTGCGGGCTTCACAGGGATCTGCGGCAAGGAGCTGCTAAAAACAACGACATCCCTTGGACAATTTAATCTTCAGCTGTCTGTCCTTTCAATCGTTTGTCAGTTTCACAACTCGCTCTCAAAATGGCAGAAGCACAACCTCCTACGGTCATTGAAGGGGCCACGACCGGCGACGTCGATGACGAAATTCCTGTAGCAGCCAAATCTGCTGAGGACCGAAAAGCAGCAGCAGCTCTCTCCTCCCTCGATGCTCCTCGAGACGACGAGTCTGCAAGCACCAAAGATGTCGACCAAGAAGCTGTACGAAAGGCTATGGAGAGATTAGGGGGTTCTGCCACCACGAATGGGACTGCAGCGAAGAAAGGCGACGAGAAGAAGGTTATCAAGAAGACTGTGAAGGTCGATCCTGCAGATGTCACTTTGCTGGTATGTCTACGAGGGGGCTTTTCCTAAACACCGAACTCTCCAAATTTGGAAGGTCTTGCCCCATAGCTTGTCTTTACTCCTCGGAGTGCTTCCGCAGAAACTCCTTCGGCAGACTCTCCCCCAGAGTACCCCCCAACTTGCCAGCCCCAGGTTTCCAAATTCTCCGGCATGGTCAAACGCCAGCTAATATCACCTCCCTCATCAGGTTGAAGAACTCGAGTTGTCGAAGATCAAGGCAACGGACCTGCTGAAGGCGCATGATGGAGATGCTGGGAAGGCGCTGAGGGCATTCATTGCACCAGCAGCATAAATGGGCATGGCTTTGGGAGCGAAAAGTTTGTCTTGCAGCATGGACTGGGCATAGCAATGGAGTTTGATATTGATGGCATCATACATGGGGTCTTGGGAGAACATGTCTAAGTTGGCCTCCAGCAAATGGAGTCGTTGGGTTCTCTACGTTCGATTTCCACACCTGCACACTCGTTCTTTCTCTGTCTGCTCTATAGTGGAGTTTGATACTGATGGGCAACAACAAACTTACATATAATCAGGGAGGAAGAAGTTTCCGTATCGAGGCTCCCGCATAATAGAGACCTTCGATTTCGACCTCCAGCTTCCACAACTCCGTAATCATGCTTTCCCACGTACTCCAGCACTGGGGGCTGAACGTGATGGGTTATTGTCCAATTAGTAAAACATATGGGCAGGCAACAGCAGTCTCATGACGGCCCTACTGCAACATGGAGACTTTCGATTCTTGATTCGACTTTCCTCATCAGCGCCAGCTTAGCCCTTTGTCTTGCTGCACAACTACTCTTGAAACTGCCCAATCTACTTTTGCACTGCGTGTTTTTGACTTCAATTTGATCATCTGCGCAATTGCATTTCATTGGCTCCAAGATCCCAAAGTGTCACACGCCTGATGCCAACCGTCACCTGGCAGCTAGCAAAGCAACAGCGACCGCATCTCTATCAAGAATCCCATTTCGATAGGCTGGTATACGACTGCCAAGGCTCGCGAATCTCTATTGTGGGGATCAGGGGTTGTCATTGTCTGATGAACTCGATCGATGGCCTGCAAAGTAGCCTGTTGACTAGGTCCTGCAACATTGTACTCCCTCCACGCGACTCCTCCCATCATGGGGTGATATGGAAGAATGATTTCCCTCGTCTGCTGCTGGGCGAACTCTCATCTCAGAGCCAACGAGATGGTTGGGGGTCGGCAAGTTGCATGTGTCCTCCCACAACTGATGTATTCGGCGCAGCACTTGGCTGGTGATGTGTCACAGCATGATGCTTCAACGTATGCAGCGGGAGTCGCAAACCCCGCAGCCAGCATGCGTATTCCCGTTCAATGATCTTCATTACCCTAGCATCGAGAACCAAGCAATTGTCGGGAATGTCTGTGGCTTCAGATCCCGGCGCTGATCTCAGGCATGACCTAAACATCATCCCTTCTTGTCAGCCCTGCCGCCACATATGAGAGGGGCACCAGAATGGTTATTTGCTTACAAAGAAAGAGTACAAAGTGTCCCCTTGTCCAACGTCCAAGCAGACTAGCGCTGTGCATGACATCGGCGCTGCTCAAGTCCTATTAACCAAAATCCTCAACGCCTGCCCAGTATCAAGGTATATATATCCCATCAGTGACACCAGATGGGTCGAAGCAGTGCACCCCGCTCTGCATAATCTTGCAATACATAACTTCAGCCTTCTACTTTGCAAAACTCCCTCTCAACTTCAAAAATGGTCGCTTCCGGCAGCAGTCATGGCTATGTTCGGCTCTTGATGGATCTTGTGAATGCTATCGATAATCTCGTCACGGGAAACGCTACTTTAGAGGAATTTTGGAAAGTGAGGCCGGCCCGTCGTGCGATCTTTTTTGTTTACTCTGAGAACTTCGCCTATTTTGAGCTTTTCCCTCAACTCTCCTACAAACCTTTTTCTTTCAACCGATCAACGCTTGAGTCAGATCGCTGTACCACGGCCACTTTCGTTACAACGCTGGGGAATCCCACTCGCAATCTCGAAGAATCTACGTCTCTCGGTCCGCACATCCTAGCCCATATAGCTAGACCGTGAAGAACAACTCAGAGCGGCGTCCTCATCAAGATGGAGCCTTTTGATCGTTTCATCTCCGTCATCCTCCTCTTCCTTACTCTGGTTTCCCCCGCCTCTGGTCTCCCTCTTCCCCTTCACCACGATGCCCATCACTTGGTTTCTCGTGGCCTTGTCAGTCCTACCAATGCTGAGTTGATCCATAACACGATCGCCTTTGGTATCCCGGCTTTGATTGCCTTCGCATTGAGGATGTAAGTCCTGCAGCCCCAAGAAACAGCTTGCGCAATTGTCAACATGCTGCAAAGAGCCCGGACTAATCTGCGCCGTCAGCATCAACCGCGGTCTCGTTCTCAAGAAGCTCCACGCCGAAGACTATCTGATGATCGGCACTATGGTACGTTTTTTCTCTCCTAAGCTAACAAAGTTCCTTCCTAATGACACCATAGTTCTTTTATATCGCTCTGATGGTCTTGATCAACGTCTCTGCTAACTTTGGCACCAACCTGTATCCTCCCGAGCAACAAGACTCCATCCTGGCTGACCCTAGTGACGTCAAGAACCGCATCCTTGGCTCCAAGATTGTCATTGCCCTCGAACAATGCATGATCGCTTCCACTTGGGGTGTAAAGCTCTGCATTTGGACCTTCGAGATGCGCCTGTTGTAAGTTCTCCTCCCGCCTTCCAGGAGACACGATCTAATCAAATGTTGTGCAGCCGACAGCTTCCACAGTATGAGCGCGCTATGTGGTTCCTCTTCGTCTACATCTGGGTTGGCTTCGCATTCATCGAGATCTTCTACTATGGTGTATTCTGCCGACCTTTCGATCAATATTGGGCTATGCCGGTCAAGAACTTGCAGTGCGCCACGTATCATAACTACAGTATCTTGCAAATGGTTTTCAATATCTCTTCGGACTTCGGACTCATCATCGCGCCACTCCCAATGGTTCTCAAGTCTCAGCTCCCAAGACGCCGCAAGATTGTCCTCTTCTTTATTTTCTCTATGGCTCTGTTCACTATCCTAGCTGCGATCCTCAACAAGTAAGTCCCCTCCGCCCTCTATCCTCCCACCTTCACTAACAAACAACAGGGTCTACAACTTCGAATCTCCAATGACCACCGTCTACCAGCTCTGGTACATCCGCGAAGCCTCCGTCGCCGTCTGCGTTGGTAACCTAATCTGCACCTGGCAACTCTTCCAGCGCATCTTCCGCCTCCGCACCTTCAACACCAAGTCCGCCGAGATCCACGACGACCCCGCCATGCCCCGCTTCGTCCCGCACATCCGATACAGCAACCCTGTGCGCGTGGCCTGGACTTACTTGACAACTGGTGGCACGGATACCCGATACCAGACTGCTACCGGTGGTGATTCGTCTCTGACTACGGCCGAGATTCCCGTTGGTGATGAGAAGGGAAACTTGGGCGAAAAGGAGAGGAAGAAGAAGGAGAAGGTTCATGAGCGTCATGTTACTAGTACTAGTTACATGATGACCTTGAACCGTGATGGCGAAGGTGATGCGCGTCCCGCTCTCGCCTTCCGTGACGAGCATAAGATCGAGTAAATTTGCCTGTTGTCTGTTGTGCCCTTAGGGGTTTAGATGATAGATGAGAAGTTTCGGTGAGAAGTTTAGATGAGAAGAAATGAAAATGTTTCACGACTGTGATCTCGATGTCCCAACTCGAAGTGAGCAATACCTGAACGAATGATTTCAGACTTTCATGCCATCACAGATCAATGTATATCAAGGAGTTTCAAGTGATCCCGCAGCAGTGTGAACATTATCTAATTGAGACGCCTGCACCATGACCAACTTCGATCTATCTCAACAGGCTGTTGCAGTCCGGTCACCTCGGTACTTATGGAGAATGTCTTGGGAAGAAGCTAATGGTTGCATTGAGCAGTCTAACGAGGCTCGAGCACTTTTACCTAGGAGCCATGACAACAACAAGCGCGGACTCGATAAATTTGAACTTAGCGAAATCACATCGATTTAATACAACCTTTGAACAATTCGAGTTATGCAATGTCTTTCCCGAGGACGCAAATTGAGCGCCATCACATTGCTGTATCTGGCATGGATCTAAATCCTGACGGCTGCGACTCGTCCACGAACTCTCCTGCAACTTGGCGCTAGAATCGGCCACCCTTGACGACTTGGAGGGCAGCCTTGAGAGAACGGTTCGATTTTGGTATTGGAAGCCCGGACGATGGTGCATGGTGAGGTGCAGTACGTGCGGTCCCTGCCTCCCTCCCTTCCCTGCTCCCTCCGCTGACGGATTTACCATCAGACCGACCTTCTCCTCTATTCCGTTCTTCCCCCCTTGAATCAAGCGCAAGTGGCGGCACTAAATACCCCTCGAAAGGCCTCACCATCAACGAATCCTCGAATGCACACAGCCTCCGATCCGTTGCTCTGAGGGGAGGCGGGGGTGAAACATTGCGAGTGGGGCTTACTGGTCCGAAGCGCGACGGGTTTTTCCTTCGTTGGGCCAGATACCTTCTTCAGAACAAAGGGTAATAGGCAAGGCAAGGCGAAGCCCAACTATTGCGTAGCATAAGCATGAGAATCCCCGTGAGCAGGGGCTCGGATGCAGCATTGAGCGGAGGAGTGCATATGGATATTGAGTTGGGAGATTTGAAGTAAGAGGTTGGGGTTGCTCAGAGGCACGGCAGGCTTGCTGCAATGAGAAGGAGAGAAGGCGGCAGGCGGGTATCAATCTTCAACTTTTCGACATCAGCGACAGGAAAATTAGCTGCAGGATAATGAGGGCAGAGAATGACACATGCCTCACGCCATTCTTGGCACAGAGCACTGCAACCCAAGAAAATATTTGAATATGGTGGTAGTAAAGGATTCAAATGTATGTATTATTTGTTCCGAGATGGGATACATGACCAATGAGTAGGGAGGTTGATCTACAGCTAGAATTGCTCACCCGAAAAAGGGATAAAATGTAAACAAACCTTGAAACGGTACCCGACAACTGCCGAGCTGCATATGACTCTTGCTGCTCCCAAGACAATTTGCCGGGCACCTCTCTTTCAAGCAAAAGCCTGGCAATGAGTCACAACACTACATGGCGTCATACATGGAGCAGGCCCGACCAACCCCTTGCACGCTAGTCGACCCTTAATAAACAACAATAAGCAAAATTTTACAGCAAAGGCAAATCTGAAGGGTCGGTTATACGTTCTCTTCGGATTTGCCTTTAGTTTTGCTGTCTCTAACGTCACAACAACTAACAACCAACCCCGATCTAAAAGTGATGCAGAATAAAGGGGGAGCCTCGCTTCATGATCCTAGCATGAAAAGAGTATTGTGAAATCACCGGGGTTGCAAAATCTTTTAATTGAAGAACTGAAAGATTTAGTTGGAGAATAGTTTTTTGGGCACGGGCAGGAAGCGGGGGACAGGGGAGAGGCAGGAGAATGGAAAAGGGGCGAGAAGGGGGGGCTGGCTTCCAATTTTGACACCCACTTTCCTCTTATAATGTATCCTTGCCGCAGTAAACAAAAGGTTTCTGTTCCAAGGTGTCTGAACATTGATTAGAAACCCCTTACAGGTTAATGGGGCATACATCAAGAAATTATATAATAGAGAACAGGCTATCCAAAATATTACATGTCGAATCCGAGGTGAATTTTGAGGGTCGTATAAACTCGAATAAGCGATTTTGTAGTATGTGTCAATAGGAATACGGGCTTTGGCCAATATTTCTAGAGGCACCTTTTGCTAATTCTCATTTTCTAACGATTTTGTCCAGTGGTTGTGATTTTTTGAATAGCTTTGTGCTACTTTGCTTAGGGAATTTATAGCCTAGTTGCTAATTGAAGCGAAAATAAATGACGTGTGTGCAATGACAATACCCCTAATACTCTTGTGCAATTCTGAATATCACGACCAGTAGCTCAACAATATTGCACATAATAACACTCACCGCTCTGGGTACCTGCATTAGTTATAGTTCCGAAATGTTAACGGCCTCGTACTATAACTGTCGCCCTCCGGGACCACATACGCTTTCTAGCCACAAGTACGTGTTCAAGACACTCTCTGCACGGGCCGGGCTGAGACTTAACTTGCTAACAATATTTGCCAAGCATGAAGCAAACCAAGCTCTTTCCGGATTATCAACCGCCGCAATGCCCCCAATAGCAAGCATCCATGGAATTAACTCCGCCAATTCAATGCCATAGCTATCTTCGTCAAGTTCCTTGGTCCAAGTTTGGAGGTGCGAGGCCAAGATTTGCAGGATCTCAAGGCTACTCGGGACCAGAAGCACAACGGCTAGGCCAAGTATGCGTACGGCAAGTCGGCAACATTAACAAAACGCTGAGACACCGACATCTCAGTGAGATCTTCAGTTAATGGTAGCGGTAGGATTCTTTTCTGAACCGCAATTCTTGCCTGAACAATAGCCGCGAGGCCGAAGCAAACAGGCTTGCCTTGAAGATAGTATCCTGTAAAGCCGTGAAGCTCCTACCCACTCGAGGCTTTCAAATAGTAAGCCAGATATCCCAAAGTCCTGGAATTTCCTAAACGCTGATCCTTGTGGTATTGAGGGTGATGATTTTGCCCATACTAGCATGAAAGCTATATAATCCTCGTGGCGTTGCTGCTTTGGAAATATCGGCTTCCAAAGGGCTTGGTACACAACCTGAACCTGCTCTGTATGGCCTCATTAGCGATTTGGGTGGGTAAATTGAAGGGCGTTCATACGATACAACCATCTCCGCTAGTCCCGGAAATTCAAGACAACAATATCAAAAGCTGCCTTCATATGCTCCCAAACGACGCCGATATGGCCATACACGTTAAGCCATTGCGTGCTGCTAAGCGGAGATTGAACGGGCTGTGCTCTCATCACACTTCGAGGCATCCATAACCTCAACATCGTTAGCAGCAAGTATCGGAATGGCTATACTAACTTCGCCTCGAGAGAATCCGCTGCCATCTAAGATCGGCTCGTTCAACTTTTGGATCACTAGAGGCATAAGAAACAATATCTTGGTTCTTGGGTTTACTCCGTTACTCGGGACTTCATCAGGCATAAGTCCAGGCAGCATGCAGGCCATAGCTGAGAGAAAGCCAGTTAGCCATAGATCCACACCGGAGAAAATGAGACATGGAGGCTAGTTAGTAGCTTTTGGAGGGGCTTTGCGCAATATTATTCTTACCGTGGTCTACTGGTTAGAGCTTATTGCGCTCTAGCTTTTCAGTTAGGGAGCTCGAAAACGGATCCGATCTCCCACCTCCCGGGATATCAAGAGGACTTGGATTTGACATTTGCAATAAATTCCTGCACATGATTTTGCTCTCATCCTCGACTTTGCGTTAGTAATTAGGGGCCCCAGACTTGTGTGAATCCTTGCGTGCCTTGCAATGTGATTCGTATTCTTTTCGAGGATCCTTGAATCTGGAAACATTTCTCTCTTCAAGTGTGATGCCACGTAGCGAGAATGCCGTCGGGGTATTATGAACCACCGCCCTATAGGGTAAACCTTTGCTAGACAAAAGAGCGTCGTTCTTTCGATTTGAACCTAGTCCTGGGAGCGTACAGAGATCGAAGGGCAATTCTTATGTTGGCAGGTTTCGGGTTGATTTTAGTGGGGTACAGGAGGATATTTCGATTTTAGCGGGGATGGTTGCTTTTTAATCGTTTTCGAATATAGGAATGAATGTCGTGGTGGTACCCGTGCTTGTAGGTCTTGCAATCGCATGTTTGATTAACAAATAAATGGTCGGGAGCCCAAAAAGCCCATTCGCCACTATTGGTATAGTCTTTTTGCTTGTAGACCCGTGTTCTAAGCGTGTGAACTCCATCTCAGGCAGCAGTAGTAATTCCTTGGTGGTGAGTCTTCAGTACACATGTGAGGGTCAAGGCATGTCTTTAAAAAAATGAAAAGCAACGCCTATTTACGTCCTTTGGTCCGAAGAGCCAAAATAGCCTTAAATTCTCACAAAAGCATGGTACTCCCGGAGTTTCAGCGGTATACACTGAGACGAATCATCAGACTGCATTAGCGAGTGAAAAGGGGCTATCACGTGATTGTATTTCACTGCCGATCCCCCATGTTGTCAGGAGGCCGATGGTTACAAATAGACTCCTAAAGCACAAAAGAGACATATTAGCCTTCATGCTCGTAGAGAAGAGAGTGTTCAAGCTCTAAAAGTGAATGTCAAAACTACTGAATGCGCAAAACAGTGGTCTCAAGGATGAATAATTGTCCAGACTCCACGATTGCCGCAGGAGCATGGTACAAGTATTTACCATGCACACGAGGTATTTACTCTATATCTCTTCTGTGTCATGTTTGTATCAGCCTTGGCCTTCTTGATCATCCTTGCTGGCGATCTGACAGCTATCGAGGAGTTTTGAATATTTCTCGTCACCACAGAGCCGGCACCAACTGTGATATCATCTCCTATCATCACACCAAGCAAGATTACACTATTTTCTCCACAAGGACAGCAATCATTTCCAATAGTGACATCTCTCGGATAGATTATGCCACCTCTTCTTCGTCCTTTAGCGTTGGGTGGCTGCAGCGAAGGTACTCATATCTGGACCAAACTTCGTCCTGCTAGGGCGTGGGACATTCAGAAGATTTCAACTTCCTCAGGGGGGTTGAGGTCAATTGTGCCTTATCACATTTATAGATGTCACCCTCATCAAGAAAACGTTTTATTCAGTCGTAAATGATGCACTGTGTCTTAAGCTTCAATTCATTGCTTCCTTTAAAACATGAGTTCCCCAGCCATATTCTGAACCCATCACAATACTGCCTCACGATAAGCACCAGATATTTCCGTCTCTAGCGTATTAAAATACTCCGTCCCTCGCTGAAATGAGAATCTCTCTATCTTCCCCCCAATTACTGAACACACATGGCAAACTTGAGTGCCTCCGCACTTCCGCTCCTCGAGGCATTGATCTTCCTCAACGAGCCGTGGCCAACCTCGAGGCACTGTCGTATCGCAGCCTAGCGGTCTACCCCTTTCCTCCCCAAAAGGGAGCCTTTTCTTTGGTCCGCAAAAGCAGAATCCTTCCTCACATTTGAGCCTCAGGGACCGGAAGGCATGAAGCTTACCCACACCTGTGAATCTCTCACCCTTCCCGGTCCATCAAGAGAGCAGATTTTTGCTATCGCATCAAGCGTATCAATATGCCTTCGCGCTTTTCTGACTCGAATAGTGCCGCCTTCCACAACTGGTTGAGCCAGTCGCTTCAAGCTCCGGGAGAAGAACGACACACTGACAATATCCCGGTATCGCAGACCATTGAGAATTCCAAGGGAATTTCTTGGCATGATTTATCCATCTTCACTAACGTCGCCCTCACCCTCAATCCGGATCCCCATCCAAGATATAGTTCTTCTTCACGCACTTCGGCTTCCACAGCCCTCCCTCGCTCGGCCCCCAAGGATTAAAACTTCTCCCGGGGCTTCTCCAAGTGCCGTTCCTGGGAGGGCCAGGAATTGACCCATTCGGCGGTCCCATCGGGGGCCTTTCATACCCTGGGCCGTCATACCCGGGCCCCCCTGGACGCCTTCCACGACCAGGTAGCCGTCGACCCATGGGAATGATGGGCCACATAGGAATATAGCACTTCTCGTCCCATTCGCAATGTACATCGCAGCCGATCCATTCGCCTGCCCAGCCGAGCCAGGACATCAACTGTTCGACTCCTTCTGTCCAGCGTTTGACTTCGTGGTTCAGTCCAGGGATCTTGGTGGGTGTTGTCCTTTTGCTGGAAGGGAGGTTAAAATGTGCTTCCCAGATCCCCTCGGTAGACAATCCAACGTCGACGAGCACCGAGCAGATCCCGCCGAGGGTCTCTTCTACTGCCCAATTCAGCAGCTCCTCTTCAGGGCCAAGCAGAATTCCTTGTTTTGGGTCAAGCAGTCGCGTGTATTGGAAACGGCAGAGTGAGTATGTGTCTGTAAACAGTGTTGATTCTCGGGTCCAGATCTCCGAGTCGGTAGGGGAATCGGGGTATTGTAGGAATGAGACGAGGAAAGTATGTGTTTGGTCGCGGATGTCCATCATCCACAGTCCAACTGCGGTGTGGTTGTGAGCCTCGGGATATTGTTGAAGCACCTTGAGAAATGTCAGCAGAGGGGCGGCGTAGGTTTGAACTATGTCGTTGGTGATTGTGGCCCAGTCAATGCCGCTGCAGTTTGCTGGAAATGGAGAGAGCAGGTCTTTTAGAACCCGCTCGGAGTGGGCACGCATGATTGCAGCATCTGAAGTGGCGACATGCTCGAGTGTATGGACTCGTCTCCGCCGCTTCAATGCTTCGAGTGCATCTTCTCTTGTTCCATCATTTCCTGGTCCGGTCCAGAGCCCATCTTTTGTTAGATTGAGTGTTTTCTGCTCTTCAGCTGCTCGAGGAACCGCTTGACTTAAGAACTCCGGTGCATAGTAGCTGAGAAAACCGCAACTCGTAATCTTGACTCGAGTTTCACCTAGCCCCGGGCCGTTCGCGGAAGAACCATAGTGAGCAAGAGCACTGGCTCCCCAATTCCAAGCCTGAGTTGGGAAAAAAGGTTCCCTCGTCCATTGCTCACGTCCCATAACAGGTGGTTGAGGCGGATCCGATGGGTCTGTTGCTTTATCTGACCTGGTTGGAGATGGCGGGAGAGGAAAATATGAAGTCGGCTCGTAGTCATCATCTTTCGCAGATATCCCGTCATCGCCTTCTGCCGGCAGAAGCGGAGCGGTAACATTCAAATGAGAGACCAGGCGAATCGACGGACTACTAAAGTTACACCAAATCATTTCGAATCCAGCGTTCATTCTCACAATACCTTCGAATCCCCAGCCTGGGCCACCCAGTTCCTTGTCGTGAAGCCAATCGCAAAGCCCAATCGCCCTCGCATATTCCTCCCACAGCCCACGCCATCCGTTGTCTGGCCTTGCCGGCCCGCTTAGGTTGCCCCAAATCTGAAGCATTTGTGTATCCAACTGCCCAGAGCCAAACAATGTTGCCGATTCTCCATCAAAGTATATGCATTTCGTCCTCCGTGTCGTTTGATATGTCAACATGTGCGAGTTCCTGTCTCCTCCCATGATGCCGTACGCCATTCCACTACGCCTTGTCAGCAGAGCTCAAATTAGATTGGAGGAAACTTACATATCGAAAGCAACCCATTCGGGGCTTGGTGGAACCTCTGCATCTTTACGTCCATGGTACAGCTTCGTCAAGAGCGGGATCTCGCAGGGCACAATGCTGTGCCCATTTGGAAAAAAGGTGTTGGACCACTGTTGAAGGAGGCCGTATGCAGATGCGAAGTAATGCGGTGCTGAGGAGGAGAAATTGAAGTTCCATGGACGTGCGCTCAGAGAGGCTATATCATGGTGGTTCAATGGTTTCTGCTGAGCTGCAGCGGTCGTTGAGAGGTAAATGAGGACCACCCAGATCCCCTTCATGCTATAAAATAACTCCATCCTGCATATTATAAGCACGAAAGGTAACAAAGTAATTGACAACTTGGAGGGTATTCATCTTGGTTATACCGAGCACTCTTCGAGGGGGATGCTCAATGTGACGCGTCACTGGTGATTGAAGATAAGGAAATTACAGGGGTATTGAATAGAAGGGATCACCAGCCAACCGCCCAAGCAAAATTTCAGAAAATTTTCAAAGGGCTCAGAAAATTCTGAAAATCTGTGGAATGACTAAGGTGAGGTCATAGATCACGAATATCAACTTATTTTCTTCATTTTGGGATGTGGTTGTGGTGCGGTTATAGTAAAACTATTTTTTGGGCGGTTGAGTATTTGGGCGGTTGGCTGGTGAACCCTTCTAAACAAGCCTAACGAGGTAACGAGCCCGCTCTCACTAGTCTGCGCGTACAGGCTTCCAAACACACTTCATAGTGCAAATCGCGATACAAAATCAATTAATTTAATTAGGAGTTGACCACCCTCTACGCTCTGCCAATACATGCACCCAGTGCTCATGCTTTAAAATTAATTGATTAATCCATTCTTGTGGTATTGCGTCCCATTCCTCTGTTACTGCCGCTTCCATTTGGGCCTCCGTAGTGGGTTAGTGCTTTCGCCGGTGTAGCGATTATTTGATCCTCCTCCAACACTTCTCAATTGGGTTCATATCAGGGCTCGTAGAGGGATACGGCATTAATATAATACCAAGCTTTGTTCGCCATCTAGCATAACGATTACTAGTCGACTTGTGGCCGTGAGCTGAGTTACCGTCTTCCATAAAAAGAGGCTCCACCGATGAGCAAAGTAGGTGAGTAATTGAGGCGAAGGCATTAATAATACCCTCTATATATGGTGCGAGAATTTGGGAGAGATAATCGCGTTAAGTAAAGGCTCCCTTCTTGCCAGATCCGCGAAGAAATAGCAAAGGGCTCTTATACCCATATCCAATTGCTCCCCATGCATTGACTGGAGTAGTATGCCCACGGTGAAGCTGGTGCTGTATACACGTTTCGCACTGACGCTCCCCCCTCTTTCTAGTCACCTTCTCCTTTGCAGTCCTCCCGCCTATTAAGAAGGTAACCTCGTCCGACCAGAGTACCTTCAGCCACTCCGTATGCCAGAATATGTGTGCCATTGCCCAAAGATATCGCGCAATAACTTGAGCTTTCGTGAGGTAGGGCTTTTGGCAAGCAGTGCACCGGAAATAGCCTCGTTGTTTGAGCCTCCGCTCCAACGTTGGGACAGAGCATGTAAGCCCAAGCTCCGCATGAAGGATGTCGTACTTAAGGATTCGATGCTCCCATGATCGGAGAGGTAATTGATAATTTCGTCGACCTTTGCATCCGAGAGAAGGAAGGCAGGGCCGGTGCGATTTGGACGTCTTCGCTCAGGGTAATCAAAGCTCAGAATGCGACGAACTGAGCTCTCGTTGAGGTGATATCGCTCCTGAATCATTAAAACTGGGACATGGCCAAACCAGTGTAATTGGCGTATCGCTTCCTTGTGTTTTGTAGGGATTTCATAGCCAGGAAGGTGCTGAAAATCAAGTGGTGGAGGAGTAGAAGTCATTCTGGTGGTAATTTAGGAAATTGGTGTGGGTGCGGGGTGAAGTGTGGCCTGAAAACAAGCCTGTACGCGCAGACTAGTGAGAGCGGGCTCGTAAAGCACCAAAATGTTCAGCAGTGTGGCTGAGAATGGTCGACAGCACTGCAACTCGTTTTGCGCATGTACACCTCAGCACGATAACCTTGCAAGAGCCTTCGTCCACCACAACCGAAGCTTAAACTTGGATAGCACAACTCTCTCGAGTCTCCACCACCTTCTTTTTCAGATCGATCGCCCTGCTCTTATAAATGTGACTAGTTGCGCGTTTACGGCGGCTTCATTCTTCGTGAAATTCGTACGACAATGAAGTCTCCGTTTCTGTATCCGGCACTCTCGCAAAGGAAATGCACGCGAGTTCTCGTTCTTCAGCCAGCCGAGAATAGAGCCGCCCAAGTTGTTTGTTCCCTCACAGAAGTAGACCTTGATCTGCTTTCTACTAGACGAAACCCATATGAAGCGCTATCCTACGTCTGGGGTTCTCCTGTTTGCAACAATGAGATTACCTGCGATGGGGACAGTCTTCTAATAACAGAGAGCTGCCTTACAGCCTTGCGATACTTGAGAATGAAGGCGCGCACTCGAACACTCTGGGTTGATGCGATATGTATCAATCAGAAATCTCTCGAGGAAAGAAACAAGCAGGTCGCGTTAATGGGTGACATTTATAAATGTGCGCAACGGGTGCTCATTTGGCTCGGTGAAGCTAGTGAAGCCTCTGAACAGGTATTACACCAACTTCGACGAGTAGAGAGACTTCGTATCGCCATGATCTTTATTCAGGACTTAGATCTGCTCAGGAAGCTGCAGCGTTCAATTTTTCGTAAGGAAGCCCTCCCATTGTGGCGCTACTGCTGAATCTGTCGACAGCTTTGACAGATGTGGAATGTCAAGCATTCAAAATCCTGTTAGGGAATGAATGGTGGCGGAGAACTTGGACTTTGCAAGAGTTCCTATTCGCGGAAGACTCATTGGTGATGTATGGTAGTTTCGTCCTTAACCTCGAAACATTGGTCCGCGGCTCGGATATCTACGTAGGGGACCCTCGCATAGGGAGTCGGCAGACCTGGATTGACTTCGTGCAATGCTCCCATTTGCGTGGAATTTACCGCGCAGTGTGTAAGGATCGCAGACGCAAAAGTACCACGGCCCTAGTTCGCTCCGCCCGAAGGAAGTCTTGGCGGTTGTTTGCAATTGAACTATTCTTTATAGCTCAGTCGCGAAAGTCCTCTGATGGCAAAGACAAAATATACGGCCTGCATCAAATCCTCTACGATTGTGGTATAACATTACCCGAGCCGAATTATGCCCTTGGTACAGCTCAAATTTATAAAGAAGCGACAGCGGCTTTGCTCCAGGGTTCAAGGTCATTACGCATACTTGAGCTGCAAGAAAATGCGCACAAGCGACATGACCTACCATCTTGGGTCCCAGATTTTGAAGACGTTCAGCCATTGTATTCTGCACGCATCCATGCCTGCACTATATTGCATAAGAGACATATTCCAGTGTATCAACATGGTCGACTAGTTCTTCAAGGCCAGATTATCGGTAACCTGGTAACCCTTGCGGGTCGTCTTCAGTTTAATACCCAAAGAAGCGTGGACAAGTATGACTTGTCTGAATTAGGTGGAGTTTTCTACGGATTACTCAAAATCACCCAACCCCAAGACAACCCCACCGCCAAGTATCATGTGGATGTACTACAACGCACTCTCTTAGACACGCTTACAGATTCTGATGGTCTTGTAAAGCCCCGAATAAGCAGGGCCGCCAAGCGTAACTTTTCAGAGCTATTGGAGTTCTTGAATGACACGTGCGAACACAAAGACATCAAAGCGGGGGTAGAAGAGAAACAAAGAAAGAGCTTGGAAGTGTTTAATCAAGGCGAATCAGGGGTAGGTCGATTTTCAAAAAGGCACCAAAGTATGGAATATCTTTCTCTTCTTCGACAAGTAGCTTCTGAGAATGTCGGGAGAGAATTGTTTGTGGCAAGTAGCGGCGATGTAGGTCTAACCCATGCAGACGCTAGAATGGGCGGCCTTGTGGTTTTGTTTCCTGGAGCATCCATGCCTTATATTATACGTTGCGCTGGAGAGCATCATCTTTTCATTGGTCTCGCTCGTGGTATGTACAAGTATCGGCAGGATCCATACGTGGCTTGGAAGGATGATTGGGGGAATTTGGCAAGCTTCACGTTAATATAGAGCAGCACAATAAAATCCAACTGAATAGATCGTTGACAGAAAGCTATTTCTAGAGAGGAATTTTGACAAGTCCATTCTTGTTTGGGTCACATGACTAGAACCAGTATGGGAAGAGCAGCGCTCTATAAGCAGCCTTCAAGGCGAGATATTGGTACTATAAGGGTCTTTCTCTTATCGGCAGGTCATTTTAACGTGTCCTTCTTAAAGTTCAATACTCTAGTCAATTTCGAAGGCTAGATGTGAGCCGCAGGGTGGCAAGCAGTTCAGTTGGGTCATTATAGTTACAAGATGACAATTCCGTGCGCTTGGAGGTGTGACAAAAGCGGCTGCTAAGATGCAGAAGTTGCGACGCCTTTTTGACGCCGACTGGTTCGCATCTGTAAGAGCTTAGTAATAGATTAACACGTGAACCGGATTTGCGAGTGCGTGAGTGCGTGAGTGTGTGCTGTGAGATAGAAACAGAGGAGAGAGAAAGTGGGGAGAAAGGCTGTTGAGCTCCTGGGCAAATAGTCCCTGACTTCGTGCGGCTCATTAACGTGGAGGTGCTTGGTTGGTTGTAGGCTTCAACGCAATCACGTAATAAGCAAGAACTAAAGAAAACAGCACCAAACGGCAACATTTATTGGACGGCTGAAAGCCTCAGCGGACCTTGGTCTTCATGAACAAACTTCACAGCAAAAAAAAATAACACGTTCACTTCACAGACCGCCCATATTGTCTCAATTAACGGGGTTATTTTGTACGTATTCTTTTCCTGATTCCGTCTTGAGGAGACAGGGGAGCCAGTGGACTGATAACAATACCTAGGTATATGGGTAACAGATGGAACTCCGACAACCTAATGACAACCACCTACATCTGGATCCTTCTTACCATCTCCGGGACAACAGCCACTTTACACAACGAAGTAAACTGGATCCTCGACATCGCGGGCGGGACCTGGAAGGCCGGGCCAACGTAAAGCTCCTTTGAAGCCGAAGACGCCACTAACACGATCTCAAACGGAACGAAAACCGCAGAATACACGAGCTGCTCAGACACGAACTGCTCAGACACGAAGAATGTCGGGTATATAGGCGGTAAGCCTGGTGGGACGCTGACGTTCCCGAATGTTTCAAGTAGTGTAGCAACGAATAGCACGATTAGGATTCGTTATTTGAATGGAGATAAAAGTCAAAGGTTCGCGAATGTCGTTGTTAATGGTGTAGCAAATGTAGTTGCGTTTTTGCCAACGAGTGGGACGACGCCGGGGACCAGTGCGCTGACGGTGCCTTTGACGGCGGGGAGTGCGAATGTGGTGAGATTTGAGGTGTATAATGGGGGTTGGGGTGAGTCGTAATTCGTAATTGTGATTGAGGGAATTGTGCTAATGAGGTGAAGGGCCTGATGTTGACAAGCTGATGGTGCCTCAATCTTGAAGGAGTGTGCGAGTCCGGAGGAAGAGTGGATGGAAAGAGAAAAGGGTGACTTGAAGACTAGGTTCGGAGAATCGGTATTTTGGACTCCTCGGGCCGCAGCACCCTGAAGCAGTCGCTGAGTAGATCAATCGAATCATGGCGAGATCTGCGGAAACACCGTATGATGCGTTGAGGGAAAAAGTATCGTCTCCTTAATATCGATGTCTCACCCCACAGCTGCCATCTTCGCGTGATCATTGACCGTGAGATCAGAGATACATCTGATGTTGGTGGCATTGGTGCGTTTGTGCATACTTGGTGAAGTAGACAGTCGAGGTTGCTGAATAGACCTGGATCCACGATTCGAAGTGCAGATAACTCGCTGCGACTCTGCTTGATAGCCGTCTCTGCTGCTTCCTCGTATTGCTGACCCATCATCCGCAGGCGTAGATATTTTGCAAGAACTGTCGAACACAGGAGCGAGAGTTGTCCATTCAAGAGGTCTTCTGGACCGGAATATTTGTACTGGCAAGGAATCTCAGCGGTGGTGATGGCCCTGGCTTTAAGAGCGAAGGTCCCAATCTGGACTTCGACGTCCGAGAAGAGCCCAACGCGGGTATTTGCGTGTGTAAGTGACGCGGTCACCCAAATGTATCCCGTAGCGCAAGTGCAGAGCGAGTAATATGATCCATCCGAGAGATTTTTCTTTTGAAAGAACGCTTTTGCACCATATGCTCTGATATCTGCAAAGTTCGCAGTAAGGTCCGACCCGTATTTCCCCAACAACTTTTCATCAGTCAGATTCAGGTCTGGTAAATCGATACCTGAATCGGTTCTGGTTGTGATGAAGAACATGGGTTGAGTCATGAAGTCGGTTTCGATGGTCCTCGCATTTTGAACCCGACTTATTCGTAGCTTGGGACTCGAAACTGTTGATATTTAGCAACAGCACTCTTTCCGGGTCGGAATGTTCACATTCGGTGGAAACCGCAGCCTCTTGAATAAGGTCAGGCAGCTGCGCAAAGACTCTCTCATTCTGAGACGTCACATCAATTAACGAGGGAGTCCTACTCCGACTTGTAACATAAATCTCGGTTTGCAGGCTCATATTTGCGTTTCAGAAAGAGAATTGATCGGCAAAAGACTATTTCGTGCGACGGAGTTCTTATCACAGGCAACGATGGGGCGAGATGAGGGGTTTATCAGACCTCAGCTCGTATTGTTTCTGCCCACTAAATATAGGATGCGGCGGGGTACAGCTGAATACGAGGTTGCCTCCAACCTCAATGGTGGGACTGAATTCTGAAACGAGGCTAAAAGTGTCTCGAACATGCGGACCGATCCTTGAAAGGGGAATGCGGTTTGAAGCACATGCTGAATCTAGAACCCCATGACACGACCTTCAGGAGGGTGGAATCACGTGATATCAAAGATAGATGGGGGTACTGAAGTGGAACAGTCTGGAAGGCAAGGAGGCGACAATTGAACAAAGCAACCTTCGTCAGATGCTCTCATTTGCTTTGGGCTCTGCATGGATCTTCTTGCTCGTTCTCTCCCCTTGAATGCGAATGAAAGAAGGTGGAGAGCCTGGAAACCTAGGGAAGCACCGGTGAGACATTTGCTCTTGATATATTCTTGTCGGGGACCTTGTCTCTTGAAGATTCGAGTAGAGGATAGAACTAGAAGACAACCGTCCAATACATTTTACCGAGGAAGGCAGTGTTGGATAAAAGCCCTGGATGAACCTGGCGTGTGGGTGAAAGTCGCTCCAGATCATCGCTTCAGGGGTTCGCGTCAATCTCGCGAATTCATGCGAAGATTCCCCACAATTGCAAGAGTGGGTGCAAACAACTTTCTCAATACAAACAATCTTCCTGTTCTCATGAACTTGCGCTTTTTTGAAGCCTCTTACGGTTCACTTGACGTTTTGGTGTGCCGAAAAACATAGGAAAGGGGGAGAGAAGTCACCTCGGTGATAACGCGTCAAATTGCCGACGCGCCATCAAATCTTCCAGAATCACTCCACGTCGATTATCACAGTTCCGTTTTTTTGGGAGTCTGCCCCCAACGACAAGTCCTCGCAGCTCAATTCAGCGCCCAGCATGTCTTCGGAGGTAGTGAAGAAGAGGGGAAGGCCCAAGAAGGTCATTTCGGACCCTGTCGAGGTGGAAATGTCGGAAGCAACCAAGAAGACGACCACTAGGGCAAAATCCACGAAAGCTGGGCCAAAGACTCCTGTAGCGAAGGCATCTACATCTGCGAAGCCCCCTGTGGTCGAGAAACCAGTGTCCAAACCCAATGCAAGCAGTCCGGTTGCTCCAAAGGTCGCGTTTAAGCCTTCAGCGGCGGCAGCACAAAAACCTGCACCAACTTCCGCAAAACCCACAGTCAAGACATCAACGACCCCGGAGACGTCAAAGATATTGAACAAACTGCGAGAACAGTATTCAAAGACTACACCTCCAGCAGCAGAGGCTGTGAAGTTCTCAAAACCGTCCACGCCGTCGATAGCTTCCAAACCAACTACAGCAAACACAATACAAACAAAAGCGACTCCTTCGCCAACTACAGCATCATCGAGCTCTGCTAAGCCCCCTGCAAAACCAATCCCAGTTCCATTCAAGCCGTCATCTGCGACTGCAAAACCACCGCCACCTCCCCCCACGAAACCTGCCCCGAAACCCCACGTTCCCATTGCAGCCTTGAACTCGGAAATCGTGTCGAACATATCTACAAGGGCAGGAGCAAGACCGAATGCGAGCCAGGGGAGTCCGCTACCCAAGAACTACAAATCAGTTGCGAATAAGGTCACGATGGCTATTGTTGCTATGCCAATTGCAATTGTTACGAGCTGGGTTTTGTATGAAAGACGTGAGCTTCCTTCCAATCCCCAGCATTAAAAGAGATTGGCTAATATTCTGGTCAAGTGGTATTAGGAGAAGACAGAAAACACCTTGTGAAACCAGGGATGGCTATGGTAGAGACTCCAGCTCCGGCGGAGGGAAAAGGAGAAGGCGCTCCAAGCCCGTCGTCAACATAAACAACTTGCAAATGAGTGTGGCGGAAAACTACATATTACGATGATATGACGCAATGTTTATGGTAATGCTCTACACAGAAAATCTCAACATTTTGATACCCCGTTCTGGCTTTATCTTCGATACAACCACCCCTAGTGAGTTGAACACTTTGATTGAACTACCCACGCCAGCCCAGAACTCCACAATTCCGCGTAACTTGGCCAGAAATATCCACCCCCGCGCACAATGTCAAGTGACAGATGCTTTCCATACCTCCTTCTATAGAAACAGGATTCGGCAATTAGTGGCCCTATGCTTCATCATCTTCTTCGTTTTCTTTGGATTGCTTCTGAATCCTTTTTCCTTGTTATCTTTCGCTTAGGCAACAGCTCCTCCAAGTGTAGGCATAAGACTTACGGCAAAAATACGACCTTGTAAAACTCCACCAGCATTTCATGATACTTCTCCTTATCTTTCTCCTGTTTAGAAAGTTGTGTCGATTCCTTGAAGCAGTGTGCAATGGCTTTGCTGTATGGTGATCCCCACCTCCCTTTCACTTCCGCCCCATCTGTGCCAATCCTCGATTCATCTGCGAGGACAAGCAGAGTCCTTCCTTCGGACTTTACTACATTCGAGACTTTGAACCCGTACATGACTTCGACCAATAGAATACCCACGCACCAACACTCAAGGTCGATTAGTCCCATTTTGGCCCATGCCCTGAGTTTCATGAGAAGCGTGCACCGTTCCTGATCTGCCTCCAGAGTTCGGAGCAAGTATCTAGGGGCTTCATCATCTTGCAATCGATTGAGGTTTACACTACTCAATGCTGAGAGCCACGACGTTCCCAGAAGGTGCAATGATGATTCGGCCAGTAAATGTGACAGTCCCCAACGCTGTTGAATGGGGAAAAGGGTCCATCTGTCCACCGTTGTCCGTTCCGCAATATCTCCAAGCAGGCCAGCGAGTGTTTGCTCTTGAAGTCGAATTTGCCTGGTGAAGATCTGTAAGGCATAGTACTGGGTTTCATTCAATCCCAGCGGCGACCCAAAGTGTGTAACATTATCCAAAGCTGCCTTGCAAGCATCGGCAAATGTGTTACGATCACACTGTGGAGGCTTGCTTTGCAATGCTCGCAGACTGAATTCCTGGCAATTCTGTGATGTTGCCTCGTATATAACTCGATATGTTGATATTTCACATTCCAAGTCCTTCGGGTCCGTCAATTCTATAGCTAGTCGAGTGTCATCAATACATCGACCTGAGCAAGTTTGGTACAGTATCCTTGCTGCGCCCCTCAATTTCTGCGCGTGTTCCAAGATCTTTTGGTGGTGGCGTTTTTCGACGGCCTCCACTCGTTCATTGACTGACGCAGAACGTTGAACATCGGGATACCTCGAGAAGAACAGGTTCAACGAAATAGCGTCAAGTATATCGAGACATTCCTTGAGAGCGGTAGCCTTTTGGCCGGCCTTCTCAGATGTTCCTGTGATGAGATCAAATTTCACCATGGCCCCAGTGACTTCTGCGATGGCCTTCTGGTGATCTTTCCTTTGCTCCAAAGCTCCTCGACGATCTTCAGGCAAGTTGGCAAGGAATTCGGCCTTGGCTTGGATCCCTGAAGGTGGCTCTTTCACAAGTCTTTTTCTGGTGGATCTCTTGACCTTCTCCCGATGTTCTCTCAGCTTCTGGACATACCCCTGGATATCCTTATCATTGTCGTTATTGTCGAACGGCTTGAGAAATTGGATCAAGTCTTCGCAGAGCTCGTCGATGGTTGATAGTTTCCTCTCAATAAATGCCCAACCCTCGATGCCCCACAACCTGATGCCAAAGGATGTCTGATCCGCACTCTTTATTCTCCAAGCTTTGCACCATGACTCTAGTCGGATCTTCGATCCCTTGAAATCTTCTTGATAATCAAGTAGTTGCCTTCCCACCAATTGGTATGCTTTGAGACCTCCTTTGATGCTAAGGTAACTTTGCGCGGCAAGGCTGAGGATTTTGATCGCAGCACCGATCCCTCCAGTCACCGATAGAGGCTCCGCCATACCGTTATGATGAGCAAGCCAATTATCTAAGGCCAGTGAGTCAAGTAATGTGACGACTTGACGACGCTACCATTGTGGGCTGCCTCGAGGTTTTCCTATGATGTTGGGGGGCGAGCAATGTCATAAGTATCGATCACAAGGAGGCGCCCTCATTGGATTGGCGCTCGAGCACGAATCAGACTGCACAACACAGTCGCAATTTGCGGGGTCAGGCAGCTGTGCTTCAGCTCCCCAAATTCTCCCTCCGAGGACCTGATACTCTTTAGTTATAAACACGATCAATCTCCACCATCACGAAAATGTGCGTGTTCTTTACTACGTTTCATTCCTATTCAGCCTGCAAACTGCGGGAGGCCGCTGAGGATGAGGCAACCGTCAACCGGTTCGAGTCGATCATCGCAAGGTTCTTGGCAAGCGAAAGAGGAGGTAGAACTGCGACCAAGCTGATGCCACATATCATCAGGGAGAGGCATGTTAAGCAATGCGAAAATGCACTAAATAATCCGAGACTAAGGCATTTGGAAGAGGACGAGCGGATTTGTGAGGTATCAAGTGCCGCGGGAACAGAGGATCAAAACTTAGAAGCGATGGACGACCTTTTTATGAGCGGCGACTGCCCTGTCTGCCACGCCGTAGAAGAGACCGTGAAACGGGCTTCGGATGTTGTGGTCATTGTGGGTAGCTTGCCTTTACGATCTGGATCATGTTAATCCTTGGCAGCATCGTCCGGGTCGTGTTGCCTCTCGATTGCGAGAAACCCATCGTGCCGGGCGTGGTCCTTCATCTCCTACGCTCGCACACGACAAACCTCAACCAAGTCGTCTTCAATTTGAGGTCAAGCTCCCTCCTGATGCTATCGACTCTGTTGACGAACCCGGAGGTACTGTCGATCAAGAGAAGGTCTCGGAAACGGTTAAGGTACGCCTTTGTGCTTTCAGACTAGTGGAGGGGTCATTCACAGATTCTCCTCATAGGAAACAAAACAGCCATCACTGGCAAATACAGACATCGCTGTTCCCTCTTCGTCACTTCCGCCCTCGTCATCTGATACCTCCACAGAAAAAGTTCAGAGAACGAAGCCGATGTCAGTCAACATAACTGAGGGATCTTTCCGGAGAAAGACTGCACCTTCTACTATTGCGTCCCTAAGCATATCTTCGAGTGTATTTTCTGAGCAATCAGAGCAAAGTTCAGTCTCGGATTACTTCAGCGGCTACAATGCTGAGGCCTCGAAACGAACCCTCGGAATTCTCGAGTTGGTCGATTCGCCTCGTCCGGAGTCGCCTCACCCGGGGGAAGAGACGGAGCCGGCATTCGATAGCGATGCTCTTGTGATGCCATACTTTGAAGGTGACGTGTCAGGCAGCGCCATACAAGGTTTGACTGAGTCTGAGACGAGCGGAGGCACCGTGCTTTATCACGCCGTCCATCAAGGATTCAAGGAAATAATCAGTGGGCTCTCTCACACTGCCAAACCGGATCATGAGATAATAGAAAGCATAAATTCCGTGCTTGCATTCAAATTCTGGATAGAAGCACAACGGAGTCGGCTCACCGTCTGGAGCGATGAAGTGGGTGTTAAAGACTCTGTTCTAGATTCATTGAGAAACCACAAACCCCTCGAGTCGAACAAAGACCTGCGCGAAATGGTCACAAAGTACCTCGTGGGAATCTATGAAGCCTTGATTCTTGCTGGACGGAATATAATTTACGGCTTGTACAACCTGGACTCGGTCAAGGAGATGTAGGTCCAACCTTCCATGACACACATTCCTGGCTGGATTCTAACATAATGAAAGTCTTGCCATGGAGAAATTCTTTTTGAAAGGAACGAAAAAAAGCTTGACCAGTAATCTGGAGCAAGTCGACGTTTTACTGGATAAGCTGTTTCTTCTGGTAGAACCGATCAAGATCTTCTCCGCGCTGGATAATAAATCTGGTCCGTATGTGGCTGTCTTGGAAACAGTTGGAAACCTCGAGCTTGGTTCTGGAAACCCTATATCAGACGAGTCTGCAGACACGGCATTGCTTCCTCATGAGGAGATTACGACTAGCCACGTAGATTCGAATTTGGATTTAACTGGAGTTGAAAATTCGCTACTCGAATCTGATGAACTCAGGCAGTCAGGAGCTTTCTCTCAAGCCCACGGTGAGTAAGTCCAAGACGACGGCCAAAACGAATCCAGTCTACTTTCCACCCCCAAGGTTCGAAATCATGGCCCCACCCAATGGCCCTCTTCGCCGTAGCATGATCGCAGACAAACTAACATACTTGGAGGACTTCATTTATGGCATTCGTGTGAAGAGATTATCCTTCAAGGGGGGCTATGGTCGGGGAGAGTAGGAGGCGTGGTTGGTGAACAATACCACCGCAATGCAACATTGCTTGACAATGATCGTGTTGCTGCTACAAATAGGTTTGAAAAGATGGAAGGCGATGAGATTGGCAATGAGGATGAAGAGATGAAGGATAAAGACTGGGTTGTGGATGGGGAGGAAATTTGGGTAGTGCCCCGAATTTGCGTGACCCTGCGAGTGTAAGTGAGATGTGGCGAAATCCGAAAATGGAGACCCATTCGTTGCACTGGTGTTCCTTCAAGTCACAATCTTTTGCTTCTCCCTTGAGGGATTTTGGTCTCTAATGGCATTAATAACATCCGGGTTTGTTGACCCGATTTCTTTCAATTGCAACGTTCAGTCCAAATGCTTCAAAGATTGACCACTTCTCTAACCAGAACACTTCCCCAAGGGAAGTCTTAAGAGGCACGTACTGTACACGTGATGGTTATGACACATAACTTCCCTTGTTCAGCAGTCTCTTAACTATTATAAAAATTTGAAGTGTGCTGGCGCTTTCGGCAAGTACGCCGAGACTTTCGTCCATCTTATTATATCCAGCCTGTCCCGTCGCGTCTCACTGCATGACGCGGTCATCAAGTCCTCGCTTCCGGCTTCGTCGCCATTTGAGCAGACCTTACCCGCCTGTACATCAACAATCAATGCCAATCATTACCTTTTCGCGTCGCGGGGTGGTAGAGAGGCAATTTGACCCACTTTAATGTCCTTTCCTATTTTACCGTGCAGGGCCTTCATTGGGCAGGGCTATTAACATGGCGATCCATGTCTGACATTTTATCTCGCCAAGAAACAATGATCACTAGCGGATGCAAATAGAAGCTTCTTCTCCCGCACCTTGAGTGTTTTCGCTGCGATTGCTACTCCGTACAACTCAAAGAAATGAATTTCTCCTCGCCATTCTGGCGAGTCCTTTTGCTGATTGTATTTTTGCTTTGGTCGGGAACTCCTTGCCATGCTGCGGAAACATTTGCCAGCCGATCGTACTTCTACGTTGGTGGTCATTATGAGAATGCGGTGAGTTGCTCAATTCAGAAATTTTGTTTGGCTGCCACTGATCAGAATATCGTAGACCAATGGCGAAGTTATGGTAGATCAGATGTATGTCGAGAAGTTGGTTCCGATACACCCAACACAGAAATACCCTCTCTTCTTTATCACAGGAGCCGCACAAACCGCAACAGTACTTAGACCCCTTTCCGGCATCCACCATTTGCTAATTGTCAATCGCAGAATTGGCTCAACACACCCGACGGCCGGCAAGGCTGGGCATCCTATTTCCTTGACCAGGGTTACACCCTTTATCTCACCGATCAACCGCAACGCGGCCGATCTCCCTGGCTCCCCGGTGACGGCACACTATCAAACTACAACGTCTCCTTCGTCCAAAACTACTTCACCACAATCCAGGTCGCCAAACTCTGGCCGCAAGCCTCTCTCCACACTCAAGTTCGTCCTTCATCTCCCCTTTCTACTTTTATGTTGACAAAATTAAAGTGGCCTGGCACAGGCCAACCCTACGATCCAACCTTCGACACTTTCTACGCTTCTCAACTACAGCAGCAAAGTAACCTGACACTCACAACGACCAACAACATCCACGCCGGCATTTCTCTTTTAAAACTCATCGGCTCTGCAATCTTGATCACGCATTCACACGGCGGCCCCTATGGTTGGGGCATAGCTGATGCTGTCCCATCTCTCGTAAAAGGGATCATTGCAATCGAGCCAGAGGGGCCACCGTTCATGGGCATGATTGTGGCTAGTGGCAAAGCAAGACCTTATGGTGTTACTACTTTACCGATCACTTATGATCCACCCGTCACGGATCCGGTCGTAGATCTAGCTCAGGAAACGGTGAAGAGTATGAGAGAGAATCTCAGTGATTGTATTCAGCAGCAGGAACCAGCAAGAAAGTTGGTTAATTTGATTGATATACCGGTGCTAGTGGTGACGAGTGAGGCGAGTTATCATGCGGTTTATGATTATTGTACTGTGGAATATTTGAGACAGGCCGGGGTCGAGGTTGAGTGGCTGAACTTGCCTGCGGCAGGGATTCATGGTAGTAAAGGAATGATTCGGGTCTGATGGAGATAGGCTGACTTCAAGATAGGCAATGCTCATTTCAGCTTCATGGAGCTGAATAATATGGAAATTGTGTCGTTGATCGAGGATTGGACCTGGAAGCACATTTGAGAGTTAAAATCAGTACAACTGTGACGGCTGGCGTAAGGGCATGATCTGCCAAGGACAGGATATCGGAAACAGGCACAAAACGAAGCTAAGCCAGAATTACTTGGACGGAATAATACTAAAGGTCGAGGCATCCTCTCTATTTTGTTCCATAACTTAGTATTTTCTAATATATAAGATTCTTTGAACTTTGAGCCTTTGACTATTATATTAATCCCGCTATTATATAATACTAAGCTTACTCGACTCGGCCTATAGAGGCGATATAATACTACCGGCAAAGAACCCGTATTTATCCTTGGAAAGCAAAGACAGAATACCGCTTTTAATATTTAATAACCTCCTCAAACTATAAAGAACTAGAGAGCTTAACTAGAAGCATAATATCCTCTATAACCTAGTTAATCTCGGAGCCTGATTCTTAACTAGAGCAGATAATATTTCCCTCCTAGTAGTCGGTTCTCTACTAATATAAAAGAAGAAAGATATTATCTTCTATAATCCGGTTAATCTTAAAGCCTAACCCTTAACTAGAGCAGATAATATTCTCTTAATACTAACGAGAGTAAAAGAACTGGCCCCTTTCCCTAGTATAGGAAGAATTAGTAATAGTTTACTAATTTAAAATAAGAAAAGATAATAGTCGGTTTTAGTTTACTAACTTAAAACTAGATAAGATAATAATTAGTTATAGTTTACTAATATTAAATAAAAAGAACTTATTTAGTATTTATTTCTATAGCTAATATTTTTTTTAAAGCTATTATAAATAGCCCGGAGCCAAGTACTACTATTATAAGTATATTAGATAAGAAGCCCTAATATAATGAAATAGAAGAGCCAGATATTAATATTATAAACTTATATTACTAGGAAAGCTATTATAATACTATTCCGGAAAAAGATATTAAAGAATAACTAGCTAATTTAAAACTTAAAATTAGTATAAATACTCCGAAAACAGATAAGGCCTAGTAGAAATTACTTATATAAGATAATCTTATTAATAAATACTATCTTATAGCTAATAAATAAGTAAAATATAACTAGAAATTCTACTTATATATTAATTAACTTACTAAAAAAGTTAATAAACTAGAAGTAATTACTAGTTAACTTTATATAAAGAAAAGACTAATATAAAAAAAAGTAATAAAATAGAGATTTAAGTAAGTAGATATTTAGAAATATTATAGATTCTTATTAGGAGAACCGTTTAGGGACTAATACTAAGGCTTTCTTTTACTTTTAGTCTATAGTAATTAATTATAGCTTATTAGAATTAAGGATCTTATCCTATTTATAAGTAAGAATAATTACTAGATTAATAATTAGATATTTAATATAAGAAATAAACTAATATAGAACTCCTTTAAATTTAATAGCAAATTACTAAAAATTACTTATATAATATAACTAGTTACTAGAAATACTTATAACTTTATTTATAATTAACTAGAACCTGAATTAATTAGATAGATCTTAATTATTAAATAGATCTTTAAGATTCTCTAGTAAGCTTATAGTAAAAGTAAAAAAATAAAGTACTAGAAAGTAAAAGAAATATACTAGTACCTGAAATAAAGAAATAAGCTATTTCCGGTATTTTGGGCAGAGTTTACTTATTTAATAATAAAACTAGAGAAGTTACCGGATAATTAATATAATAACTTAATAGATAAAATAAATCTCGAGCTACTTAAAAGTTTAGGTAATAAGAAGTTTAATGCTTTTAGGGACCTTGCCAAATAATATATAAAATAAGAGAATAGGCTTTTCTTAATTAAAAATCAGTAATTTTAGAAGAAATAACTAATAGAAATCACTTGCTATTAAATACTATCTCGGGCTAGAAAGCCTACCGGAATCTAAAAAGCTATAGTAATCCTATATTTAATAGATTAATTTTAGTAGCCAGTATTCTTATAGCTAAAAGAAGTAGTTTACCAAGAATTTGAGAAGAAACTAGACTAGCTAGAAGGCTTTTATTATTATAGCTATAGAAAGCCTAGATATATAAAAAGTACTTGTTCTGACTTTAATAAGATTATATCTATTAAAGAAAATTATTTAGAAAGAACTAATAATTTAGAAGTAAATAATAAGGATATTAACTTTTATTTACTATCTAATAAGAAATATAATATTAATAAATCAGGAAAAGTCTAGTTCTAAATATAGAAATAGCTCTTTTAGAATAAGAATTTTACTAAGAACTTATAGATCTTATTTAGCTAATTAGCGGGAACTAGTTTCTTATTAATTATTAAATATACTAGAAAGATAAAACCATAACTTTCTAGTACTTAGTAGATATTAAAGTAAATATATATACTTTAATTAACTAAAAGTATTTTTACTCCTTAATAAAAGTATTATAAATATTCTTATATAAATTTAAAATTCCCGTTCTCTTATAAGATTTTAATAAATAATCTAGTAAAGCTATTTAATATCTAGCTATTATAAATCTAGCTATTAATTAGTATTCCTAAACTTAATAATACCTATTTACTACTAATCTCGGTTCTTATAATATAATTCTAGAAAGGAAATAGCTAGTAAAATATAATATCTTACTAGACTATTAACGGAATTAATTCTATTAGCTAGAGAACTATAAAATAAATTAGCCGGACCTTATTTAGAAAATCCGATATTTTAATAAGAAATATTAAAAAGATAATTATTTTAAAGATATTCTAACTAGGATCCTAAAAGAAATTAGTAAAACTAGACCCGAGAAGTAAAAGGATATATTTCTTACCTATTTATAAGACCTTCTTATAAGAAAAGCTAAATATCAGGCAAAAAAGAAAGAGCTAGACCTTAATACTCTCGAAATAGTCGAGCTACTAGATTATTTCCGCTATTTCATTAGAGTAATTACCTTCTAATTAAGTACTAAAGACTCTAGTAACTTAGTAGAATTAGTTACTATTAATAAAATTAATTATATACTTAAGAAATAGGATTATAAACTAAAGAGATATTTACTATTACTTATAATAATTAGATAACTAATATTATAGCTTACCGGATACTATATTTAAACTAGTAACCTAATATATTTCCTAGATATAAATAAATCCAATACTTTCGGTAATATATTATCTTTTAATCCTAAAGAACTTTAAGAGCTCCGGATATTTCTCCCTATATAGCTATATAATATAATTAGAGTATTCTTTAAGAAAGTAGTAAATAAGCTTCCCTAGTCTTAATTCTTTAACTATAAGCTCTATTTTAATAGACCAGATCCCTTAATAAGAATAGCTTATTTTTATAAGATAAACTCTAGTAAACTAGAAAAAATAAGAAAGTATTTTATTAAGAACTTAAAAAAGGGTTTTATTAAACTATCCGAATTTCTTTTCTTATTACTAGTTTTATTTATTAAAAAGAAAAATAGTAGCCTATAATTTTATATTAATTATTAATAGCTAAATATTATAATAAAAAAGAATTACTATTTCTTATTACTTATTACTAAGACTCTTAACTAATTAGCTAAATTAGATTTTTAATATATTTTTAACCGAATTTATATAAAACTAGCTTCTATAGTATGAGTAGCTTTTAGAATAAGATATAAATTATTTAAACTAGTAGTTCTACTATTTAAACTCTATAATAATTTAGTAACCTTCTAGTAATATATTAATATTATCCTAATAAACTATTTAGATAACTTTTACTTGGCTTATATTAATAATATACTAATTTTCTTTAAGAATAAGAAGAAATATTAATAATATATTAGAATAGTTCTATAAAAGCTTTAGAATACCGGATTATAAGTTAATATTTATAAATATGAATTTAAAGTCTTTAAGATAATATTCTTAGAATTTATTATCTCGAATTAAGGCATATAAGTAAATCCTACTAAAACCTTTATTATCCAAAACTAGTACTAACTTATAATAAAAAGAAAGATATAGTCGTTTTTAGGCTTCTATAATTTCTATTATAGGTTTATCTAAGCCTATAAATATATTTCCTGCTCTCTGAACTATCTAACTAAAAAGAATACTTTACTAAAATTTATACTTAATAAAACCTAGCTAGATATCTTTAATTAGCTTAAAGATCTATTTCTCTTTGCTTCTATATTTCTTTATTTTAAATATAATAAGGAAACCTGCCTGGAAACCGACTATTCGGATCTAGCTACTACGGGTATATTCTTTTAAAAAAACCTAAAGAATGAATAATAGTACCCGGTCTCGTTTTATTTTAAAGCTTTTTAAGAAGCTAAAAGCTATTATAAAGTTTATAATAAGGAACTTCTTACTATTATTTAAGGACTTCGGGAATAGTAGGCAAAACTAATTAGCTTATCTAATTTTCTAATTATTACTAACTATAAAGCTCTCAAGTATTTCGGTATTAAGAGGCTCTTAAATAAATAATAAATCTAATAGATAAGTTTCCTATTATAGTTCTATTACTAGATTATCTATTAGCTAGGCAAAAATAATATTATTACTAATATCTTATTCCAAAAGAATAAGCTTATACTAACCCAGAAATAGGCTAAAGAAGCTAAGAGAACTAGATAAGTTATCCTATTAGATCTAATTCTTGCTTTTACTAAGATAATAGATATGGCTTATATTTCTACTAAGGTAAAAGAAATAAATAAGCTATTTATTATAATTAAAGTTCTATAAGCTAATTAGACGAACCTAGTCCTAGAGAATAAATATAGGAAAGCCCGGGAGAATATAAATCTATAGGAAATATTAAATAACTATATATTTTATAATAAAAGACTTATTATATTAGATAGATATAATAATCTATAAACTAGGCTCTTATAATAAATCTATAATATAATAACTATTATATATTCCGGTTAAAATAAGATAAAAATCCTAGTTTAAAGACTTTACTAATAGCCTATTTTTTCGTTAGATATTAACCGCTTTATAGTAAACTATTATAAATATTAAAGGTCTTATAAGCTAAGAAATAAAATACTAGGCCTATTATACTTATTACTAGTTTCCCTAAAAATATAAAATTATTTATTTATAGACTTTTATATTTTTGGCTTTATAAGTAAGAAATATAATAATATATTTATTATAGTTAATTAATTATCTAAATAATATATAAGCTTACTAATAACTAAAAATACTATAGCTAGAACTATTACTAGCCTGTTTTATTACTATATCTAGTAATTTCGAGGATTTTCTCTTATTATTATAAGTAATCGAGAACTCTAATTCATTTTAGATTTTATAAATAAACTATTAAAATTAACTAGAACTAAGCTAAAGCTCTTAACTATAAAATATACCTAAACTAATAAATAAATAGAAATTATTAACTAGATTATTAATATCCGACTTTGTTTTTTTATTAATTATTTCTAGGATAATTAGATAAATTTATTTCTAGTACTTAATACTATAGGTATTACCTACTTATATAAATTAACTAGCCTATTTCCTTTAATAATTAATTATAAATATAAATTCAGGCTAAACTTTAACTAGATATTACTAATAATAGAGTTTAAAATACTAAGAAAGAAACTTAATTAGGAGGAAGTATAATAATAGACTAAAAGAATTAATATTACTATTAATTATATCCGAGAATATATAATAATAGCTTAGGAATATTAAGCTAAGTAAGCTAATAAGAAATAGCAAGAACTAGATTTTAGTTCAGGAAATATAATTTATATAATTAAAAAAATATAGAAAACGGACTATTTATTTAATAAATTAGACTATTTCCTTACTAGATTATTTAAGATTAATAAAATAGTCGGCTATTTATATTAATTAGATCTTTTCCTATTATATAGGATTTGGCTAATTTTTTATATAAATAGACTTTATAAGAATCCTATTAACTTATTATCTGGCTAGACTAATAAAGAGCCTAGTTCTACTAAAGTTAATAGTAAACTCAAATAGGAAGTCGAAAAGATCCTCTTTTCTAAGATACTTTATAATAAGCTTTATTATAAGGTTAAATAAAAGAAATAAGATATAGATAATAAATAGTACCTTATATTAAACTTTAAGAACTTAGTACTTAAACTATATAAATTTCACGAGTAAAATCCTAGTAAAATAAGACTTCCTATCTAGTTAAATAAATAGATTTAGTATACTAAAGAGAATAAGTTTAATAAAAACTATTTAGATAATAATAAACCTTAATAATAAGACTTTCGTAACTAGAAAAGAAAAAAAAACCCTAGATATTTCCCGGGTTTTATCTAAACCCTAATATATTTCCTTTATTTTACTATATTAGTATCTATTTTCTATTCTAGAAATCTGGGTAAAATATCTTTTTTTATTATATTAGATTATACTTTATTATCTAGGCAAATTATAAAAAAAAGTAAATTCTTAAAGCTAAGCTAAAAGTAAATACTTGCCTATATTAGTTCAAAATATTATTAAAAATTAAGAGAAATCTTTCTAATTACTTTAATCTTTATAACCTTAATTATTTATATTATTACTACTATTTTAATAGAATTATTAATAAAGACGAAATAGATAAGAAATCCCGGTAATATATTATTTATAGCCAGACTAAGTAAGGCTACTTACTAGATCCTAGATAACTTGAGTAATAGTAGTAATATCTCAAGTTTAGTAGCTATTATTATTATTAATATAATTACTAGCCAAATTATTTTTATAGACAAAAATAGTAATTCCCTTATCTAAGAACAGGTTAATATATAGAATATAGTTCGTATTATTCTTGAGAATATACCTGAAATTACTATAAAAAATATCTTAGTAAAATATTCTAAGAATAATAAAATAGAGGTTTTAGTTACTAGTAATAATAAGTCTAATAGTTAAATAAGTAAAATAAATAGTACTAATAAGGGTTACCTAATTAATCTTATAGAGCCAAATACCAAGAAAGCAAAAAAGAGTAAGGCTAGCTTATTTAAGAAATATAAGGCATTAGATAATAGCAAGAATTCTAATAATAAAAAGACTAAGAATAGAAAGACTTCTAGTAATAAAGGAAACTCTAATTATAATAAAGGTAGTTAAACTAGTATTAAGATATCTATTATAACCAGAAAACGTATAGTATTAAATAGTAGTTATTATATAAAGTACTAGTCTAAAACTAAAAGCTAGTAAATAATCCTAAAAACTAAATTAAAGAAGTAATACCTTATAAATATTAATAAATTAGTAAATAATACTATTTAGGAAGTCGGAAAACCTTTTAGAAGCTCTTATAAAACCAAAATTATATAGCTTAAGGCCCGGGAATTTAATAATAAAGTAGCTCAAGTAGCTGCCCTTAATATATAAGTCTCTATTATAGAGAGATAACTTGAGAATATATATATTAAGCTCGAGAAAACCCAGAAATTAATTAAATAGCTCAGAAATAGTATAATTAAGCCAAATACTACTATTCTAACTAAAAAGAAAGGCAAGTAAGCTATTATATTAAAGCCTATATTAATAAATAGACTTAATTTACTACTCTTATTTAAAGACTACCCGATAATAATAGTTCTAATATTAGCTATGGCCTATATAGTACTTCTAGACTATATTATTAATATGGATATAGGTATAATATAAGTAATAAATACTAAGAACTAGCCGGAATATACTAGGAACTGGGTTATTCTGGCGAAGTTAAGACTATACTTTAATTATAAGTAAGCTATAGAGATTAGACGGAATAGGATTAATAGCTATTATTTCTTCTTTTTTCTTTTCTATACTATAGCTAAATAATTCCCTAAATAAGGGCATTTAGACTTCTTTTTAGGGGGGGAAGTAATATAATAGCTGGTATAAGGGTATGATTTACTAAGGATAGGATATTAGAAATAGGTATAAAACGAAGCTAAGCCAGAATTACTTGAACGGAATAATATTAAAGGTCGAGGCATCCTCTCTACTTTATTTCATAGCTTAGTATTTTCTAATATATGAGATTCTTTAAACTTTAAGCCTTTAACTATTATATTAATTCCGCTGTTATAATAACTTTAAGAGCACCTTAAATCTCTTTAATATTAGCTATTTTATGTCTCTTTACTACTACTCGCCTTATTAACGAGGTTTGAAAGGTCTTATATTATAATTAAAGTTAGTTATTAAAACTAATATACCTTAATTTCTCTTTTAATTATCTAAAAATAAGCTATCTAAAGAACTTTTAGCAAAAAAAAAATAGCTATAACTTCTAGTAAATTCTACTAATATAAATCTAAAGTAATAAAAGTAATTTAATAAAATTAATAATTTTATTAAAATATAAAATAAATTAATAAATATATTAGGGTCTTCTTTTATAACTCTTAAATACTAGCTTTTATTTATTATAAAAACAAGTAATTCGCGTTTATTTATTTATTATTAGTTATTATTAGTATTTAAATACTAGTAATTAATCTTATATTAATCTTATATTAATCTTATATTAATCTTATATTAATCTTAGTATTTAAATATAAGCTTTTATTACTTTTATAAGCTTCTCTAAAATATAATATCTTTCTAAAGATTTATATTTTATAATTCTTATAAAATATATCTTATATTAAATTATTTAGTAATAAGTAATATAAGATATAATTGTTTTATTAAATACTTTCTAATTAATAATAAAATAAATTTAGACTTAAAGGCGCTATAACTATAAGAAGTAATTACTAATTATTAGAGAGAAAAGAAGTAATAGATTTATAAGGCTAAAATGAAGTTAAATATATTAGCGGAAATAAATTTAAAACTTGTATAATTATAATAATTATTGAGTATTTATTTCTTGCAAAATACTTTTAATTTATTAAATACTAGCTTTAATTATCGAGTAATAAAAGATAGTATTTGGTTATTATAATTACTAGTAATTGAAAGACGTGCAGCCGTGCGAAACAGGCCCTCATTTAGCATATAGCCAACCAAATCTTGATAGCGGAAGCGACGTGGTTCGAAGTAGGCTTTATGCACATGATAGGAGCCTTTTGCATCTTCTCCACCAGCTCTGCTTCCCAGGCTCCGTGGCCCGTGACACTCGCGCCACCAGCAGCGGTGGCCAGGGAGCCCTTGACCAATTGTAGCAGCACTGGCGATATTATTGGTTGTGGATGTATTAAGGCTGAGCATGTAACCCAGGCTAGAAAAGTATGCCTTGGGCATTAAGGTCCGCAAATAACCTTAAAACGGTAAGGCACAATGTTGGCGGACTTTTTGATGTGGCCTCAAACTCCAGGGGAACTCAGCTAACCCACAAAATGAGTTTTAAAGTGCTTTTTGTGAGAAGCCCTACTATTTGATAGGTGGTTGGCGATGGCGATTCTGGCAGACGGACACCTGCATGCAAGCGAAGTGGCGGAGCCGTGGCGAAGCCCTTGGCGATCTCACAGAGTCTTCAGATTATAGACTGCTGCTCGCAACATAAACTTGCGCCCCGTATTGCTGTCAACTTCAAAACTCCCCTCGTGGACTTAACCTCAACTTGTGTCGTCGTCTATAGCCCATTGACAATGTCCACGACAGAGCCTACTGCTGAAAAGTGAGTATTTCGCTCTCGATCCGTTTTATGCATCCTTGCTGAGAGGAAGAAAGGATCAGCGATATTGGCTCGACAGATTCTGTATTTTGGAAATCTTGCCGAAAATTTGAAGCTTCATTGGGCGATGGCGATAAAGCATTCTTCGAGAAATTTCAATCGCCGCGGGAAATGCTCAAGCAGATTAACCACGATGTATCCAATCACAAAATCCAGCGATCTGCTATATTGAAGTGTGCTCGGAGGATTGAAGTAGTCAGCACCAAGTTGAGCCCCTTCTTCGCGATTGTCGATATTTTTGTCCAAACGAATCCAGAATACGCCGGGATATTCTGGGGTGCCATCAGACTAGTTTTCCTATGGGGAAGTAACTTCACTTCATTTCTGGAGAAAACCTGCGAGATGTTCGAGTTCATGGTCCGCACTCTCCCCGCATACGAGGACATAGTGGCGGCTCAAACGAAGCTTCTCCAGAATAGGCTCAGCGATAGGATGCTAGACGCTCTATCTATGGTTTATTGTGATATTCTTGAGTTCTGTGCGCAAGTATGTCGAATCCTCTCACCCCACCGAACCTTTTCCAGAAAGGCCAAGATGATTTGGAAGTTGTCTTGGACCCCTTTTCACATTCAATTTGGCGGCCTGCTCGAGAATTTCAGGAAGCATGCACAGATCTTTGAGCTTGAGATGAAAAGCATTGATTATCGATTGCAGGTGGAAAACCATCAGAAGCTTGACCACTTGACGGCGGAAAGCAATAAAAAGCTTGATAAGTTAAAGGCAGAAGGTAAAAAGCTCGACCGGTTGACCCTGGAAAACAACAGAAAGCTTGATGGGCTTTATGAACAGCTGAAAAATATGAGGCTGTCATCTCAGCATGCTACGAATGATGAAGCAATTTGCCACGGGGGAAACCTTTCTGATGGTAAGTTTAGAGTTATAGCTTCGCGACTTCCTATCTCACCTTTGGAACAGACGAGAAAGCAGAGAAGATACAGCAGACAATCAATACCGTGAAGGCTTGGATTAAGCCCCCAGAATGACAAGACATATACGAATTAGCTTCAGCACGCCGACTCTCCGGCACGGGGGACTGGATTTCCCAAAATCGCTCTGTAAAATCTTGGCTCTCGAGATTGGAAAGTGCATGGTCAGAGGGAACTTCTACAGATCTGAACTTTCTATTGATCAAAGGTTCATTGACTCAGAGACTTTGACTTTGCAAAACTAATGCTGGGTAGGAAAGCCGGGATACGGGAAAACAATCTTAAGCGCCGCCCTCATCGACCAGCTCCAGATGCTGCCAGATCAGCCTTGTAAAACTTTTATTCATTTCCACTATTACGACACACTCAGAGCGTGGAGCGGAAATACTGAAGCTGCTGGGGCTCTTCGGGCCTGGCTCGTTCAATTCATCCACGCATATCAAGATAAGGTAGATGAAGAAGCACTTGGTGCAATGACAATGCTGATGAGGAAAGGAGGGAGCGGCCAGCAGCGTGCTAGTGGAGAAGAAGTAGTGGCACTGTTGAAATGGTTTCTCTGTCGCCATCCGAGGACGATTATGATCATAGACGGGGTTGAGGAGGCCGACAATCCCCACGAATTCTTTCGCCTTCTGAGCATTCTCATGTCTGACCCCATCATAGCCGCACCTTCAGACGCTATTGACAGAACGGACAATCCTGCAGTTCACGAATTGCACACAAAGAATAGTCCAGAGTTAAAGTGTGCTGCGGGAATCTTGGTCTTTGCCCGCCCCAGTGTCTCAGTTCCAGACCAAATGGCCTGCGATGAAGTCACATTTGATCGAACTCTCAATCAATATGATATCGAGTGGTACTTAGAGTCCAACTTGGACGACATAGTTGGGAGGGGCTACCTGGGAGAGATGACTCAGTCTGAAGTTGAAAAAACCAGTAAACTGATTGTCAATCGCGCCGACGGCATGTTTCTCTTTGCCAAGCTTCTAATTGAATACTTGAAGACTGAGGGGCTTTTTGTCACTCAGAGAAAGGAAGTCTTGAGAAAAGTGGTTCTTTTTGAGGGGCTTGAAGAGCTATATGGAGCAATATTGAGCACACTACAGCGGCTCCTTCCCCCAGAAGCCAGAGGGAACCTCCAAAACGCACTTGAGTGGACCGCTGAATCCTTGGTACCCCTGCATTTCGACCAACTGCAGAACGCCATAAGAGTTTCGCAGGGTTGTCCAATTTCGGTGGACGACATAATACCAAACTTCCAGAAACAACTCGGACGATTTTCTGGAGCTCTTTTAGAACCGACGGCTTCTGGAACGGTTACATTCATTCATAGTACTTTGGTTGACTACCTTTACGAAGATCGATCAAAACATCGGGATGGAAACAACCACAAACACGAATTCTATCTCAATCGACGTGAGACTCGAATGAGACTTGGACTTTCCTGCACTAGTTTCTTTTCTAGAATTGTTCCGCACGGCCCTCTGGCAAGCCAATCTGACATTACCCCTTCTTGTGAGCTCATAAAACGCCAGCTCCCAATACTCAGTTATATGGTGAAGTACTGGACAGCGCACATCGAGCAGTCTATCGCAACATTCATCGATCACGCCGACGAAAGATCTGAAAACCTATTAAACGATCTCATCACAGAACTTCACAGCTTTGTTCTTAAGAAAAGGGCGGTTATGACCCGGATTGAGGCCTGTTGGTTATTCCACACCGTCCCAAGTATGGACGCTATATTAGCTACTTTCCGTGAGGACCGCTTTCGAAAATCTTGGACCAAAGATCTTCAAAACTTGACCGTTGATCTCTCGGAGCTATCTAATGACGTGCAAAAGCTGAACCAGCAATGGGATCATGTGCTGTCTGCACAACCAAACGAAATCTGGGAGCCCAGTATACCTACCCTCTCAAAATCTCGATTTTGGCTTGAAACAGACAAGGCCAAAAGCCATCAGCTTGTTTCAGTCACAAATGACGAGCCAATTGTTATCTCTCTGAAGTCTGAAGTTTCCACAAATGGCCTCGAAGTCGGCCAAGTGAACCTCATTCCGCCACAGTAAGTATAGTATCCAGCTATTCTCAGCTCAGATAAGAGATATTGACGTACAAGTAGTGACTCAAGTGTCCGTCCAGACCAGTGCAAAAGTTGCAGTGGAGAAGGTCGTTCCTACGCAAACCAAACACCCCGTATCCATGGATGGAAAGCAAGTTTCGAGGTATGGTCACTCTCCACGAAGAGGGTATTATTTTCGGCACGTTTTGATTTGAACCAATATGACGTTAGCTCTGATATCCATATCTGTAAGAATGGGCACTATTCTCCCTGGACTGCCATCAATGTTCCTCTAGCCATAGCCGGGGACCTCCGAAGGGTCCAGATCTCTAACACTCTTCTCACGATCTTGGAGCTTGACGAATCCCTGGAATCAGAGAACGCACGCGGATGTTCTTTTATCATCGATTATATCGATCCTTGGCAGGACCTTCGTCGAGAGCTTTCAAGTAGAAATCCCATTTCATTCGTTCGCGGTACCATGTTTAGCCCCCAGAGCAACTTTTTGCTGCTTGTTGACGCACACCACGGGCTAGCTATTCTTAAATTTGATAAAGACCAATGCACCGTTCTGTCCCGCATAAAGGGTTTCGGCATCGAGGATAAGACTGGTTATGTGTTGGCGCGTTATGCTTGTTTCCATCCTTTCCTGCCTATCCTGGCGGTAGTCCGGTTCAGAGATGTGTCATTGTGGGACTTCTCACAATCTGGTTCGTAGCAGTCACAGCTCCATGATATTTTTGCTTTTGACATGATATCCAGATAATCCAATGGAGTCGGTATGCTCTCGCGAGCTCGAGGAACTTCAGTTCTCGACGTGTGGAAACTTCGTTTTCGGTTTCGATAACACTGAAGGAGGAGCTCGAAAACTCCTCTTCCTGGGCATTGCGGACAAAATCAGCCGACTTCGCCCACAAAACCTCATACAAGCACAAGCGAAAAAACTTTGAGCAGTCCATATCCAGCTTACTGAACGGCTCATCCTCTGAAGGTGCTGAGGATGCTACACCGAAAAGGTCGCAAAAGCCGAATGCCGTTGTCTTTGGCAAAGATTCCCAAGGAGTTGCTTCTGCATCCATGCTCCGAGAATTTCACGAAGAAGGGACCTTACTGCTTACCACTCTCCAGCAGGACGGAACAATCCGGACCGAAACCCTCTCTCGTTTGCCAAAAGACTTCAGGCTTACAGAAGCGGTTGTGGCCATGCCATCAGAGGGCGAGAGTCAGGATATGTTTCGTATCGTTATCAATGTGAAACCGAGGTTAAGGTACAGTATAGCGCCTGATGAGAAGAGATTGCCGGTTGTCATAGAACGCACGAGAAGTTCTGTGCCAACATTCGAAAGAAAGCTTAAAAGAAGACTCGGCGCGGATCCGAGTGAGGTTTTACATATTCTTGAAGATGGGCGAGTAAGAAGTGAGGATGAAGGCGATTAGGGTCGGATGGAGTTCCTTCCCTAAGAATCAGATATCGGGGAGTTAAGCGAGGGGGTCGGATTCATTTAGCCAGATCCATTGTTATAATAGAGAGCGGGGACCGGCACGCACAATACACGCCTTTTTCGCATTGCTGGGGTACCGCTCCAATCTGGACAACTACCAAGATTCGAAAACTTCTTCCCTACTCTCAACTACCTGGAAATTCCCAAGACGCAATAGCCGTCACACGTCTGCTTGGTCTGCAATATCTTTGGATCGACTCGTCGTGCGTTCTGCAAGACTCGCCAGAATACTAGGAAATCGAGCGTGCGAACATAGCAAGTAGTTATAAGAATGCCAAAGTCACTATTTCTATAAAAGACAACTCAAGCTCGAGTCCTAGCAAATTTCTTCAAAATCTTGCTTGTCAACCCTACAATTCTTGCGAGCTGAACGATGGTTTGACTATCTCTGACCAGCCCGTTGACCGGTCGAAATTGAGAGTCCCCGAGCCTCTTGGCGTTGTGAATGAAAGAAGCTGGATTCTTCGGGAAAAGCTCTTGTTTAGACGGCTCTTACTGTCTTACACTTCGGCAAGCAGAGGATGCATTGGCAGTGCTGCCGCCATATATGATTTGAAAGTATACACGGTCCGGTCGTAGCTCTTTCGGGTGATAAAATAACTATTTCGCAACGAAATTAGCACCGGAAGGGCTCAAACGATTTGCGACTAGGGACGTGTGCTCGTATGAAGAGTGCGGCGTGAAGTGACGGGAATAAAGGGCATTTACGCTTGCGTAGGGGTCTTAGCAGCCGCCAGGGTGTGACTTAGGGTACTGCGCCCGCTATGCCTTGTAACTCTAGGCCTGAACCCTTAAAACAAGGGCTGTGAGACATTCACAAGGTGGTGGAAGATCTTCAAGAGTTATGGTGCTGCTGGCGGATCAACGGTAGCGCTCGGATGCTATGAGAGAGCTATTATAGGGCCTTTTTGCGACTCTGCCCCTGTAAGTACAGGGTATATGCCTTCTAAAGGTGTGGTACCCCTTTATAGTTTACAGCGTGTTTACAGGAGAGTAGCCTGGAGATATAGGGGGATTTAGTGGGTGAGTGTGGTAAAAAGTGGCCTGGAAGTGGACTTGCGGTACAAATGCCTTGTAATCCCCGTCACTTTAAACCGCAATCTTCGTACTGGTACGAGGTTGTACTTGACTATTTTGAGAGACAGCTGACGAGACACATCGACAAGTTACTACCCATGGTTCGAATATATAATGGAACAAGAGTTTGTTATTGTCTGAAGTAGGAATTTACCCTACCTCCATACAAAGCAGAGCTGTCTTGAATTAAGTTAGTAAGCTCACAAAACGAGGTTCAGTCAACTTGGCGAATTATCCCTTGCTCCTTGTTCAAAGCCATTCTCCTGTAAGTTCGACCATACAATCTACCCTATTCCCTCAAATCCTCCCACCAACCCCCTTCTCTCATAAACCGGCAGCTCCTCCTTCCCCGCGCCTTCACTCCCCTCCTCCCCCTTCCCGTCCAACACCCCTCCCTTCCTCTCCAGCCTCGGAACCCAGCTAGGAACCTTCGGCTCGCAGATCTCAGACCCAAAATCATTCTTCTGCAAGTAAATTCTCCCAGTCACGTTCCGCTGATGCATCTACAGTAGCACGACTTTCCGGCACTGGGCTTCCCACTCATCGGCCGTGCCGCGGAAATCCATTTGGATGATGATGCAATCGGTGGTTTTGGGGATGCTGAAGAGGCCTTTGCCCACGGATGTATAGCCACAGTCGCCCTGTCTTGTTTAGTATGAGTGGGGTGGGAGGAGGGAAAGGGAAATTGGAAAGTGGAACTACAAACCGTTGTCCGCTGTTCTCTGCGGGTGTGGTGTGGCAATCCACGCGGATTGTATCGGGAATCGCGGTTAAGGGTCTTAGAGTGTATCTCTACGATTCGCTTATAGGAGTTGTGTTGGAGTGTGGTGGCCGTCGTATTGTGAAGGGAAGTAGATTTTCAGCTGTGTCCAATGGTCGGATGGTCCGATTCAGCAAGGCTGAATATTGGCAAACAATCTGCGCTTCCGATAGATGGGACGCGATTTGATTGATGTTGTTGGCCAGGGTATGAGGTTTTGTAGCTGGGCTTGGCCCAGAAGAGCAGGTGGAAAGAGTAGTGAAACATGTGAGGAGATAGAATATCACGTGACTAAGGAGCGAGAAAAGGGGGTTCGGCGATTTGCGAGAGCCTTGCTTAACATAGAAATAAGGGCATGCATAACCTATTATGGAAGCTTACAGGCTTGATGGGTGAAGCTTTCAATTCTAATTTCTTGCATTGAACCAATCTTATGTCGTTCACAGGTTGCAAGGCCGTGGCAAAGCTCGCGGTGAGTCCGGAGCGCTGTCACCGGATTGGCAAAAACCCCTTAGCCATGTTCCGCAGCAGCAATCTAATAGGTTGCCTGACACGACGCATTCCTATAATATACTTCTTACGTACTATGTATCCTTTCAACCATTCAAAGTCTCAAACTTTAGATTCGCATGAAGTGCAAAAATAGCAGGGCTCCGGTGCATTTCGACACCGACTGCAAGGTAGAAGTTGAGATAAGCTTTTGATGGTTTAGTTTTCCTTCTGCCCAGTGTCCATCGATCCAGATGGATCTCTTGGTGCAGTAGCCAAGTGCTCGGCGGGGGAGAGTCGGTGAAGCCGCCGCAGCTCAGCGGGGCGTAGCGGCGTCTTGGCCAGCGGTGTTTCTGCCACTAAAACTCCTCTTGGCTTAGTATTCCGAGCCGCTGTTTTGGCAAAGACGAGCGCTGAAAGGCTGTTTCAACGTCGTTCATACTTTGCGGTTCCATGTTCGAAGAATCTTTCTCGAAGCTCAGGTCCAGGCAGACAAGTGTGTTCTTCTGGTCTCTGAGTGGGTGTATTTGCACGAGCTGACCGAACCGTCGAGCCAGACTGGGGATTCTGACGTACAATTCGCTGACATCCCAAGCGAAGGGCCCCGAAAAGAGCGCATTCTTTGGGCCAGCCAGGCGCAGCTTCCCTTACGGATATGACCAACAGCAGGTACATCTTTCAGTGCAAGAACTGAACTGTGGCTGTGAAATGCAGCAGTTGGACGTCGATGTTTCAGTCCACAATGCACGTGTTGCGGGACAGTTCTCGGAGTTGGCGCCTTCTCGCCTTCCCGCAAACTTGGCCGAGTATCGGTACTGTACGCAGAAATGCCATCTGGGAAAGCCGTCCATGAATCTTGGGTTGGATATACAGAAATCAATGTTAAATTTACTTGAATTCTCCTCAAGAGTTGGATACGATACTTCTCGACCCGGCCTACGAGGCAGGGACAAGGGTGAGATTGCCATGTCGCGTCTCCCGGGAAACTCTTATCCATTGGTTACCGAGCCGTTGGACCTGGAATCAATCCATCTGCCCTCAAATTGCTTGCGGCCGCACACGTGCGAAAGCGGTCACAGCTGGTCATCGTCCCATGATTTGAATACAACAGGGCCATGAAAGATCTTTCTTCGATAGTGTTTGGTGGTGCATCTAGATATGATCTGTCAGGCTTACTGGCGGGGTTGATCTGTCGGCGGATGATGTTTGTAATTGGGATGGCACATCCGAGTACATCGCAAAGAGTGGCGTGGGCACCGGGCTGCAAAAGGCAGGCGCCCAAAGGAGGTTGTCCTCGGCACAGCCGTTGCTCCTCAAACCATCGACGGCCTGTCGTCAATCCCATGTGCTTGTTGGGAGTGCCGCATGTCGAAAGCTTGCTTGCAGCCTCACGGAGGGAGGGCCGTCACCCTGGGCGCAAATCGCGCCACAGAAACTCTTCCATCGCAAGTTGCGTAACGTGCGTGTCCGTGGGGGACCCCACGTGTTTCGTTAGTTGGATGGGAAGCGCTCCATTGCCGTGCGGGGGGGCAGCGCAGGGACGGCTGGGACCGGGCACCCATGCGAGTGCAAGAAGTGAATTTATCGTCCCATTCGCCCCCCCCCTGACAGCCAGCAGCGTGTCAAGCGAGCCTATCATGCGTCTTAGCTGTGGGTGCGCAATGCAGGAAGAATAACAGAAGAAGCTCAGCTCAGGAAGCATCCAAAGGATCCTGCATCGCACCGAATACTTAAAATCAGCGTACCGCCTCTGAGTTTCTCAAGAGGCTTCTGCTTGTTTTAGTCCAGGCATTCATTACACGACCCGGATCACCATCCTCACGCATCCACCTCCAAGAAGCCACGGAAACTCGCCTCCTCGAGCTTTCACAGTCATGGCAGCAGCTCCCGTTCTGGCGAAGACGGCCGGTGGAAACTCCGCCTTCCACAACTTCAACAATGATTTCGCTCACATTCGCGATCCCAATGAGCGCAGGCGCCTGGCTCTCGCGGAAATCGACAAGGCTCCGTTCGGGTGGTACCACATCCGGGCTTGCGTCGTCGCCGGTGTTGGATTCTTCACTGATTCCTACGACATCTTTGCCGTCTCTCTCTTGTCGACCATGGTTGGCATAGTTTATTTCAACAACAAGAAGGGTGTTACTCCTCCCAATTCCGACACTGCGATCAAGGTCTCAACTTCGGCGGGTACCGTTATTGGACAATTTGGGTTTGGGGCTTTGGCCGACGTCGTGGGCCGAAAGCGAATGTACGGACTCGAACTTATCGTTATCATCGTTGCAACCCTGGCTCAAGCGCTCGTTGGTGTCGGCCCTTCAACTGAAATTGTCGGTCTACTTATTTTCTGGCGTGTAATTATGGGTATTGGTAGGTGAACTTGGAACATATGTTCTGGGCACTCTAACGTGTGATAGGAATTGGTGGCGATTACCCCCTTTCTTCCATTATCACTTCTGAATTCGCTACCACGAAATGGAGAGGCGCCATGATGGGTGCAGTTTTTGCTATGCAGGGTTTCGGACAATTGACCGGTGCTTTGGTCGCGCTCGTTACCGTTGTTGGGTTCAAGGGTTCCCTCTCACAAGCCAAGACCATCGCAACCTGCACTGGAAGCTGCGCTCTCGCGGTTGACAAGTCGTGGCGTATTCTCATCGGTATGCAATCCACTGCTCTCCACACACTTTCCGCCTACTAACGCGACGGGAATAAGGTTTCGGTGCCGTGCCTGCATGTATTGCTCTTTACTACCGTCTCACCATCCCAGAGACGCCCAGATATACCTTCGATGTTGCCCGCGATGTTGAAAAGGCCCACGACGACGTTGAGGCTTACATGAAGGGCAAGAGCGAGGGCAACCCAGACGAAGTTGCTCGCGCTCAAGCCCTTCAGGAGGCCGATCAACTCACGGTCCCCAAGGCCAGTTTCAAGGATTTCATCCACCACTACGGTCAATGGAGAAACGGCAAGATTCTTCTCGGCACAGCTGGCTCATGGTTCTTGCTTGATGTCGCTTTCTACGGTCTCAATTTAAATACTACCACTGTGCTTGGCGCTATCGGATACGGTGGCGGCTCAAGCGTTTACCACATCCTTTATAACCTCGCTGCCGGTTCCTGTATCCTCGTCTGCGCTGGTGCTATCCCTGGATATTGGTGTTCAGTCGCGACTGTCGATACCATTGGCCGTAAACCAGTGCAAATGATGGGATTCATCGCTCTCACCATTCTTTTCATCGTCTGGGGTTTCGATTTCAATCACCTCAAGCCACACGGACATCTCGCTATCTACGTCTTGGTGCAGTTCTTCTTTAACTTCGGTGAGATGCTCTCCCCTTTCTCATACACAGATCTCGTTGACTAACGGATACAGGTCCCAACTCAACAACCTTCATCGTCCCCGGTGAATGCTTTCCTACCCGCTACCGCTCAACCTCTCACGGCTTCTCCGCCGGCATGGGCAAGATCGGCTCCATCATTGGACAAGCCGGTATCGCCAAGCTCCGCACCAAGGGCGCCACCTCCAAGACAAGTGCTAACCCATACCAAAACCACGTCATGCAAATCTACTCCCTCTTCATGTTCCTCGGTATCTTCACCACGCTGTGCATTCCCGAGACCAAGAGAAAGACCCTCGAAGAGCTGTCTGGCGATGAGCAGTATACCAGCTCCAATGAGCACATCGCCGAGGTTGCGGATAACAAGAGCGAGGAGGCACCTAAGGAGCGGGTTGTTCAGGAAAGTGCAGCAGTTTAGAGGATTGGTTACCTTGGAGATCATGTTCGAGACTCAGATGTTAGCTCTGACGAAATTGTAATTCCATATATTATACCTATCTAATTCTATCCAAATAAGTATTCTTGACGGCTGAACAGATATTCGACATTGAACCAGTGAACATGGCACAGTTTTTATTATATGGTCATTCCAATTCATCGGCGTCTTTCCGTTGCCGTCGTTCCTCTCTTTGGTTTTTCAGTCACCATTTTTGCGTACGTCACGTGCTTTTCAATGCGTTAGACTGATGACTTCTCAGCTTGAACCAGACAGCATGGCTTGCGGATATTGAGAGAATAGGCTAGTAGGGATGGTGATATGATCCTGCTTGGGAAGCCAGGGTATGCGTGAGACAACCCACTCTTATGCACAGGCAAGGAAATAGGGGCTCGCTAACAAGCGAGCGAGTCCTTAGTTTCTACAATCCATCCTGGACATGCACCTTAATCCAGAATCTTATTCGTTCTAGGCAATTACGCATGCTTGCTTCAACCGCAGCGTATACGTTTTGGACTGCTTTTTTCGCGGTATTTGATTTAGAGTGGATGTAGAATGGACGGTCCTAGCGGTCGAAAGTTTGCAGACCTTTGCAAATTCGACCATTTATTCTATCCCCCGTCACGAACCAATTAAGCAGCCCAAATCACAAGTAATAAACTACGGCAGCGCGGCACTGTATAGTATACTTTCTCTCTCTGGTTTTAAGTTCCTTCTTTCTTTTCTACAAGTTTCACACCTCTAGAAAGCTCTCCTGATGGAACATAACTGCTCTTCGACAATCCACTTCGATGCTCCTCCACAAACCTCGCGACAACCTTTTCCTGAAAAATGACCAGTACTGCGACCAAGATCTTCGATCCCAAACGTGTTTTTCTACTTCATTAAACAACAGATCGCTTAGCCTTTGCGTTTCGTGCGTTAATCAAGAAGCACTTCGAAATTGTCGTACATCAACAACCAACACAATGTCTTCACTTTCACCTAACATGGCCATAATTAGCCACCCACCCGCGATGAGCTCACCCCGAACAACGCTCCCCTACCCTTTCTCAAGCTCCCAACCGAACTCGGATTGAAGATCTGGACACGCTCTACCTGGTACGTATTCCAGACCAGATCGTTTCTTATTCACGACCGGCGCCTGACTATCTTTGCATACTATCTTCCAAGTCTCTCGAAACTATCTTTGTTAAGCAATTACTGCTCTTCCGTTGAACAAGACTCCGGATTGCCCGCCTCTGTTTTAAGGCCCGGCTAATGTTATGGTGCACCGTTGGCCATCCGACGTCGATGAATTCACCATCTACGCAGCCTCAACCTCACTCGCGTTGTTGTATGCAAATCGTGAGGCCAAGGAATTCCCATTGAAAGTCTACGAGAAAGCATTTGCCACGAGCCTGCGCAAACCTGTCTACTCTTTTTCGAGCGAGACACGATGTACGGGGATTTAAACACAATTTACCATTTCCCCCCAGAATTGCAGCATACATTCGCTAATGCCATGCTATAACGATTGTAGAGAATGTTGAGGTTTTTAAGTGGAAGGATATTCTTTGAGAAATTCTATCTGGGTGGTGGAAGACAACAGTCTGTTCCGTTTCTCGGAGGCACATATGAGGGGAATGGATTACACGAATAGAGCAACGAGGTGAGGACTAGGAGCCTTTCTCTATTGTATAGTATAATCACGCAACACGCCAATGCAATAGATCTAGCAATCGTAGCAGTTTCTCCGGATGATGATATCTTGAAAAAGACAGCTGCCTATGGCTCAGCAGTCTCAAAATCACCACACATAAGCATACATCCCTGCACGTAAAACTGGTTCATGTATTGCGTTTCTCCAATCCACTCAATATCATTGACGTGCACCACTTAAGACGAAAACACGCCGCTACACGCAAGGGAAAGCGGTCAGCTACTGAGCTCCAAGGAGACCAAAGGTAAGCTTGTTAGTGTCTTCGATTTCGCGGGACATGGCCTTCAGCTCATCGACATCCCACTGCAGATAACGGTACAGGTGAGCAAGTGGGATTGGGATTTTGGTCTTCGAATACTTACGTGCGCCCAGAAGAACTTCCCATTCAAGAATTTGGCTTCTGAGCTCACTGCCCAAACCACAGAATCTCCGGGAAGAGAGACTACCGCTTATCAGTAAAACCGGTTCATTTCGCCTGGCTTGGCTCTCTCACCTTCATCGTAGTCAAAACCGGAAGTGCCGAGTGGTACCTTTGCGTCCATCTCCGTCTTGTGGGCACCTGGGTGGATGCTTATAACCGTGAAATCTGGATGCTCGTAATGAACATATTGGAAGAAGTTTACCGCAGCAAGCTTGGAGGCTATTTTGAGCATTAGTATGTCCACAGCAATGAAGGAAGTGGAAGTATTTTTCCTCCTACTTAACTTACCATGGTAAGCAGAGAAGCCTGGGGTTACTGCCAGATTTACCTGGCCACTGCTGATATTGATGATAGTTGCATCTTTAGCGGCAAAAGGCAAGAATGCGGTGACGAAGTTGAAGTTTCCTTTTACATTGACCTCGAAACAGTTCCACCACTCCTCGGGATCTGTTTCCGAGAAAGACTGGAAAGCTGCCATGTATCCAGCGTTTGCAATCAAGACATGGATAGCGCCAACAACAGAGTGGATTACCTGGAATGCAGTGTCCAGTTGGTCTCTCTTAGCAATGTCGGCGACGTACATGTAGGCCTTGGTGTCAGGGTAATCCTTTTCTAACTGTGTCTTCGTTTCTAGAAGTGTCTTCTCTCTTCGACCCAGAATGGAAATTGTAGAAGCACCCGATTTTGCAAATGATCGAGCAATTTCACGCCCGATTCCTGAGCCCCCGCCGGAAATCACTATATTCTTGCCTTTTGTTGAGAGACGTGGAGAAGTTGGGTCGATGGCAGGATACGTGTCTGTATGATAAGTCTTGACTGGACCTGAGAAATTCATTGCGGCAAGGCTGTGTTGGAAGACGTTTCAATTTGATGGTATACTTCTCAGCTGATGTTCGTACAGAGAAGAAATGACGGCCAGAGATGTCTTGCGCTCGTAAACGCGTGGTTATCTTTCTCGGGGTAGCCACACATTTAGAGAATGGGGTCGCACATCGGGAAAGTCAGATTACACAGTCTGCGAGATTGTAGCCGGTATCGCACTTTCGAGTCTTCGGCGAAGGCTAGATTTGCTTAAATTGCAAAGGCTACTGGCCGTAAGTACGTGACCTTGTCTCTTGGCCTAGCTCAGTTGCACAACAGAAGAAGGGTCGCACATCGATATTGTCGAGTTGTACGATCTGCGAGATGCCGGTATCGCATGTTCGAGTGCTGCATTGAGGGGAGGAGAAATTCGCACACATCTCCTTATTGGTACCTACTTTCCAGAACCAGTTCAAGAGGAATGTTCTTCTCATAGGGCACTTCCTTAAAACATCCAATCTCAGGAATAACCACACCCTCCATCAAACACACCTTAGCGTAGCATTCACACTCCGATCGGCCCCTGGACTTGCGTCCTCCAACAACGCAAACGTATACCTCCCCTTCTCCAATTCCCATTCCCACTCTCGATTCAAAATCAGCAAATAACGATCAACTTCCAGCTCCATCCTCACCACCCTCTTCTCTCCAGGACCCAAATATACCCTCTGAAAGGCCATAAGCTTCCGAACAGGCTGCGTCACACTGCTCATCCTCCTCAACAAATAAACCTGTACCACATAGCTCCCCTCCACATCCCCCATATTCTCCACCTCAACCCCAAAAAATATCACATCACCAACCCCAAACGTCTCATTTCCACCACTACTCCAAGCCCGAAACCCACTCGTGGTGAATGTCGTGTAGGATAACCCATACCCAAAACTATAACAAGGCTGCCACTCCTCGTCCAAGTAAACATTCGCCCTCGCCGTCTCCTTGTACCAATAATGGCTCGGCAGCGTCCCCACATCCCTAGGCACGCTAATCGGGACTCTCCCCCCAGGATTCGTGATCCCAAACAGTACATCTGAAATCGCCCGGCCCCCTGACTGGCCTGGGAAGAAAGCATTGATAACCGCAGCGGCGCGGGAATAGAATCCCGGGATCGCGAATGGACGTCCGCCTTGAAGGATTACGATTACGGGCTTGGTGAGAGAGAAGATGCGCGAGGTGAGCAGGGTTTGGTTTGCTGAGAGGGAAAGTGTGGAGCGGTCGCCACCTTCGCCGTCGGAGTCCCAGTTTGCGCCGACTGTTAAGAGAATCACATCTGCATCGGAAGCTATTTCCACAGCCTTGTGACTGTTAGCCAAGAGCAGGGCCTTGGGAGAGGAAGAGCACCTTCTCAATGGAGTGATTCCTATCAACCAAGTTCCAGAACAGCTCAACTTTCGAGTTGAAGGTCTGGACGTTCTCACGATCCCCTTCCATCTTGAATGCCTGAAACTCAAGACGTACCTTATGCACTGCCCCCTTTCTGAACGTAAACGGCGAGCCACCAGCCGGTGCATCAGTTGAGTGTCGTTGCGTGTATTTCAGACCCGGGATATTCGACTGAATCGTGCTCTTACGTGAAAACGGCGAGCCAAGAACAAGCACATCATCGATGTACAACTTCGCGGTACAATTTGCACTCGTCGCAACACCAATCCACCCATCCATATCACCATCAACTGGGACCTCTAGCCATCCTTCCCAAACAACGCTGAAGTTATTCGACGGCAACCCATTCGGTGAAGTCAATCCCCAGTCCCGATTTGGCGTTTCTTGCTGTATGAAGATCGGGTCTTTAAAGTTCAGTTCGGCGAAGTAAGTTCCTTGAAGTCCACCTTTCTCGCCACCAGGAGTGGAGAGGAGATAGCCTTGGATAGGGCGCTGGGCGATGAAATACCAGTCGTTTACGCCCCAGCTGGAGACGAGAGATACATTCGAGGCGTTAGCGGAGATGTAGGAGAGGATTGCTTGTCGGATTGTGGTGGAATGTGATGTTGGTGAGGCGCCATATTGGTCTGAATATCCACCCTTTCACCTACTGTCAGAAAGTGTGTCAGATTCGAAGGACAGACTTACATAGTTCATTGTATCCGAAAACGGCCCAATGAGAGCTATTTTGCTGATATTCTGCTTGGCTGGCTTTATAGGCAGAGTTTTGTTCCTGTTCTCAAGCAAAACAATATTCTTCTGTGCTGCCTCGAGAGTCAACGGAATATGAGCTTCTGTCAATGCTTGCGAGTTGATGCTTTCAGGGATATACGGGCTGTCGAAAAGTCCGAGGTCATACTTCACGCCCAAGATCTTGCGGACGTGCGACTGCAACGTTGAAAGTGCCACGGAACCATTCGCAACAAGCTCAACGGTTGCGTTCAGGAAAACCTCAAACGGGTAGTCATAGTACTGGATCATTCCACCTCCAGTCCTGGTTAGTTTTGATGACATCTATGACGGAGCAACTCACCAGCATTAAACCACTGCATGATCGCCTCCCCAGGACTCCCCGCAACCCAATGCCGTTGCTCAAGCATAACCATTCCACTATCATCCGCCGTAACAAAACCATCGAAGCCCCACCCCTCCAGCGCTTTGTAAAGCATTGGATGAACATGACTTGGAGTTCCATCAATCTCCGAATACGCCATCATGACGCCTCTAGCTCCTCCTAAATCGATCACTGCTTTGAAAGGACGCAGCATATCTTGCATTACCTGTCTCGTACCAAGGAGCATGGATGGCGCACCGTTTATCCCACCTTGAGGACTGCCGTAGGCTGCGAAATCTACAACCACATCAAACTCTAATAACCAACCATCTGAAGAGGGGCGAGGGTTGGAGGCGAAAGAACGTACGCTTTACAACAGGCACAACAGCATCCCAGCTCCCCCACTGCCCATCATTCGACAATCCAGACGCCATAGCAACACCCATCTGACTCGTAAGCAGCACATCCTCTCCCCATCCCTCCTGCACCCGTCCCCATCTCGCCTCGAGCCCCAAATCAAGCACCGGACTCAAACACGCACCGATGCCCAAGCTGCGCGCTTCACTTCCAATCGCTCGCCCGACTCTCTTTACAAGGTCTGTATCAAAACTCGCTGCCATCCCAAGACTCTGTGGAAACATGGATTGTCTGTAACTACCTACGCCGTGCAGACACTCCCCAAACTGCAGGACCGGGATTCCCAATCTAGATTTTTCGAGATTGGAGCGCTGGAGGGTGTTATACTGGGAGGAATTGGTGGGGTACAAATCATGCACGATTCCAATGCTGATGTTTGAGCTCTGCCCTACTATTGTGGCGGCGGATGTGAGGTGTAATTGCATCACTTGCTCGCACTCATTGGTTAATTTTCAAACTTTGAGTTAGGAGGGGAAGGGAGGGGTCGGTAGGGAGACTAACCGAGTTCAGGAACCGTCATGTTATAGACCAGTGAGTCAAGGAAAGCATCTCGTTGAATTAACGCATTATCACCACTCTCGCGTAGCGGGAGTGAGGGACCAAGTTGAATTTGCGGGAGTGAAGAGCCTGCGAAATAGTTGACAATGCCATTGAGCTGCAACGCTGACAGCAAGCTCGAAGCCGTAAAAAGCATAGCTGCGAAAATGAAACAATACAAACGACGTCCATGGAGCTTGAGCTTTGGTAATGACAGTGTTTGTTACCGCATTTCGAGAACAATGAAGATGAGATGAGATGAGAGCCGAGAGCGGTGCGAGCCTCGTTCCAGCTCCAGGGATCCTCACTCGCATAAGTGGGGTGAACCGTGAAACGAATAACAGAGTGGAGCGACTCCACTAGAATACAGAACATTTGACCTATCTAATTGGTGCAAAACAAAGTGGTCTTAGTCCTCTGAGGAGCTTTCCCCACGGATTGTGTAACGTTCCACTTGAACGGTTATCTGGATGATTATCCTCGATCGAGATGCAGAAATGTACGAACGGTTCCTCTGCCGAGATCTGCATCCCGAGGCAGCAAGGTTGATTATCGTCTCGAGATCGAGAAGTATCACGAAGTTTTCTCGCCCGGTGAGGACTTCGATATGTATACTCTATAAATCATCTACAAGAAACCCAGCACAACCGTTGAAACTGCAGAACCTACCATCAACCCCAGACTCCCTCCTCCAACTCTCGCCGCCCCGCCAAACGTCTCCCCCATAGCATTAACCCCCATCCGAAACAGTGGATCAAGACCCATACTCCCATTGACCGGCACCCTACTCCCCTCTACACAGTTCGCCGCTGGGTCCGTCCAAGTAGCATCCACAGTCCTCTTCCACACCGCCTCGGGACTGAAAATCATCTCCTTGGTATAGAAAATCCTACAATTCGCAGGCTGGTACAGGAACTGCAACGGGGTCTGGGAATCCTTGGCGGCGAAAGCATTCTTACCATTCACAGAGCCCGCGAATGCGGTGCTGGTGAGGCGTTTGAGTGCGTAGCCATCGGCGAGGACGCCCAGCTCGCTGGACTGGAGTGCGGCTTGTTCGGATTTGGGGGAGAGGGCTATAACGGCGGCGGCCGCGTCCGAGAGTTCGTCGAGGGGGAAGACTTGAGCACCTTCTACGCCGGCGATGGATTGCATTGGTCCGGTCATTGGACGGCCGCCGATGACGGTCGTTGTTACATTGAGTTGGAGAATCATGAGGTAGGAGAAGATCGTACAGGTTGAGCCGCAGGTGCCGTCTGTTAGGATCACCACATTTTCGGGCTTGAAGACCGCAGGTGGAGGATTGGCGCGGCTCCCTACGCCCGTAAGGTTGAATTGAGGGTCCGTTTCGTTGAGTGGTGCTTGCTGGTATGCGGTGAAGACATCGCCTTTCAGAGATACTGGGGCGAGAATCTGATCGACTGTGCTGAATCTGTTGCCCTCGGGGGAGAAGACGCCGCCTGGTACGAGGTTACTGACAACGGCGCTATTTTGGAGGGCTAGAATGGCGCTCTTCTGTGCTGTTGTCGTAGCGGTAAAGTTGTTCGGGATAGAATCCGTGATTCGGGAAATTTTGACGAGGCTGTCTGCGAGACGAAGATTATCTGCTTGGAATTTCGGGGCGTCAGGAAATAGCTATGCAATGGTCAGCATGCATGCTTCAGATCAATATGGCACAGACGGACCTGGGAAAAGAGTTCAAATCCAGCAATCACGAAGCCACCACCATTAGCAGAAACGTCAACAACGAGCCTAGTTTTTCCTGCTGCCTTGGACTGAGACAGGAACGATGAGACCGTAGACTGAAAGTTGCTCAAATACTCGACCGCACCTATGTCACCAGCAGGCGAGAAACCCAAGACCGAGAGTACGGCGACGTTGTCATATCCAGTTCCGTTCAGAAAGTAGCCAGAGGTCGTGTTGGCCCCGCTGTCACGAACTACTGGGAATGGATAGCCTTGAATAGTTGGCGCCAGCTTGGGAAGTGCGGTGGTGGTATTGGCTGGTGGTGCTGGTGGTGCGGCCACAACTGTTTGAGTTGCATTGGGATTGCAGAACCTGTTGTAGAAGTCTTCCCCAGTCTTTACACCTGTAAAGTTTGCGCCGGCACGAAAGACTGCAAAACTCTCTTGTGATTTCTCCTGACCGTTATCGTAGGTGAGGGTTACATTCGATCCCTGAAATGCGAGCGATGCAGCCACGGTGAGCTCCGCATCTGGACTGGCATAGGAGGGGAATTGGGTATTCCACATCGAGTCAGGGTCTTGGAAATTATTAAATTTGAGATTCAGTGCATTAATGAAAGCTGCAGCATCTTGACCGTTGATCTTTGTGATTGCAGGTGCCGTCATGTTGCTGGTGAGGGCGGCTAGAATAATCAGCAGGTGCCTTGAGTCTCCCTATTCCAGTACAGACTCACCCAAGTGATACAGCTTCGGCACCTCTTTCCCATCCTTGGATACGGAAACAATATCCGAGGCGAGCGTATTCCTGAATCCAAATGCTTTGAAGACATCGGGACGATATCCGAAGTGCCCATCATGTGCAGTAGCAAATAGCGTAACGACACCAAGCTGGAAATCATACTCGCTCGCGAAACCTCCGGCTGCTGCAGTTGCAGAAAGATTGTCCAGACCTGCCTCGATATCCGTTGGTGGGAACATGTAAGATGGCGGGGGATCCTTTAAAAATGCCAGTGTGCTTTGCCATTGGACGAATGCCTTCAAGCTCTTCACAAGTTGCATGGCCGGCTCAGGCTTGTTCGGTACGGATCGCAAGCATTCATACGCAAGTGATGCTGGGACTGTGGGTAGTTCTTTGTGAGAAAAGTTAGGGCTGGATTTTTCATACACAATTCTCTCGTTTGAACCAGCCTCGTACCTGATGAGTTTTTGGCAAGAATTGACGCTGTCGCAGCAGAAATCTGGGCACATGCTGTCGGATTTGCTGCCGTTGTCGAGTTCGAGGCTGTCGGCGCACCACATACTGCCGCAACAGAGATAACCAAAAGAACCCAAATAATTCTGTTAACGACCGAGGATAGCTCAACTACCCTATGTCCATTTGGTCCCATCCTGAAGAGATAAAAAAAAAGGGGGTCGACGAGCTGACCAAAAGCGTACTCCCCGTCATCGTGCCATTAGAGCAGAACCTCACAATCTTAAGTCGTCGCCCAGCCGTGGAAGTCAGGGCGAGAAGTTTCGTGCGTCGGCCAACGAAAGAAAAGTTATCATAAAACGCGATCTCAAACTCGCGATAAGTTCTTGGCGACTTGGGATTCTGGTCCCTTGGCTGCAGAGCTCGCCAAACTGTAGGGCCACGGTGATTCTTGGCGTCGTGCTTTTTGAATTTGGGCTGACTGATTGGTCTGATGCTCCAGATGGTTTTATGGGTTAGCTGTTGCAGATCTCACGGAGCAGATCCTATCCGCACGGTTCAGCCCTCCTCCCCCCAAGCGATCATCTCCCGCTTTGATGTCAATTTTTAAGCGTGGGATCCAAGATGGTGAGGGTTCGGAATGGTATCATTCGGAGGACTCTGATATGACTTGGACATAGGCATCGTATGGTTGTTCAAAAATTCCGTTCCGCGCACCAATTCTTCTGTCAACCGAATTGTATTGTATCGATTCCAAGAGGTTTGGCTGCCTCCATTCATAGAACACAGGGGTTTTGGCTTCTTCGCTGATGGGGATTCTGATGGCATGATAATTGCAATTTTGGAAGGTAGGAAAAATGGCAATTGCTTTGATACAGTTCCTCGAGCAAAGCTCGGAGACTGTTGAATATTCATTGCAGCGCTCTGGACCAACGTGGGCACGGACAGGCTCCAGCGCGATGCAATCTTACATCCCACCGTATATGGAGCCAACAGGTGTGGTAACACCACATGGATTTTGTTAAGTTGCTCCCAAGGATGGACAGGCAATGGAATGTTTTACAAGGATATTTGATGCATATTTTCTGTCATCAGCGCTCCGTGGTGATAATGAGATCAGACTTGGCTCGCGTGGCAGATTGACATATATGAATTGTTTCGAATTAGTGAAGAACTACAAATTTTCTTGCCCATTTAAATTGAGGGTTATGAACCATGCGGATAAACTCACCAGAGGACCGCGGAAGAAGCATTCGCCAATGATAGTAAAATGCTCAACCGAGGAAGTACTCGAGTCGTTCCGGCTTACCAAGGTGTCAGGTTGGGCATCGTCAGAAGATCTATGACTCTGCACGTAGTCCCACTTAAGAATCCGAAAATACACCAGTACCTGTGCGCCGAGTGGCAGCTGGGTTCCTGGGTGTGTTCGTCGCAAGACCCAACGACCCATTGCTCTGGGTGGGGACAGAATCGATACACGACATCGCTGGCTTGAGCACACTTGGAACCAAAAGCAAGCTCTTATCTTCGAAGAGCGCGATCTCTTTCCCAGGGAAGCTATCAGTCCTAGTTAGATCTGTCTTGCCAAGGATCAAAACTTCCATAACCTGAACTTCTTCAATAATTGCAAGATTATCAATGCCTATTTAGCCGAGATTTTCCGACGGCTGTTGGATGTGATATGAAATCCAATCCGAAAGCTTTCGAAAATAGTCACGTACGGAGCGTCGTTAGAAGCATCCCTCTTGATACTAAACACTGGGAAGGGAGCTATCCCTTTCCGTTCAAACCAAGTACACAACCGCTCGTAAGTATCGTCAATAATGCGGCACATCGTTAGTGTTCTTTAACTGGACGACTTCCAATCCTTCAGATTCCTGAATGTGTCACAAATAACGTTCGGATTGACTCAAGGGGTTGAGATGTCAGCACAATGCTGGATGAGAGCGACGCGGACTGAACCAAGACGAAGTCGCTCTTGGTATTGGAAGGGAATTTGTTGCATCATGTTGTTTCCAAGAGTCGATTTCATGAGCGGAAGATGGATCTCCTAGAGCAACGCGGGAACAATGGTGGAGGTAGGGCTCAATCAGGGTGAAGGCCGAGAGAGAAGATCGGCCACCGGAGGTCCGGTACGTGCAGGCATCCATGCAGGAGGCGGACTTCCATGACTCCACGAAGCAACCAAATTGACGGCCGGATTTCTGCGTAACAGACCGCAGACTTCGGGATTGAGGTGTTCATTCTCATTTCAAGCTGAAGATGAGATGTTGACTCAGAGAGAGGTGCGAATTGAGGACTGAGGAGGCTGTTGTTCACATCCCTGTCAATTGGTCTTTCCACTTCTGGTCTAGCACCGCAACCTAAAATCCGGGACCGAGGTCGCCAAAGAAATCTCATCACCTCCACCACACTTCACTTCCTCACAAGGAGTCTACCCAAACGCCGAATAAATCCGCGGTACTGTGGGAGCCGTTAACTGATTCCTTGATAATGCCTTTCTCGAGGTATCTGCAAGGCAGACATAACCCATATGAGGTGGGACCTGGGACCACAAGTTGACTCCCACGACCCACCCTCCACGAGTCACATCTCTCCCCACCTCTTAAGGATGTTGCCCAAACACCGCTAAGTCCGCGGTATTATGGGACTCCTTCAACCTTCCTTGTTCAGTGGCTGGTTGACCACTCATTGCGCAGCGCTTCAATGTATCTGCAGGGGCAGATATATCACATATAAAGCAGGTCTGGAGACCTCACTCTTCGCCCCTCTCTGATCTACTTCATCCTTCTGTCGTCCTCAAACAACACAACAATCATCGCCCACCAAAATGGCTCCCTACCTCAAAGAGCCCATCTTCCATGGTCCGTAAGCCCCATTCCCCCCTTACTCTAATTGACTTCCCCAGGGAAAACCTTCTGCACTCCCCACACCGACACCTACCCCGCCATCGACCCTGCCACGAAATCTAACCACACTGGACACTACATCCTGATAACCGGCGCCTCAAAGGGCGTCGGTCGCGCAACAGCACTCTCCTTCGCCAAAGCCGGCGCCGCAGGAATCGCTCTGGCAGCACGTTCCTCCTTCGGCGACCTCTCCTCCGAAATCCTGTCCGCCGCCAAATCCGCCAACAAACCCCCTCCAAAGATCCTAGAACTGCAAATGGACGTCATGTCCTACGCCTCCGTCGAAGCAGCCGTCAAGACCATCGAGAAAGAGTTCGGGAAGCTGGATATCCTGATCAATAATGCGGGGTTCTTGGGGCCGTTTGAGGAAGTTGTGGATAGTGATATCGACAAGTGGTGGATGAACTATGAGGTTAATTTACGGGGCGTGTATTGGGTTTCTAAGGCGGTGCTTCCGCTGATGCTGAAGGGAGGCGAGAAGACGATTGTGAATGTTACGAGTGCAGGCGCTCATAGTGTGGGCACTGGTGCAAGTGGGTACGCGGGGAGCAAGTTTGCGTTGTTACGGTTTACCGAGTGTTTGGTAGTTGAGCATGGGGAGGAGGGGTTGTTAGCTTATAGTGTGCATCCGTGTGGTTCAGCGACAGAACTAGGGTTGGGGATGCCGGAGCGGATGTATTTTGGTGAGTGATGTGTGGTGGGAGGGTTGGATAAGTGCTGATGAGTGTAGTTTTTACGGATACCCTTGAGATTGCGGCGGATACGATGTGCTTTTTAACAGCGGAGAGGAGGGACTGGCTGGCTGGGAGATATGTGAGTTGTCCTTGGGATATGCCGGAGTTTTTGAGCAGAGAGAAGGAGATTGTCGAAGGCGATAAGCTCAAGATGAGAATGACGTGGTGAGCAGGCGGCCATGTCAAGTAGAAATAGCTGAGAAAGTACGAAAAAGACGAAAAGCGACAGTGAGAATCAACTAACGGGCAGCCGAACACTCTGCTCCGAGACGACCTCACGACCTCATAGTACAAATGGCTTATCAAATTGGAATACTCTTTTCTAAGCCCCGGCTTCACCACTTATTCGAGCACGTGTTGTGTTGACATACCTTCGCTGCATATTCGTTGCATATTTGCTGCAGAAACCCCCGAAAGTACGAACTTCGGAGTGGCGTGGATCCAGCGGCCAACGTCTCGACGCGACAACCTTGACAAGCTCCTCTTCTCGACATGTTCTCGCCTTTCCTTCCTCAACTGAGCAGTGACATATTCAGAACTAGGGCCAGTTCAACCACTTCTATTCCTCCCCGGCACAACTAAAAGAGATCGTCCGGCCGGGTTTCCCAATCAAGCAATCCGCAAATTGTGGGGTGCGGAGAAGCTGAGGAATTGTGGGGAGCTCTCCAAACTTGAGCTCCCGCGTCCACATCCTTCCCAAGATCGCGAGAAGCCGCTTTATGCCGTGCATAGAAAAAGAAAACATTGGACATGAACAAGGCTGAGAAGAAAGCAATCGGATAATTAGAAAGAAGCTCGTGGTGCCGAACATCCCGCGCGTGCGGCGGAAGCAGCAAGATTGTCGAGCGCCCCGCTACAGTACCCCGCGATCCAAGCCACGAACTGCATGACCCCCAACTTCAGCTGCGCCCCCAAATCTGATATCTCATCTCACCTTCATGCATTAACATCGACGTCGGCCCCTCGCTTACCAAGCCAGCTCGTGTGACGTGAAGAGCCGCTCCACTCCTGTGCTTTATGGAGGAGTGGATGGAAGAGATCTGCGCTGCTCCTTCCTTTCTTAACAAAACCTTCTTTTGGTGGGGAATCTAGAGCGAGGAATTGGCCTACGCCTGTTCTAGCTTTCCGTCTATCTCTCGCCTCCTCCACTTTACTTTTTTTGAAAGAAGCAACCCGAAGCCCGAGCTTCGTCTTGTGCTACGTGGAAAGTGAAGCGTGTGATTAGGACACAATACGGCTATTTATTAGGACGGATCGACGGTGTCATAAAATCTGCCTACCCCTTTCAACTTCACTTTCAACCTCCCTAAGCTCTTCGCTCAGCCATAAGCACTATGTCGTCAACACTGCGGCTCGTTCCTCGAGCAACAAGCCGAGAATTACGCTCGCGCTCTCAAGTTCCCTTCCTTACTCAAGCTAGTCGGACATTCTCAGCACTCCCAAGATTACACACACCCGGTCCTCCAGCTCCACCAGACGCTAAATCAGCAGCACTGTACAATGGAAACACACCATCGTACTTCGAGACCACGAAACGCTTGCCAGAGTTTAACCTCGTCGATAAAGTGGTTCTTGTCTCTGGAGCAGCGAGGGGGCTAGGACTCGTGCAGGCTGAGGCGCTGTTAGAAGCTGGTGCAACTGGTACTCCTCCAATTTCCTCCCCTTCTCCCGCTTCCAAGTTTTGTTACTAATCGAAATTATCCAGTCTACGCACTCGACCGCCTCGAAACCCCCTCCCCGGACTTCTCCCGCATTAAAAAGCGTGCAGAAACGGAACTCGGCACCTCGCTCTCCTACCGCCGGATCGACGTCCGCGACGTCGACCAACTAAATGCCATCGTGACCGAAATAGCAGACAAGCACGGTCGCATGGACGGTCTCATCGCCGCGGCGGGTATCCAGCAGGAGACGCCAGCCCTAGAGTACAGCGCGAAGGATTCGGATTACATGATGAGCATTAATGTGACGGGGGTTTTTATGACCGCGCAGGCGGTTGCGAGGCAGATGGTTAGGTTTGGGGATGGGGGGAGTGTGGTGTTGATTGCGAGTATGAGCGGGACCGTTGCTAATCGTGTAAATACTCACCTCCCCATTTTCCGTAATTGGCTTGCTGATGGTGACAAAAATAGGGACTCATCTGCCCCGCCTACAACGCCTCAAAAGCTGCAGTAATCCAACTCGGCCGCAATTTGGCAAGTGAGTGGGGCCAATACGGCATCAGAGTAAACACCATCTCCCCTGGCTATATTGTGACGGCCATGGTGGAAGCGCTGTTTGAAAAGTTCCCGGAGCGGAGAGAGGAGTGGCCGAAGCAGAATATGCTGGGGAGATTGTCGCGGCCTGAGGAGTATAGAGGCGCGGCGGCGTTCCTTATCAGTGATGCGAGTAGTTTTATGACTGGTGAGTCTTCTATTCCTCTTATTTGGTGAGGAATAAGCTGGTTGGGAACGAGAACTAATATATTTGTGTCGAAGGCTCGGATTTGAGAATTGATGGTGGGCATGCTGCTTGGTAGATTGCGATCAGAAAATCGAAGCTGGAGGATGAGGTTCCAAAACTGGCGAAATTGAAAAGGGGCATAAGCGAATTTGCGGTGGGGCTTGTCATGAAATCGTGAACCGCCGAAGAGAGAATGCCTGTATGTATAATTGGTGAAAGACCGTTGCCCGCCTTTATTAAGCGTTGAGCAGGTAGGATAGATAGTAATACCAACATCGTTCCTCGTCATCCTTCATGATTCCAAGAATCATTGTTCAGATCCGTTGGCTCTGGCGAGGGAAGGGATCGCAAGTCCGATGCCTGACCATGTCGATTTTCTGATTAGGATGTCTCCATTCTTACATCCATATGTACAGCCCCTAGTTCTGTTTACATCCTTCCATATCATACATTCCGTTCCCACTCGTCATTACAGCCCATTTACATATCATACCTTTGCACCCCTCCCCTCTCACCGTCCCTTAACTCCAGAATCAGCTCGGCACCCCAACCACACCCTTCCTCCCCAATCGCCCAACAACTCCCCTCCTAAGTTCTAACCGCCTCTCAATCTCACCCCCTTCGACCCCTTCATCCCTCATCTCAAGTACCTTCCGTATAGTAATAGCATCCAGAAACTGTCTCCCCTCCCCCTTCTTGCCTAAACTCGCAAACTCTCTCTCCGCTTCCTCTGCTAACCTATATCTCGCCGTCAACAAACTAACCGCAGGATTCTGCCTCCCTCCTTGATTCTGATTTTGGTTCTGCTTAGGAAATATACTCTGCTGCGGATTCGAAGCGCTCGGCACAAAGTTCGAGGAAAGTGAGGGGTCGTGGGATGATTGCTGTGATTGTGGAGACGAAGTTTGTTTTGATATTTGTGGATTTGCCGGGTTGTGAAGCGGAGGCCGCTGATTAAAGGTTGAGGAGTTCGAGAATGTAGGATTTGGTTGTACCGGGCCGAGGGTTTTGAGGCGCGAGAGCAGGCCGCGGTTATCGAGTGCTGGGTCTTGGGCGTCTTTATTCACCACTACCCTCGTAAAGGAAATTAGCAAATGGTCCATCTAGTAGATTTCTGCTGCGAGAGTGGAGTGGAAAAGGCTGGACAAGTCACAGAGAGGTGGGGATGGCTGTAGCCTGCACGAGATTGGAAACGGACTGAGGGGCACACACCTCGATCCCTAGCTTCCGTAGCATGTGTAGGCGGATGAATGCTCGGTCCTATTGTCGTGCTCGGCGCCTCTGGCTGAGCCTTCGTTTGTGGAGATGAGAGGGGTGGTGAGCGCGTGGGGTATTTTCGAGCTGTGTTTGCTGCGGACAACTGCGTCGCAGATTTCGCGGCTTTGGATGTTGAGGTGCCCATTGCGTTGGATCAATTAATTCGCCTTTAGGATATGGGGTAAATTCGACCTGAGGTGGTGACCTGGGTGGGACGGAGAAGAGTGTGATGATGTCGATGGATGTTGGAGTGACAAGGCGAGATTTTGGCGGGCGCCTGAGGTTTGCAGCCTCGTCCTGAAGGACCCACGAGGCTGTGACCAGGGTGACGACTTGGAAAGGGGTTGAGTTCCCTTTTCAAGCAATGGCAAGAACACCATATATTATCATGTCCAAATCAAACCCAAACAAGAGAAAAATGTCTCGGCATAAATGTTAATCTTGAATTTGAGAAATACCAGATTTCTAGCCGCAAATTGCCCGTCGTCTTCGAAATTCGATCGGACCCCTAGAATCAATACTAATTCAAACCTCACAATTCAAAACACATTTCTAAACCCCCTCTCATCGCCGGTACCATCCCCACCATCGCTCTCCCTCTTCTCAAGACCTCCATTCTCCCACCACAAGCCCCCAAAAAACACACTGACCGCCAAAACCCCCAAACAACCCACCCCAACACCAGTCGCCATCCCAGTCTTAAACCCACACTTCTCCTGCTTCGCAATAAACACATTCGCGCTCACCAAGTTCCCTAATTGACTCCCTCCAATCAGTGTCGCGAACCCGACAACCCTCTCTTTCCTTCCTTTGAGATTGCTTCCCGCCCAAACAATCAAGATCGGCAACTCTATTGAAAATCCAATCAGTAGCAGGAATATCCCGGCGTAGCGTTGATGCGGCCATCCTAGACCTGTAGAGACATCAATGTGCTTCACGGCCGCGAGTTCAAGCGTCCAACCAACCAAAGTTATAGCGGAACCGAAGAGGACGTAAGGATAGCGAATGCGTGTGAGGTCGGAAGCAAAGCCGAAGAGAAGACAGAAGAAGAGTCCGCTCATGTAGACGGGTATGGTGTGGATTTGTGCGGATGAGGAGGTGAAGCCGAGGTTCTTGAGGACGGTTGGTTCTGGGTAACAGGGGAGTCAGCAATTGCTCGATTAGGACTGTTTCGGGAGAGAGCATTGCCCCAGGAGAATCTCATGAAACGGTCGAAAATAGAGAAGGGTTTCTCCCCAACACCTACGGAAAGCTGTTGTTGCTGAGGTGGCAATGTTGCATGCAAAACATGCTAGCAATCTTGTTCTTTTCAGTACACCAATTGCGGAAAGAGGGAGGGGGGTGGGAGAGGGACGAACGGGAGAACGATTTTCCAGTGTGTCATTATTTTGATGATTTGTGAGAGGGTGAGAGGTGTCTTGTCTTCGGAGGTGGCAGTCAGGTGGTCACCTTCCAAACGCTTGAGGAGGAGGGTTTTCTCGGAGGGGGTGAGAAAGGTGACGTCTTCGGGGAGGGGGACAATGAGGAAGAATGAAGTTATTGCGAGGAGGATTGTAAAGAGTCCTTCTATTATGAAGACCCTGGGATTGTCAGCATAATGTTGAGAAATGATTGGAGTTTTAACATACCATCTCCAGCCTGCATATCCTCCAATGTTGTTCATTTTCACGAGAGCATATGTAAGGAGCTACTCATTCAGCTTCAGGGTGGTTTGTACAAGGATTTGTGGCGTACCCCGCTAAAGGCGCCTCCAATGTGTGAACTGGTGAAAAAAAATGAGTATCGTCGTTGGAACTCAAACTTCTTGTAGTATTGATTCATCAAGAACGTGCAAGCTGTCGGAGTCAGTCCCTTTCCCCTTTGATCCATTGAAAAAGCTTACAAGGTATCAGCCCCGCCTCAAAGCATCCGACCAGAAACCTGCACACCAACAGACCAGCGTATGATCTCGTAATTCCCGCTCCAAGAGTAGCAACACCTATCCAATTCAGTACAATCCGAATTGTTCTCCCAAAAACTCACCCCAACCAAACATAATAAACGCAATGTAATTCCCCGGCCGGTATCTCCTCAACGCCAGACTGGAAGGCAACTCCAGCAAGATAAACGGCACCGCATAAACGATCAACGCGATGTTGTAGTCATTCCCCTTCATATCGAGATCTGTGAGCATCCCTTCGATCTTGACATTTCCTATGTTCGCTCGATCGATGAATGTAATGATGTAGGCTAGGTAGAGGAGAGGGAGGATGTGATAGTCGAGTTTCCACAGTAGCGCACGCTCTAGGGATAAATTCTCTACTTCAGAGGATGTGGAGGAGAGCTCAATAACTTCATTGGTTTTGGTTTCCGTGAAAAAATTTGTCATTTTGCAAAATGGCACAAATCGAGATAGCGTGGACAGAGGGAAGAAGTTCAAAGTAGTGAGCTGGCTAAAACCAAGTAGCAGCGAAAGCAGAGAACGGATTTAACAACATTCCAGCAACTTTGATGAAATCTTTACTTGATATACCTCCGGGTCAAAATCGGCCGGCATGGCCCAGGTGACTCTGTTTGTGAAACGTTGTTGCACAAGGATTTATCTTGTTGGCCGCGAAATGAAATGTTGCCCGAATCAACCCGGCGAATGATATGACCCCAGACCTTCTTATCGCATTCCGACATCATGGTACAGCCGATGAACATGCTCCAATAGTTGGGTTGCAAGTGTCCGGTAGCGGACGCGGTGCGCTGGTAACACTGGAGATCTGCCACTGTGTCGGCGCGATTTCTATCATGGGAGGATCTCTGAAATTTCCAGAGGAGTAGTTGGAAACTGTGAGATGAGTACGTAGGAGGAGCTCTCGCATCGAGATGTACTTAGTTGGAAATGGGGGAGTCTTGTGAGATTAGATGAAAGTGGAGAAGGACGAAACAATGGAAGTTGAAGAGGTGTAGCTGAAAAGAACAGGGAGCAACCTTCCCTGATAAAGCTTAGTGCCTACCATGTGATCTAAAAATTTCAAGAACATGAAAAAGGATGCGAATTGCCTGAAGTATGGCTCTCATTTTCTGAGACCTCAATTTCCAAGTTTACGAATCTATCTGCTATCCCTTCGTCCTGGTGAGACATTGCCAGGCGCTACATTAGCATTAGTCAGCACAGCACTGCTTTAGGTAGCTCCGTCCGTAGATGAATTCAATAGTTCTTCACAAATCGCATATCTTCACACAAATACTCGTCCTCGACTCCTCGATCATACAACTGGGGGAAACTTATCACGACCACAGGATCTTAAGGAGACACGAATTGTTCATCAAATAAAACTTAGCGTGTGTCGAGGTTCCATCCTTCAATATTTCATCCTCTAATAAACTAAAAATTGACAAGCTCTTGTTGATCAAGGCTGCCCTCGATAGTTCGAAGGCAGGATTCGGCCCCCACTGGCGAAAATGTCCTGTGAGGGGTGGAAGTGCGAAGTCCGATATGATTTGTTAGAGACTATATGTTGTGATGGCGATAAGTTCTATTGGAATTTGCTCACAACCTTTCCGATTTGAGGACTGCATTCCACGTACCTGCACGTACCCTAGGTGTACCAATAAGGTCATCGATCTATCCTCCATTACCATCAGCCAGTATTTGCTAGATGCCTCGCGAGGCTCTACGCGTGTCTTTTGGTTTCTAACATCCCTCACCTCGCTCTTCTCAGTCTCTGCTCGATTTGATATCGTCGTTTGAGGAGTTGGCCCTCTCATCTTGATGGTGGAAGTACCGGCGCTCTAGACTCTGGCGACCCCGACTATTTGCTCCTTCTCGGAAGCCCCGAATGCCTGGATTACGGAGACTCCGATCACTTGTCCTAGTATAATTGTGTAAGAGCTTTAGGAAAGAGGATAAATATAGGCTAAGGGCCTCTTTTCAAGAGGCAAGCTTGAGTCTCTTATTAGACAACCCCGGTACTTATCCTTAACAAGATACTTGTGCTCCCTTCCAGTCTACCTTCTACCTCCTTACGTACGACTTACTCTGCTGTATTATGATCTCTCCTGCTACCCTCAAGCCCTACTGTCTATTACACCTGAGGGCACCTGCGGTGACTAACCAATCCCTTTTCGTTTAGAGAGGGCGCACAAGCCAATGAGTCACCTAGGCAAGAAGACTCGCTTCCCTTTATGTTTATTTGCTTGGCCCGCACAGAGCAGAGGACGCTTTCCTTTTCCCTTTGAATTATTTTTCTTGTATATAGGGAATACCATTCGTTTGAGCAAAACGGTGCGAACCCGTGACATTAAGTCTGTCACCTGACGTCTGCACTGCATGCTGCTTTTCCGAAGCTGAAGGCAGCCCCACTATTTGCTCGCTTAGATCCTGGCTGCAGACGACTGAGTGCAGCATTTCGCAAAACGTTGCGAGATGGCCTGCGCCGGATTCAACTTTCTTGTCCGCGAGTCTTATGGCCTGATCCACTGAATTTTCAGCTGGCATGATCTACACTCCCTCTCACATGTTCCTTCCTGTCTGAATGCCTTAGTTTCGTAGGTCATTGATTAAAAAAATCGATTCCAAAGCTGTACCTGTTGTCGTATTTTGGCCACCAACATGTCTGAAGTTCACAAATTTCGCCACAGTCACCACTCCAGCCATGATAAGGGGACCCAGATCCATAAAGAATGGTCGGCTTGGCCTGATCGCGAGTCTCTGGCACAAAAGCATGCCAATGTAGCCACGACTACCAACGGGAACTCGGACCGCCACCTGACTCCAATGGAGCGTTGGGCAATAGAGCCCGTGGCGCAGACTCCTTGGAACAGTATAGCCGCGGTCAACACCAGCAGCGAGAGACGGCCCTCGGAATTTGTAGAAAGCCCAAAAGGTGGTACCCCGGAACCTGGCTCATCCTTGCGCCCGACTTGTTTAAGTGGGATTTTCAGCATTTGCGTGGCACCTACCGATAGTGCTACCAAGTTTGATAGTGAGAATACAGAGTCAGATGGCTCAGAACCCGATGACGGTGGGATCAATGAAGTGGTTCAGCGGTTAAACTGCCGTTTGCTTTCGGTTTTAAGTGGAGACCTTGACCTTGCTGCTCGTCTGATTCCAAAGATTCACGATCTCCTGGATGGAGAAGACGAGGCTGGGATTCTCAGTTTCTCGAGGTCCAGTCAGCAAAACTTTGTAAATGATCAAGGAGATGAGGGGTTGAAGGGTAAGAACCGAGCCTCCGATAGCTCTTCCTCTGCACTAATTAACAGAAACGCACCTTCTGGCTCTTCACCGCAAAACCATGGACGTGGCTCTGGGGAATCCGATAGACGTGGGGAGGGCAGCAGTTTCAAGAGACCCAGACGAGAATCTGACGGGAATTCAGGGGGTACTCCAGATGGGAGTCCCGACGGAAATCCAATTGAGAATCCGGGTGGAGATCCGGGTAAGAACCCTGACAACCCAGGTGGGGATCCTGGAGACGACCCAAGCCTTGTCAAACCTCCCGATACTCTCCCTAACTTCGCTTGCCATTTTTTCAAGCTCGATCCGAGAAAATACGGTCCTTGGACAGGCAGCAAATATGAAAAATGCCCTGGTTCCCGCATCACGGAGTTGCGTCGCATCAAGTAGGGTTCTTTTCCACTTCCACCTAATTATATAACTCATATCTCACAGATACCACTTCAAAGCAGCACACAAAACAGCATCACTGCAATGCAAGCGTTGTTTGTGCTTATTTCAGAACAACACGATTCTCGATGAGCACTATCAAGCACTCGTTGCATGCAATCCCCCAAAAGGGGCTTTGAGTCTCAAGGAAGGCATTGATGATAGTCAATGGGAAGAAATAGGGGTTGTGCTCTCTAAGAAGCGCCAGAAGCGCATCGACGACATTGCCAGATGGTATGCGATTTGGCAAATTTTATTCCCGGGGATTAAAGAGCCTTCAAACCCATGTAGGTACAACAAGCCAATTCGCAGTTTTAAATATGTCTAATGATTTCTAGGGAATGAGCCGCCAGGATATGTAGCTCGTCCCGCGTATAGTGTTGACGCCTTGCTGTCGAAATTCGAGAGACGGATTGAAGAGGACATCAGAAATGGGACCTTACAACGAGAGGAACGAATTCATGAACGTTACTTGCATCATCTTCGACAGACCTTAGAAGAAGATAAAGCTGCTTGCGGATTAATTCAGACTCAACGCTGCGGCAAGGATCGAGAAGGGGAAGTTGATTGTGCGAACTTTGTTCAACCCTACTCCTCAGGCATTGACCATATGCCCTCAATCGGTGGGGATGACCCACATCTAGCTTTCCCAAACCCAAGCGCCGAGGTTTTTGGTTTGCCGAACGACCCATTAGCTGAAGATTTGCAAGAGGAATTCCAGCCGACGGATTCATGGCACTTGTCAAGACTACCACCTGATTCCAATATGAATATCTTGACCATGGGCTTTACAGATCCTACACATGCACCGCTCAATCCGCCCGTATCGGATTCAGCTTTTGGTCACCAGAATAGGCGATCAATATACCTTAATATTGATCCCAACGAAAGTGCTCTAAATCAATTCTGCGGATATGACATCGATTCCGAGGCTGCAAATTTCTTGAGACTCTCGGCCTCACCTCAACCCGAAGGCGACTGAAATACGGCCCGTGAATGTGATCCTATACCTGATCTAGTCGACACTAATTATTTTTTGGGGGACGACTTCGTGACAGAACTTCTATAACCCGAAGACGAGATGCCGGAAGCGATGGTAATATGAAAGAACAAGCATTCTAGAAATGGGTTTCCCAGGCGAACATGAGTTGGACATTGTATATATTGTTTGATTATCCATAGCTATTAACCCCAAAATTTCCACTTCCAACGCTCATGGCATATCTCTCAGCCCGCTCTAAAAGTAATCATAGCAGTTAAGGACGTATTTAGTCAGGCGGTTTCCGTGAATAGAGAAATAGTATTAGATATTTTCCCATCATTCGGTGTCGCAATGTGAACTGGGCACCAACATTCAGGACGCCTCCTCCTCCAGTAGCACCATCATATAGCGATCTTACTGTCCCAAACCTAAGATCTCTTAGAATGGTCTTTTCTATCGAAGATTGTGTACGCACCTGGGTCACCTGGCTGAGGTTTTGGGTTTGTGTCTCCACCTCCACCAGACACTGTTTCATTATTTCCTTGATTAGAAAGTAGCGATTTTGCTGGAGAAAGCATGTTGAAGAGTACAATTAGATTGGATTGTACGGGAGTATGTTACTGAACGAGATGGTAAGGAGAATGCGCCAGTTCTTATATCAACAATCCGCAACTAAGAATCGCGAAGCTGAAGAACATTATTCTGTGAAACTTTGCGAGCTCAGGTTTTCGACCACGTTGCGATTGATTGCATCACCATTCTGCGAAGTTTTGCGAGGCGAGAAAGGGAGGCGCTCGCTTACTTCAGGGAGGTGGTGCAGCGTTCGGTATCTTAATTCATGGGGAGGAGCTAAGACGGAGTTGATCCCTGAATGCTGTGCCACAGCCGCTAAGATCTATAATCTTTATAACGCTTTTGTTCCATCTTTTTTAATCATTCCCTATTAAACCGGCAAAGTTATAATTTAGAGAGTGGTGAATTGTTCTAGTCCTTGCCCCCCGAGTGCTCTCTTATAGTCGTCGTGATGGACGCAATCGACCTGGAAAAACGACATTCAGCCAGGGGGCCGTACAAAATTTTGCCCCAGGAAGATGGTAGGCTAAAAGATCCTCCACATTACAATGACGAATCCAAGGCAGGGCCATCTAACAACAGGCGGGGAGGGAGATCGTCCCTCACTTCCATGTCGAAATCAATGCTAGACAACACTAAGTCGTCAGTCTCAGCATCCAAATACCCTCTAAAAATGACCTCTAAAGTCGTATTCTAGATCCTCGACAAGGAACTAAATCTGAAGGTACATCGTGGTCGCAAATGCTGCCTTGGCTCTAATTATAATTCCTGTTGGGTTTTCTCTGTTAATAATATTCGTTAGAATTACAGTTCCATTCGACCAACAATGGTTCACTTGTTACACCCGTAATAATCTCTCTTCTAAAATAGTGTCTAAAAATGGCTCCTCCTTTTTTAATATCAACGTAACGTTTGGGAGAATGCCATTTGGCACAGCAAAGTTCATCGATCTGGTTTGGAATGTGAGGTTCTCCCGGCGTGCTCAAGCAATATTGGAGTGGATTGCATACCAGGTCAACACAGCTACTCTGCTCCGGACCATAGAGACTCATCCGGAAATTCCCCCCTTGTCCACCTATCACCTATCAGCTTAGTAATCCGTAGGGGGCTTCTATTCCATACCTAAGCTCGTGATTTAAACCGATGTCTCCCCTTTATGGTCCTCCACTTCTTTCACATAAATGTCCCTATCTAAACAAGCTTGATAAAAGTGGAAAAGGTAATGTGAGGCATTAAGGAGGAAGAATAAAGACGGGGATCAAAACCCACGAGCTTGGAAAGCATCTTGGAATAGATGTGGCAAAGGGATTTATATTAAATTTATCTTATGCTATAGTTAAATCACTTGGCATAGTTAGAAGGTGTCTACTTTGGGATCCCTGGGTGCTTTTTTGGACTCGATGAGTATCTCGTCAAAACTTGGCGAATTTGATATAAGAGAACGCTAAGTGCTAAGTTAAACCAAGTGTGATTAGGTAAAAAAAAATATAGGAAGGTAGAATCGCAGGACGAGATGCTCAGGTGAGCTGGCTGAGCCAAGGGTGATTAGCGCCTGAGCGAGAGCGGCAAGCTTAGTAACCGAATGCGACGCAGAAGAGAGAAAGAATTGATTCATAATACCCTTGTATTTTCCATAATATGGATCAACTTTCCTCACTAAAGCCAATACTATATCTACTAGCTTTAATAATACATAGACACCAGTCCTTGTTCACACCCTCCCTCCTCTAACACCGACCTTCTCCCAACGGCCCGCCAGGCATGCCCAGCATATACTTAACCTTTACTACTAAGAAACGTATAAGTAAATTAGAATACATCTTGCTTTATTATTACTATTACTCAAGTATATGCTCAGTATATAAAACCCATATACTTAGTATATTCTTTACCTTTATTATTAAGAAGCATATAAGCAAGCTAGAATATATCCTGCTTTATTATTGCCCGTAATATATACTCGGTATATAGAACTCATATACTTAGTATATGCTAACCCCAACCCGTAGGGCCTTTATGCTTTAATATATCCCAATGCGGGGGGCTCTCACTGCCCCTCAATCCCCCGGACTAACCCTGACCCTAAGCCCCCTCGCAAGCTCGGGACTAACCCGAACCTTCCTAGCCTGTATAGTCCATAGCCTGTATATATACAGAGTATAAGAAGAGCATATATAGAGCACATGCCCAAAATATAACTGTTACAAAACCTATTCATTTGCTCGGTTAGCTGTCTCGCTTCCTTAAGCGATACTATGGATCAGCTAAATAAACGAGCATATGCAGAGTTTGATACTATGGTTCAACTAAAACCCCAGACTTTAAAGGCCGCAACCAAATTGACTATACAACGTTGGAACATCGTGAAATGTTAAATATTTTTTAATGGAAACCATCTCCGCCTATTCAAATTCTCGTTTCATGATTTTCCTCCTCTATCTATTTCTACTTCTTCTGCTACGTTGGGGTGACGGCCATGGCGTCTGGGGAGAACCTGGAAATTGCAGATAAATGCCCCGAGAACAAAGGCATGTGCTTTCGCCACAGTTACGGAAAGCCGCAAGGATGACTTCTGCCAGCGAAAAACGCAAAAAGCGAAATCTGTCTATACCCCCTCATCAGTTGGGCATATTCTTAGTGGTGAAGAATGTACACTCCTACATCTGCTTCTCTGCTTGTAGTGACATCTCCTGTGCGTTCCATCATCATCGGTTTGTTTTCCCGTGTGGTCATCTGCATATACGCAAGCTGTTGTTCTGGTGTATTAATGGTCTAACCGCAGCCCGTGACTTGATATGATCTAGTCTTCCAGTGGGAAAGGGGCTCAGAAACGCAGAGCTGAGAAAGTCGAGTCAATAGGCAACATGATGCATACTTATTCGTATCTTAATCTCTCAATGTATTGCGGTCAGTAGTATGGGAAAAGAATCTGATTGTAATTTCTGAATCTATCTTTGCGCAATTTGTATACAAGTTACTTGCAAATCCTGCCGAATCTGCAAAGCCTGCCAACTGCTTGCAAATTACGCTAATATTTCACTTAAATCAGGCATCGGCAAAGGCCTGGAAACCTCAGGGGGAAACCCCCCTTAGAAGGAATGGGTAACTAGTTAAGCTTGTGTAATTACCAATTCAACAGTTTATATAAGTGGGAAATAAACTGTTAGACATAGTACGTCTTAGTTGGCTCTGAAACACTTCAACCCAAAACAAGCATTATTTCGTCCCCGTCTTGTTCTTGCCAAACTTCTTCCACCACCCTCCCAAGGCCGCGTCGATATGCAATGCCATGCTCCCAGAATATCCAGAGAATGTTGTGGAAGTTGTACCTCTCCGACAATTTTGGCCTCTCTGGTAGGTACCATTCGTCGATCCAGCTAGAGTGGATATATTCGCTGTTACTGACGGACCCCTTGGATATGGAAACCAATTCACACATGCCATCGCCAGCATCATGTGCGACCTCTCCTCCCGGAATATTGTGATGAGGCCGTAGAGATCCCGCCCACTTTCCTTGCTTATCTAACAAAGAGTAGAAGGTACCTGCTCGATTTCTACAATGCTGCCGCTCCCCAAGATAGAGGAAGCATTTTTTTGTCTTGCATGAAAGTAGCCTTTCCATAGTGTGGGCGAATGGGAGGGAGGGGCAATTCTTGAGCAGTTCCCGCTTCTCTTCCCGCAAGTCGCCAAGGTACCATGTCACAACCGAGGATACCCGCGCCGAACCATCTTCGTTTGCGCTGAGCCCCCGTTCCCAACTTTTCGTGTCTATCCCCCCCTGCCAGCCTGCCCAGGACCAACTTGGTGGGAGAATATCATTCTCATCATCGTCTTTCGGTGCCCTCCGACGTAACTTAAGTTCTGGCTGCCAGAGTAAAGCCAGGTCGAAGAACATGTGTGGAAGTCCCCAGACAAATCCTCCTTTGAATGTTGTTAATGAAGATAATATTCCGTCAAGGGCATTCAAAGTATCAACTGAGTATGTAAATTCGCGTTTGTTGTAGACAGCGATCAGGTGACCGAACCACTCTATGTTTGGCCGCTGTTCTGTGAAAAGGTTAGCGGCTTGGGAAAGTTGGCTTTCGTCTGCGTCGTTGCATTCTGTGATTGTGTTAAAGTCGTTATCCTCGTGCCAAGTCGCCACGCTACATTCCCAACGGATCGTCTGTCCTTCAAAAATAAGCTTCCTGGGAGAGAAGAGTTCCTCCTGAAAAGTCCATCCCCGTGATGCCCATGGAGTGAATTTCTTATCCACTGACCAGGGGTGTACAATTGCTTCTCTCTCATTGCTGAGTTTGAATATCTCTTGACGTAGGTTGCGAGCTACAGATCCTGGAACACCATGCAGACCGTGAGACGAGTCAGAGCCATCTTTCGCGATGATGGTAACCGTGGCTTCTGCATATATTGACGCCATGTTGTTCAGCTGATCTTGTTTTGTGGAGTACTCATCTTGGATAATACACAACGCATCAACCCAAAGGTAATGCTCTCGAAGGATTGCAACAACATTCATGGCATCTCGTATCGTTCTAGGAATGTCGAGGCCACCAGAATCCAAGGCACCAGGGTTTTGCAACTGCTGTTTATTGCTCCGCATAGCCCTAAAGTTTCTTGCTGCCCCCCAAACATAACTCAAAGCAACATATGTCATGCCCGGCCTGCCTGCAACTATACATCTTTTGCTGACATCTACCAACCAGTTTGGCGAAGCTGGTGCTAGGAAAGTTGAATTAGGAAGACGCCTGCACTTAGAGTGATGCAAGATACAGCAATCACTTTTCCACTGTTCCATCAACGTGCAATCAATCCATTGGGAATCCAAGATGCGCCCGTATCCTGTTGATTCTTTCTTCACGAGACCAAAGCCAGGACTTGAAGTAATCGTATAATCATTCTCTTCTCCACTGTCAGCGAAGAGTCGAATGTAAGGATCCCTCAGTTTGTGGATCATAATCGTGCTGTAAGGCTCCTCCAAAATCGTTGGTGTGAGAAGCAGCTCCAGAAGATCCAGATGAGCGACGCATGGCATCGATGATAACTCCTCTACGGACCCAATATTGAAAGAGAGTGGCTTTTCGTACGGTGCCATCAACGAGTCTGATATATCATCACATTTCGCACAGCCTTTTGTAAGCTTGAAATCTGCAGTGTCAGCAATGGCGGGAAAGATGAAAGTAAATGAATTTAACCGACCTGAAATTTGCGAAGCTGTGAGAGATCCATTGTGAGAGGATGGCATGGCGAATTGAAGGCCTATGGATTTCGTGGTATCATAGTCCATGATGTTCGGCAAAGACCCAGTACTGAAGATGCATACCGGTACAAAAGCTACGCGTAAGTTGCTACGCTAGACAAGAGAAGTCAGTTGGCTGTGCCTGAATGATTTTAATTGGAGCATTACTGCATGATGGCCCTGGAAAAATAAGCTGTGTAACCACGTGCGCCGTGAAGTTTGGGGGCCATATTGTGAAGCCTATGTCAAGATTTGCTTCTGGATTTGCAATTGGTTCTGTATCTTTGGAGAGCCTTGACTTAAGATTCTTGACAGACGTGGTACTGAGACGAGAGGAAGATAAGGTGACGATAGACGAGGCTGGGGGCTGCAGCGCTAGCTTCAGGGGCTTGCTCGCCAAAATTAGCGATCTTTAGCGTTGATTAGTGAGGTGAGGTCCTAAACGACCTCAGCGATGTTGAGAGGGTAATTTTGGGGTCCGGCAAAAGAGCATATAATTGATGTAAAGGCTAAGGTTTACAAGTGCCCAAAAATCAGAGTTTTACCCTTAGCGCCATCACGTGCAAAGCAGCCCTTTCAACAAGCGAGTCAGCCCGCTGCTTCTCACTCTCCAGCTCCGCCCCTCCTCAAACCCTCATCCCTACACAACGGCACTCCCCGCCTCTCAACAACAAACTCCACTTTCACACACTCTCCATGAGGTCATTATCATCCTCACACATAAAAGAATGGCTCCACACCAGCCCCTCCCTCGTATCCCAAATCCAAGAAACCTGCCACCTTATCCTGACGGATGAGCGTTTCACCTCTGACCCCCCACGATATCTTCGGCTCCGTGGCCGTTCTCATCCTCTCTGGCACACCTCCATTGGCAAACCACCTCCTCTCCTTTCCCTTCAGAATCCCGGAATTTGCTGCTCTGTCACCAGGGCAATTACCACCTTCTTTATTACTACGTGTAAGTTCAATGAGAAGCAGAAGTTGGTGCTTGAACTGTGGTGGAGCGCAATTCCGGAAAGTGGGAGACCGTGTAATACGCCATGGAGAATAGATGGGAAGAGGTTAGAAGGTGTGAGGAAAGGGACTGATGCCGAGAGGATGGCGTGGTGGGAGGAGTGGATGATAATTGATGACTTGCGACAAAGCTCGGCATCACTACTGATGAAAACCTGAACGTCAGTGCACATCCTTGGAAAGGCTCTGGTGGTCCTGCGGAACTTGCGACTTATGCGAAGCTGTTGTGTCAGCCAAGAACGGCGTAATTCCGAGCATGGAAAACGTTCAGGAGGCCTTTGAGGCCATTGATAAGTTGCTCACGTTGCACGGTGGGCGTGGCAATGATTTCCTTGTCCGGGTGTACTTATCCTTGCGTTGCACTGTACTTGGGGAAGAAACAACAAGCGATCGAGATTTTGACGAAGGCGAATTCGAAACTACCAGGAGAGTTTCGGCTCCACAAGTTGCTAGACGTCCCGCAATTGTATGCAATGTTTGCTATACACTCATTCCAAGACCCTCCTTTGCTGAAGTTTCTGGAGGGCAATGGGTTGATGAATGTGGAAGAAGAATTGATTACTGCACTCCGCACTCGCACTGAACGTGGTGAGAAACCACCACTTCACAATATCTCTATTGGGGAGCTACTGCAACGATTCTGGAGGCTGTCTTTGTTGTGAATAAGGGTGAGCATGTGCAGGATGACATCACTTCTCCAAAGGAGATATTGCGTGAGCCGCAAACGGAGGAGGAATTGCTAAGACGGAGGAGAGATTGGGAATATGTTTACTGTGTGAGTCCGGTGGCGCAGTGTGATGACTATGCTGGTGTGACCCGAGGAGGGGTGGAGGAAGATGCAGGAAGCTGTGGGGAAAGGGGTAAGGGAAGGGGGGTATGCGTATTTACATTACGCACATTGGGCGTTGGGCGTTGGGCGGATGGAGTGGAGATTCATCATAGTGTAGGGGATTGGATTGATGGGATGACTGATGACTGTGGGGTTGGAGAGGGATGTTGCTGCTGGGAAAAGGGGATAGTATCCATTGAAATCGGTGATGAAGGCCGCATAGCAGGTCCAGAAACCAATGAATTAACAAGTCGGAGATCCTTTAATCCTAAAGCAAGGATTCAAACGTTTCATTCCCATCTCAGTGGAAAGTAATTTTGCACTGGCGAGTTTCTTCAAAAGTGACAAGGGTGGCGAGAGTGAGGGAGATTTTGCTCTTTACAGGTGCTATATTTTTGCAAAGGAAAATGATGCATTTTCACTAAAGGATAAAGTTTCTTCACTTGCAATTCTTTTATAAATTATACATGCTCTCCCAGTGGGAGAGGAAGAGAAGAGCTACCCCTGCAAGACGTTCCCAATGCGTCCTAGCCCGTGACTACCGGTACCCCTTCCCACAGCTCCACACGCATCACCACGATAACACCTTCCTTCCCTTATCAAACCCCACTTCACGTGTTTGCACAACGCAGCACAGCTCCTCCTATCCCACTCTCCAATTGAGCTCCTGTACATAAGAACCAATGGCACCCCTCAATCCAGCCTCGCTTCCCCTTTCTTCATCATTCACACTTCAGCGCGGTGACTTGTCTCTACTGACTCCTAACATGGCAGCAACAGTAACCATCTCCTCCGGCGCCACATGGCAAGAAGTCGCTGCCGACAGACAAAAACACCGCGATGTGACTCTCTCCCTACTCGATCCTCCTCTCCCCCCAATCGAAGATATACCCCTGAACACGATCCCACTTGCTCGCAAATTCCTCACAGCGGACGAGATAAAGATCACAGAGACGCTGGTTGAAGATCTAGTCCCGCAGCTTGCAAAAGGAGAGCTCAGTTCCGTAGCTGTAACGAAAGCATTTCTGCGGCGTGCAGGACTTGCTCAGAAAGCCGTCTGTACCATTCCCCCTCTTCTCCTGTGGACACCAGCTAATGACTGAGCAGACAAACTGCATCACAGAACTCCTTCCACAACCCGCCCTCGAACGTGCTGCATACCTCGATGCCTACCTCACAGGGCACAAGAAGCCTATCGGTCCTCTTCACGGCCTCCCGATCAGCGTGAAAGAACATATTGGCATGAAGGGTCTGGATTGGAATGGAGGGTTTGTGTTTTGGGTGGGGAAGGTAGCGAAAGATGATGCGCATATTTTGAGTATTTTGTGGGGTGCGGGGTGTGTGTTTTATGTGAGAAGTACACAGCCGCAGAGTTTGATGCATTTGGAGACTAGTAGTAATCTTTATGGGTATGCTGAGGAAGTGAGAGATGCGGGAGAAGAGTGTTGCGCTGGGCTAATACGGGATACAGGGTCACCACGAATCCTTTCAATACGACACTCACAGCTGGTGGTTCTTCTGGTGGAGAAGGTGCTCTTGTTGGGTTTCGAGGGAGTTGCTTGGGCATTGGGACAGACATTGGAGGGTCAATTCGAAGTCCTGCTGCGAACAATGGTCTACCTGCCATACCTAGGCTGTTGAACAGTTTCTGACAACAAGCAGGAGTATATGGCATGAAGCCTACCTCTGGCCGTCTGCCCATGAGAGGATTGACAGCCACGCAAGAGGGCGAAGAACAAATTGTTCCCACCATCGGCCCTCTGTCAACTAGTCTCGAAGGCTGCAAATTATTCATCAAAACGATCATTGACGCGAAACCTTGGTATGAAGAACCAACTTTGCTCCCATTTCCGTGGAAAGAGGAAGAATTCTTCAAAGGTAAGAAGCTGAAAGTTGGCGTTCTCTGGGATGATGGTGTCGTAAAACCACATCCACCCATCACACGGGCACTGAAGCAAGTTGTCGACAAGCTGAAGGGAAAGCCGAACATCGAGATCGTGGAATGGAAGCCCTACAAGCATGATCTTGCATGGGAACTCATCGTACGTCCTTATTCATCCCATCCCAGATGCTCGAGGTCCGAATTGATTGTCCGAGCAGGCGAATCTCTATTTCTCCGACGGTGGTGCCGACGAAGCAGGAGCTATCAACTCCTCTGGCGAGCCCTGGAGACCCCTCACCAAGCACATTTTAACAGACAATCCACATTGCCAACCCCACTCCATCTCCTCCATGTGGGCAGCAACACTCAAACGCGACGCATACCGCGCTGAATACGCCTCGCTATGGAACTCGACCGCAACATTCGTTGGACCAAACGGCGATCTAGAGGGTATGGTCGATGTGATTCTGTCTCCTGTTGGTCCGGGAGCGGCGCCGAAGATTGATACTGCCAAGTGGTGGGGTTACACGAGTCAGTGGAATCTGCTCGATTATCCCGCGCTCGTGTTCCCGGTTGATAGAGTTGATGTTGTGAATGATGGAGAGAAGGTGGAGTACGAAAGTAGGAATGAGAAAGATGCTTTCAATTGGGGGCTTTGGGAAGGACACGGTGCGGAAGGATGGGAGGGGGCGCCGGTTTGCTTGCAGCTTGTTGGGAGACGGTGAGTCTTCTTCTTTTTGTTAACATTACCTGTTCTTTCTTTACCTCGTTGATTGCAAGTGGAGCGACTGACGGTTTGTAGGTACGAAGATGAGAAGGTTATCCAGGCACTGGAGATCTTGAAAAAGGAGGCTGGATTCCCGTTTGTTGAATATATCTAGCCGCATCAAATCACGTTATCCGCATGACCCCTTTTGTCTTGGGCCGGTTACGCCTTCCAGAACATCTTGCAGATGCACGCGTTCGTGGCGTTGAGTTGTGGAAATGTTTAGCCGCCCGGTGTTGCATGCATCGACACCCTGCAGGGATCGAGTAGTTCTCGTCAATTCGATCTGGTCTTTTTGCACTGCGATTATTGGTCATGCACATGCACACAGCTCCGGCCTCGAAAATATTTAGCCAGCCTCTTCAACTTTTGTTCGCGAGTGCATTGGCATGTTTTGTTTTGCAAATCTACTCGCACTCGACAGGTCCTCGACATTTTAGGCATCCTTCCTCATCCACACCTCCGAACTTTTTCCAGCCTCCTGATTTATTCCTCCCAAATCTATTGGTACTTGATACGTTCTTCGCGCGCGTCCCTCGTAATTAGGTTTCCAATCACCTCGGTGTTCTTCCTCAAGTGAGACCCTCCGCCACCACTCACCGCGCAGGCTGGAGCTACCCCGCCTTTTGGGCACACCGTACTGGTACCCCACGGCGGCCACGTTACTCAAACAAAACAAAGACCCTGCATCATCCTGCACGCGTGTGTTGACCTGTGCATTGGATTGAATTTGTACATGACGCCTCCCCTTGCTCTGGCGGTGCGATGCGTCACGCGTGCTAGACGAGGCCGAGACCGGATTATCGTTTTCCTTCATCCCCAAAATCCCCTCCATTCCTTCTTTTTACTCGTTTGAAAAAGCGGAACATGACGGCCCCCAGCCCCTGCGATTATTTTGGAGTTGATTTCTTGTTTTTGGAGGGGAGATTGGTGGAGTTGCGTGGCGAGGGAAGAGATTTTGCCTGCACGGGACTGCACGGTGAGAACGCGTCGCAGGCGATGTGCTCCGTCAAATGTCTCACTCTGGCAGGAGTTCCTGCACGCCCGCCACACCCTTTCTTCTCCTCACCGACTCCTCGGTCTTTTCTTGTCCAATCTTGCAGCGCTTTTCGAGAAGGATGGTTTACATGTCACTTTGTGGCGTACATCTAAGTTAGGGTTGGACAATGCTGGCGGCAAAACCTCACGATGGTACCGGAATTCGGTCGCGTGCATCAACGACGTCAAATAGAAAGAGTCAGTGATGGCGAAGTTTTTTGAGGCGGAAGATATGTGATGCGGAGCTGCCCAATGCGTGGGAGAACGCGTGAAGCTCTTGCACCACGTGCAGCGATGGGAGGGCGAGAAAGGGAAGGAAAGTCGGTGCTGCCTGCAGTTCGCGACGCTTTGAAGCCAAGTGAGAGGCAACCCCCCACCCATGGCAGACTCACCGCCCATTGACTCCAAGGGTGTTGAACCTGAACTGAACCTTCTTATATACCCATCATCCTCCCTCTGCTTCAACTTTCTTTCTTCAAGCCTGGTGCTTTTATATACTCTCATCTCAAAACTCTCTCATCCTCCCCTTCCCCTCAGCCTCACCGCTTTCTAGTCTCGATATAGAATAGAACAGCCCAAGTCCATTCATCTTCACTGATCGAAATGGCAGACACGACACCCGCACCCGTGGATCCCGTTGCGGCGCTCGAGGCGAGGGAAGCTGCTGTATGTCTACCTTCCCATGATCTAAAACGAATGGCAATGTTGATCATTTGCAGGTTCTGGCACGCGAACAAGCAGCCGATAAACGAGAAGCAGATCTTGAGGCGAGAGAGGCTGCCGTGGCTGCGAGGGAGGCCGCAGCGGCACCAGCCGCTGAGCCAGAGGAGAAGGCTGTTGAGCCTGAAGCTGTAGTAAGATTTGTTTTCTTTTCCTACTCCGCCAGAAGCTCGCACATGAGCGAGGCTGCATACAACTTCGCTCTCATTCTCTTTCACACCCTCTCCGCATTGTTAGGATTACGTGATTTTACGGGAGTTGTTAGGATATAAAAAACTAACCGAAAGAAAATAGCCCGAACCAACACCTGTAGAGGAAACTCCGGCGCCCGCTGAGCCCGAGGCTGCTGCACCAGCTGCTGTGGAAGAGCCAACGCCTGCTCCCGTCGAGGCGGAAGGCGCCGCGCCAGTTGAGCCAGTGGCCCCTGCTCCATCGGAGCCTGTGACCGAAGAGGCGAAGGAGGAAACTCCAACTGCACCAGAGGAGCCCAAGGCCGAGGAGACACCCGCTCCCGCTGAACCCGAGGTCGAGGCCCCGAAGGAGGAGACTCCTACCGCCGCCGAACCTGAGATAGAGGCACCGAAGGAAGAGACAAAGCTCGAGGAGCCCACTGCTGTTGAAACCGAGGCCCCAAAACCTGAGGAGACCCCGGCACCAACTGAGCCAGAGGTCGAAGAACCCAAAACCGAAGAGCCAGCTGCTGTCGAGACTGAAGCACCGAAGGTTGAGGAGCCAGTTGCAGAGCCAGAGGCGCCAAAAGAAGAGAGCAAGGTCGAGGAGCCAGCCCCAGTTGAACCCGAGGTCGAGGCGCCAAAGGAGTCGGAGCCAACTCCCGCTCCGGTCGAGACTACGATTGCTGCTGCGCCTGTAGCTCCTGAGCCAATTGCCGTTTGACGACGATGGTGGGCACGGAGGAAAGAAAAGGCGAGGTGAGGTTGTTTGGTGGTGTTATTAATACGGTGGCGGTGGTGTGATTTTGCTGGTAGTGGTGGTGAGGTGTGCTGAAATTGAAATGCAAGTTTTGCAGCATAGTTAGCGATCCTTGTAGCGAGTCCATTTGTCAAATGTTTTTGTTTGTGTTCTGTTGATTAGTGCGTATTGATTGATTTGTTTACTTGTTTGCTTGCTCGCTTGTTTGCTAATGCAATGAGTTGTCTCTGCTCTGCTCTTCTCTAATTGCTGGGAGAAATGAATGGGAATGAATAAAAGTTAATCAAGTGAAGTGAAATGTGGCAAAGTGTGATGTGAGAAGTGATGTAAAGAATGGATGTACCTGTGCATTGAATTCGTGACTATATACTAAAGGTGCAGGAAGTTCCTGATACCTAGAAGATCGCGAGCCGAATGTCAAGAAGGAAAACACAGCCTATTTACAGAAGCAAAGGACAGAAGCCAGCCCAGCCCAACCATATACCCTGTACCTTTCCACCCCTTCCGCAGAAGGGAACCCCAAGTTCGGGCCCCCATTACCCATTTTGTCCTTTCCCGTTTTCTCTGTCTTTCTCGACAGCGAGAGGCGAGGTGCGGTATCTAGGAACCCCTGGTGATACCTCCGCCAAATTGACCGCCGCTATGGAACCCATTACCAGGCTCAGCCTCACGCTTAGAGCCCCTGGTAATACCCCCACCAAATTGGCCGCCGGTATGGAACCCATTACCCGGCTCAGCCTCGGCCTCAGCCTCTCGCTTCTCAACACTCCCAGGCTCGGCGGTTTGGATGCTCCGTGACCCTTGGTGCTTGGCGGCGCGTGCGAGACCAATACCAGGAATGACGTTAACGCCGATGTTGGCCGGTTCGGCGACGGGGAGGGAGAGGGTTCCAGAGAGGAAGAGGGTTGCGAGAAGGAGGAGTTTGGAGAAGGAAAGCATTTCTAGGGAGGTTAGCGTAAGCTTAAGGTCTAGAGTTGAAGGATGACTTACTGGCTGAGTATTTGTGTGGGGAAATGAGGTGAGATAGATCGAAGGGGGTCAAGGGATGCGTTGTTAATGACTTGGATATCAAGAAAGAGTAGAAGACTCTAGAAGATCTGTTGAAGAGGAGGAAGATGAGGAAGGTGAGGATAATATGATGAACTCCAACCGAGATATCTCGTCCGTTTTGTATTCGGATGTCTCTAGGCAAACTCGGTCCTAATGCTATACAAAGAACAAAATCTACCGATGCGAGACAGTATATAACCTTGATATTAACCTTCATCCTCGAAAGCTATATCAGGTGTGCCTTAAGGCTCCGGAAATACATGCAATGCTTTGCAGTCCTGCGTTCAGGAGGGTTCATCCCAGGCTTTGGACGGAGGACACAAGTAGAGCGTGGACCGCACCACCGGCAGTTCATCGAAATATCGGACCGAACAAACAGCAGCAAATCAGTGTGTCAAAAGATTAATCGAGGCAATTAATTAGAATTCGATTACTATCTTAAAACCTAAAAATAATTGCCTTGATTCGAATAATTACTCTACTTAATTAAATTAATACCGTGAGGAATAAATTAAGAAACTATATTTCTTTTACTTCAAAAGCTATTTAAAGGCTCTTTACTTAACCTCTTACTCTTTCTTTATATCTCTTACTTCTCTCTCTTCTCTCTTCTTATAAACTTCCCTCTTCTCGTCTTTCTATAACTCACGTATACCCCTCTCACGTCATTATCCCTTCTTATAAACTTGTCTCTTTCTATACTTTCTTTTAAGTTTTTTCTTCTTATATATTTAAGTTAAAATTATATAAAATTTCACTCAAGTCTTGTTTTAAGATGTATATAGTCTCTTGATTTTCGCTCTTTTTGTAAGCTCACGTGACTAGTCAATTAATTAGAATTCAATTATTAGGTTTTTGCCATAATTTAATTTAATTACCGGCTCATGCCCATATTTAAATAAGTCATTTGACACACTGGCAGCAGACAGACCCGTCAGAAGGGCAATTCCACATATGCTTCAATCACAATCCTAGCACGGTAATCAGCCACTGGGCAGCACATCCCCACAACCCCAAAAGCGGGGGTGAAGTTGAGCTTCACAATCTAAACTTGGCTGCAATGCTACCACAAATAAAGTTCGCCGCAGGATTGGAGACCTGATTCGCTGGGCATTTGCATAGACATGTAGGTTTGTCTTTCTTCCCGGATCGCAGCTGTTTGTGGTATCAAAGGGGAGCAGGTTCAGGCGCGAAAAGGCGTATTTATTTTGGGAAGATGGCTTCGGGCGAGTGGTTGGGGTCTTTTTACAGCCGCTCGCTTCAGGGGGATGCTGGCGTGTTTTTAGCGAGGTCTTGAAACAAGCGATGGAGTGCCGACAGCTTGCAGGAAAAGTCTCCGAGGTCCTTGCAAGTTGCAGCATTGTATTCTCAGTCAACCGCAGCTTCAACTAGTCCCCACCCCATTGTTCGGACTATCGGGACTTTCGCATCTCCATGTTATCATACGTTGTATCGCAAGCGGAGTGGGGTCGGCATCCGTGGGCGGGGATGGCGAGACGTCGCGGGCGAAATGAAGAGTTTCGGCACCAGTCACCGGTATCACTGCCCCCCTGCACCTATTCCTGCATCCTGCGCCGCTCCCGACAGAGTGGTTCACCCGCCTTTGATGGGTGTTTCCATTTAGCTTCTTCATACTCTCCCCCCCCCTAATTAAATGTAACAGTGGGTCCCCGCAAAACCAGCCTGGCACGGTCCAGTTGCCATACCAAAAACCCCTGCACTTGGACCCACCGTTACATTTATTTAGGGGGTACAGTATCGAGTTAATCTGTTCCCAGCTGACTAGCGATTTAGCCACATTCTAGAAGCCGGCAGGGACTAGGCACGAGAGGGATTAATACGAGTACGAATATAACGTGTGAGGTTCATGGAAGTCAGTGTTTACACGTGTCGAGAGCTATATCGGAACTTTACTGGTCAGCGGTCCTATTTGAAAGGCTCACTCCGAATAGGGGCCGATCGAGTCATTCCCTAAGATGTTAACCATTTCATCCCCGGCCGAGTCGCAATACCGACTGTTCGAAACCAACATTTCCACTTGTTGATTGCTGTCTCAGAACCTTACTGGTCCTATTTTGAACACCCTTTCCGGATGGACGCCGATTACACCATGCAAATGACGATGACATTTGATTCCTGGTACATTCGCAATACCGAAGAACCAAAGCAACGGTAACGCCCGGAGTTTTTGTAATCCAGAGTATCTCGACAAAAGAGACCTGGGCCTCGGGAGTATCGCTCCTATCACAAGGCGAACGTGGTTATTTCGAGTCCTGTTTCCTCGCATCGGGAAGTTCATCTCGAATCGCCAAGAATATCTACATGGTGTTACAATCTCCTTGTTCACAGCATTCGGCTTTTTGTGACTGACTGAGAATTTGTCACGACGAATAAAGGACCAAGTCATCTCAATGCAAACTCTACCCTGTGTCAGAGCGTCCACCTCCCGTGGACGAAGAACCAACAGGTTTGTGTCAGGTAGCCGACCGCGTGGAATCGGTTGGTTTGATCCTTCACCAACTCCCGGCGTGGTGGGTTGCGGCACCGTGTCGGTGTCCGGATCCCAATAGTCACTGATTTTCGAGCAAGTCGAAGCCGACTTAGATAGGCAAGCGTCATGTCGAAATCCATCGAGTTATGCAGATAAAATACAAGTTTAATGCTGTGTGTATTCCTATTCCTATCACGCTCTATCAGGCAGCCAACTCCAGGAGAGCGCAGTCCTGACCCGTACTGCTTCCTTCGCTCCTCGACCAAGTATAACCCCTCCCCTTCCTTTTTCTTTTTAATAACCTCGTTAAATCCAATACTGCAATTCAAGTGAAAGTCGGCATTACTGTATAATCTCTACCAACGGCTTTCAATCCAAACTCGCAAATCCTATCCAACGCCAGTTCAAATGCTCACAAACGTCGTTCAATTCCTTTCCTGCGGACTCCACGTCCAACTCCGCAAGCTCTAGTCTTCAAATCCAGATCCAGATCCTTCATCTAGGTGCCACAGCCACCAGCCCCTTCCAAAAACCCAGTATTGCCCTCCATACACTCCGCATTCCGCCTCGTCGCATGCAAGATTCCCCCAAACACCGACAGCGGAAGCACCAGTAATACGACTACCGCAACAGCGATGCAGATGGATGCCTTCCTTCTGTTCCTACTCCTGTCTTTAGGTGAAGGGTCTAAGGATTTGCGTTTTGCTGAGTGTGAGGCGGCTACGGCAGGGAATGGAGTAGGAGCGCGGTAAAGGGAGTAGAGCGGTGGTGGGTGAGTTGGAGAGGAGGGCGTTGGCGAGGAAGAGCGTGAGATATGGTGGTAGATGGGGAGCTGGGCGGTGTCAGTACAACTGTCTGTTCGTAGTGGAGAGCAAATATACCAGTGGTACATCTTTTGTTTCGTGGGGCATTGTTGCTTGTGGTCTTCAGATCTCTCTCAATCCTCTTTCTCCGTTTTGAAAATTCTCGGTCGCCTTGCCCTCAATTGAATTCTCTCGCAACTCAGAATTCCCAGGAAATACTGTGACAAAGGAAAGAGTTTCTCAAGTCCAATTAGGTGTTAATTTTGATCTCAATCGTGTTCTTTTCTGCCAATCACAATTGAAGCTTCAAAGTTTCTAGCAAAAATATCCCACTCTTTAAATAGGTGGCACATCCATATGTGGTCCCCCCAGCCTTCAAATATTATTTCAACAAACAGCACACTATAGATGAACCATAGGCCTGCATGGAATGCGCCTTCTATTGGTTCAGACAGGGAGGGCTCGAGGCAAAACCGTCAGCACGCCCCGGGCACACTCAGCCACCCCCAGGTCAGACCACAGGGGATGCCTGGGGGCACAGCATAAAAATTCTGGCCAGTCTGAGTTTGATACCACACACAACACGTCCAACTAAAGAGGTCGTAACTTGTGGTAATGTATTGCGGCGCCTAACTGCCAAACTCGCGCCTTGATTCGATCGACCGTGGGTAAATGCGAGGTTTCATCAGCCCGGAACTCGAACCCTCGAGCCTGCGAGCCTGCATTACGTACTCGTCTATTCTTGTGAGGCTCCATTTAAATCTCTTGTCATGTATTGCACCAGTATTGTTCAAGGTGGCATTGATTGTCATCATTGATACCTGGCTCTAAACCCTAATACATGCCGATTTGTTGAATTCAGTTTCTCCGAGACAACATCTCTAACAGCAGTCCCATTCCCATTCCCCAACGCCAAAGGTACAGGCATACTGTCGAGTCCTTCCCTGCACTATCCCCTTTTTATTCTTACCATAGGCCCGGATGGCATCAACAGCTGCGACAACAACAGCCGCAACTTAAAACACCCCCACTCCTACGCCCTAGCTTTAATCGTAAAACCCACACCCGCCCCCACCCCAAGTATTGTCAGCACGACTACGACAATAAGTACTACGAACTTCCCCCCCATCTTCGCTTTGTCCTTTCCTGTAATCTGCCTCTCTCCACTCTCGTAGTACTTGGGATCGTAGGGGGAAGGGAAGTTATCGCGGACGAGGGCTTCATCGTCTGCGGAGCTGCCAGCGAGCGAATTAGCTGTTGCATGAGTATGTTTTCGTGGTTTTTTGACATGGGAAAGGTGGAGGCTTACTTGAGAGAGCGTGGATTCCATGGGATTGCAGGGGGAGGTGCGAGAGGGACGGATGTAGGCGTGTTGATGGGTGTGTATTTGAAGGTCCTGGTGGAGGAGGTAAACGGGTCTTTGGACTTGGTTGTCTGTTAATTTTTTTGCTATTAGTTATGGGTATGTTGATGAGGGTAGTGGGTTGGAGAAATGGGAGGTTACCTTCGACACGGCCGCTGCTTCGGGACGGAAGGGATCGGGCATTTTGAGAACTTCCGAGTCCTCTCGGCCCCTCGGGCATCCGAGAAACTTTTCTAATTCCCCTCTTCTCAAAATTCGGCGTGGTTGGATTCCAAAGTTGCTAAGGCAAGCGGCGCGGTCGGATCAAGTGCTTCCCGTGATACTTCAGTCTGCAAACACCAACACTCTTCAAAACCAGATTCCGAATCGCGAAGCAGATCTCAAGGAGCGAAGAATTCGGAATCCATCTCCTCTCTTGTATGCACAGACGACCCCAGGACCAACAGTAGATTCCGGAGGCGGCGTGGTGGAATCTGTAACAGTTTGGCGATCATTGTTGGCAGCATCCTACGCGGGAAGGGAGGTCCAATCGCCTCGTTGCAAGCGCAAATGAGGATATGCTACTCGGCCCCCCCCCCCTAATTAAATGTAACAGTGGGTCAAAGTGCAGGGATTTTTTGGTATGGCAACTGGACCGTGCCAGGCTGCTTTTGCGGGGACCCACTATTACATTTATTTAGGAGGGGGCAGAGTACGGAGGTACAGCCCATAATGATAATCGTTCGGCGGTTCCCACCTACAATTCGCCTAGCACGCCTTGTAGGTGAGGGATAGCGATACGCACAGAACAGCGATACGCAAATTTTTTACCCCACTTCCACACATCACTCCACCAAAATCACCAAAATGCCACCCGAACCACATGAAATCGAAGAGCGCATAGCTAAAGCCTCTCATGCAATGGATAATGATCCTTACCTGAGAGGTACGAAGGCTGCAAAGCAATTTGGGGCCCCATACGAACGTCTAATGGCTCGTCGACGTGGGCGTCCACCCAGCCACTCGCGAGGGGGGCAGAACAAAAAGCTCTCCGCACCACAAGACGATGCTCTAAAGGAGTATATTCTTATGCTCCAATATTCCGGCCGTGGGGCCAATATATACGAGATTCGTGCAGCTGCAGGAAGGCTCCTTTTTTGGAGCTCTGGGGATTCCAATTCGTTAGTATCGATTTAATAGACTAAAGCATGGATGGTCCGGCAAGCCGAATTCCTCAAATCAATACGAGAGAAGCCTTTATCCGCAAAGCGATTGGCTGCACATATTGTGGAGGATATTAAGGGGCATTTTCAGGAATTTGATTAATGCAAGAGAAGATATAATATGGAGGATTACGATATGTCTAACTTTAACGAAAGTGGATTCCAAATTGGAGTAGTTACCGGCGATCGAGTCTACGTTTCCCACGATTGCGAAGCTATATATAATACAGATCCAGAGAATCGAGAGCTTGTAATAGCAGTGGCTATGATTAATTATGGAGGAACCAAGGTACCAGCAATGATTATTTTTAAGGGAGCATACCACTTGCGGGGACATTTCAAAAACCAGCTTGACGAGAATATACTTTTTGCACGATCTCCTATAGGATTTACTAATTATCGGCTTGGAGTATGCTATATTAAGTATTTTGACAGATTCTGTCCCCCTTCTGGACCCGGCAGATATCGTATCTTGATTTTCGATGGCTACGGCTCTCATATAAGTCGCGAATTCCTAGACTATTATTGGAAGTATCGCATACGACTATTCAAGCTTCCTGCACACACCACTCACCTTCTCTAACCTCTTGATATGGCCGTTTTCCAAGCTTTAAAGCATTGGTTCCAAGTCGAATTACGTCAAGAGATCTTTATGGGTGCAGAGACAATGGACAAAAAGGCGTTTTTTGCGATATTCCAGAGGTTCTGGGATAAGGTGTTTAATAGCCGCACGATCACACGGAATTCCTTCAAGAAAACAGGGCTAATTCCTCTCGAACCAGAAGTGGTACTCTCAAAAATGAAGGAATATAAGCAACTTCAGAAGCAAACAAGACGACAAGCTCGTACGCCATCTCCTCTAACCTCTCCAATTCGATAATCTTTACTAATTCTTCCCTCCTCTCCTCTCGCATTTGCTACCCCGCCACCCCGCACTTCTCCTCCTGCCGAGAATTGGGCTAATTGGGCCACGCCATTAATAATTCGCATACGAAAGAAGGGTGTTATATATGTGAAGGAGCGAATAGAGGCAGCAATGAACGGTATACTAATTATACCATCTGTAAAGCATGTACAAGAAAAGGTTGAGGGTATAGCGGAGCGATCCATACTATCCGGTGCTTTAGCAAAGCAAAGAGTCCACGATTTGAGCCTTGCAGAGCAAGAAAGGGAGAAGAGAAACGATAGGGATAATGGAAGGATCGTTCAAAAGTATGGAGAGATTTATGTATATTAAGGACGAGCAGATATTGCGGCAGATAACGAGGATGAGGTCAAAGTAGTTAATATGCGGAACGCCCGATTGGCCAAACCATGGAGGAAAAAGTATCGACAGATGATGGTATTATTTCCAGAGGACTATTGGAAGGTAAAGGCTCAAATGCGCTATACTTTCCATGATTTATGGGAGTGATGCGTGGGGTTTAAGGCAAATAATGGTAGATTTTGGTAAAAAATTTGCGTATCGCTGTTCTGTGCGTATCGCTATCCCTCACCTACAAGGCGTGCTAGGCGAATTGTAGGTGGGAACCGCCGAACGATTAGTGATAGCGCCAGCAGGCGTCAATAGAAAACTCGTGATTTCAATACTCGACAACTTTTGCTACACGAAACATAAAAAGTTCATTCAAAAGCTGTAAATATCCATAACAGTGCCGTATAGTAGTGCTACGTTTTTTCAAGTTTTTGTGATACGTTGTTGTTGCGATACCAGGTTGAAAGCTCGGACCCCTGCTAGCGCTATTACTATCATTATGGGCTGTACCTCCGTATGGATGCAGTCTTGGTTTTAAGTTACGAAGTGTGGAATTGTTGGTGTTTTGAAAATCATTATCATTTATCATTTGTGTGCGGTTTCACCTGATCGCTGTGATAGTTCTTGCCGACCCCCAATGTGCGAGCGCTCGTCATTTCAGCCCCTCCAACCGCTATCTTGATCGCCCCCACCGCCATCTTTTCTCCTCTCCTCTCGTCTCGTCTCCCTGTGAACAATGGGTATAGCCAATCCAACCAATCCTTAACTCCATTCCAAAGCCCCCCAAAACAAACAATAAACAAGAATATGGTAAATTCATAACTCGTCACTCAATTCCCCGTCCCCCGTTCCCCTCTTCCCCAGTGATAAACACCACCAAAAACGCTCAGTACGACGACCAAGAAAATAACGCCCAAACAGCCCGCAAAAATCATGAGCGCTTTCCGGCTACGATTTTTATCGTGGTATTCTTCTAGGGCAAATTTATCACGATAAGAAGAGTGTGATGATTCTGTGGAAGCCCGCGGTGCGGTGTGCAGGAAGGGAATAGTGGTTGGTTGTTGATAGGTGACGTGAGAGATGTAGGATGGTGGTGGTGGAGAGGGTGGTGATTGAGGCTAGTGATTGTTAATTGATTTGATTACAAATGAAAGGTAGATTGAAGGGAAAACCGTACGGCTAGGAAAGGGGAATCCTCTTCCAATTCTCGTGGTGTTCTTTCTTGCGTAGCCATTGTGAAGCCTGTTCTGCTCAAGCGAAGCCCCTGAAACCCAAAATCTGTTGTACAAACTCGATTACAGCGGAAAGTACGTGAATTGGACCAGTGCGCAACTGTGGAAGAGTTTCAAACATGAAGAGTAGCTCCTTCCTATATTACTCTCATGATACAAGGCTGACTCCATGCACCGAAATCCCCATTCTATTCTTAGATCGCGATGTCGGGCCTGGTCCAATGATCGCTTGAGGCTTTGAGGCTGTGGCTGACTGGGCTGAGGCTTGGCCACGCAGCTGCCAAGAAATCGAGGCGCGGGTGCAGGTCGATGTGATACCGAAGGATAAGCCTCATATTTGAAGCTTTTTAATTGGCGATGGGCTGTAATACAGGAGGAAGGAGGGGGAAGAAGTTCGTTGTTGGAGGTGGGCACGTGATCATGACTTCAGGCATTGAGGACACCCGAAAGACCACGTCCGCCCAATCTCACCTCACCCATCCCTCACCGCCTACACAGTCAGCCACGCCGCCTCATTACTGTCCCGATCGACACCGAACCATCCAGAAGAAGAAGAAAGAGGATCAACAGATTCCATCGCGTCTTTGTCTCCAGGCCGCTTTCAATTGGGTCTGTTACCCCCCGTTCGTCAGTACGAGCGATTGTCAATCGGGGTCCCTATTGCCCAATTGCGGGCCCCGATCGCTTAATCGCCTGCTTAAGCGAACTCCGGTTTATAAATACGAAGTCGAATACGAGCAAATTTTTAAAATACTAAAATATTTTAATCCCTATAAATTATTTAAATCCTATTAATATAATCATTTAGAAAAAGTTTAGTTAATTATATTAATTAAGTAATATTAGCCCTAATCTTTTATTATAACTCTAAAACCTTTTTAATATAATTTTAATTTCAAATATATAAAATTATTTATATCTTTTAATCTTTAATAGAATTTAATCTATAAAAGATTTATTTGAGTCTCTTATAAGTATTAATCCTTTCTATTTAATTAAATTTTAGCCTTTATCCTTTATTAGAAAGTTATAAACTATTTTAAAATCGGGCTCTTTTATTAGCGAATCGGGGTCCTCGCTTAGGTCCGATTGATCAATCGCTCGTATTGACGAACCGGGGGGAACAGGTCGCATACAGAAGTCCGAGCGATGCTCTGATTCGTGGGATTTCTCCAGCCGGGACTGGATCAACTGCCGTCGGAACATCTGGGGATAGGAAACAGGGGGGATTGACCCCGCGATCTGAGAGACCTGATGGCTGAATGGGTCGAGCCGGCAGTATCCCCGATGAGAGTTGCAGGGCTCCCCGCATTTGCTGCTTATATCTTGGTACTGGTGACGGGCGCGGTGTCCTCTGGGGTTAGATTCGGACTGAGAAAGGTACCAAGCGGACAACCATTTCCAATTTCAGATTTTTGAACTCCTTCCCGGGCAAGATCTGTCCGAACATCTCGGTTTGAGGTGCAGACATGTGTCAATCTAAAATTCGATAGGCACCATTTCAAAATTATTATATGTAAGGTACCGTGTCTCACTTGTTTCCGCCATCGAGACCCCCAGCTTTCTGCCTCTTCAATTAATGTCCATAATGTTTCCTATGAAGGGGCAGATTGTATTCCTCTTGCTGCTGGAGTTCGTCTGGTCTGCGACTGTCACATATACAATCCCTGCATCTGCTCCGACAACAGCAACAGCTCTTGATCCTGCACCTCTGGGAATATCGTAAGTTCCCCATTTCCTTGGCATTGGATGAGAAAATGCTGAATTTTGAACAGTTTTGAATTCTTCGCTTTCCCTTCATACTTCTTGAACGTCACTGGGACCAATCAATGTCTAAAGAACTTGAAGGAGTTGACGGGGACATGGCCTCCGATTCGAATTGGTGGGACTACACAGTGAGTTGCTCTGGGGAAACAATTGGACATAAGCTGAATGTGAACAGAGATCGAGCCACATATGATGCGTCATCCTCAGCATATGTCACATACTCGGTGGCATCTCCACTCGACGCTCCAGCTTCGTTGACTTTTGGCCCGAAATTCATGGACCTTGCATCCACATACCTGGGAACGGTTGTCATGGGTGAGTAAACTTCAGAAAGGAGTTGAATTTAGCTGATGTCATTGTAGGTCTGAATCGTGGACACGACGACATCGCCAACACAATCGCCGCAGCAAAAGTAGCCAGCGACAAAATGAGTAACCTCCTCGCCATCGAACTAGGCAACGAACCCGAATGTAAGGGCCTCCATCCGCTTCCCAAGCCCCTCTAACAAAACAGACTACACCAGCGACAAACAACCTATCGCCCTTAACGCCGGCACCTGGACCCCCGCCACCGACGCCGAATCGCAAGATGACTGGGATATCCGCGTCGGGTCAGCCCTGCACCGAAACCTCATAATTCAAGCTGGCAACTCCAACGACTCGCCCCCGAAATGGGGGGCCGTAGAACTGATCGCCACCGAAAACAGCACCGCAAAATCCTACGTGCATGACTACGCGCATCACAACTACCCCGGCGGCACCCTCACCACTCTCATGTCGCATTCCAACATCGTTTCGAACCTCGCTATTTTCGAACCAGAGGTTGCGGCGGTGAGTGATGAGGGGAAAGAGTATGTCCTTGGGGAAACGAATAGTGTTAGTGGTGGCGGAGCAGCGACCGTCAGTCCGCTGTTTGGCGCGGCGGTTTGGACAATGGATTATATGTTAAGGGCCGCGGTCTTGGGGATCAAGAGGGTGTATTATCATCACGGGACGGTAGGGAAGTGCTTTTATTGCTTTTGGGGGAGGTACAGTATGGGTGCTCCGTACTATGGCGCGTATGCAGCTACTGCGGCTATGGCTGGTGGCTCGTCTATTGTTTCCCTCGATGAGGGGAGTACGAACTATGGTGGGTACATAGTGTCTGATAGAGATGGGACACCAATGAGGGTGTTGCTTCTTAATTCTGATTTTTACGGGGGGGGTGGATCGAGGGGCAGTCAGACTTTTGTATTGAGTGGGTTGACGGGGGGGAAGAGCAGTGCGAAGAGGTTAAGCGCGCCCAGTGCAAACTCTAGGGTTGATCAGGGTGGGAATCCAAGCTTCGGAGGGCAGATGTTTGCGAACGGGACATGTGAGGTGAGAGGGGAGGAGGTGTGGGAAATGGTTGATGTTGTGGATGGGAACGGGACGTTTGTTGTTGGTGCAAGTGAGGCACTTTTGGTGTATCTGAAATAATGATAACACAGGACCCCAGAGGCTTTGAGCTCTTCTAGCAACACAATTGGAACGAGAAGATTTCAGTTATGTGCAAATCAATAGGGTATTCGAAGGCTTGTAACTTCACTTTTGCTACGGGGCTGCTGGGGAAGCGTGCCACCAAGCGTGCCGTCACTTCAAGGCTTTGCAGTAGAAGATCGAGAGGTGGTGGAGAAAGCGAAGGACTTCAATAGTACATGCCGGACGCCGCATCTTAGGTTCGATGTCCCGCCAGGGATATGTGGGATCTTGAGGGGGTCTTCGCTATTTTTATTGGGCAGGTGGGATGTGGGAATGAGGATTGAGAACATGAGAGTGATGGAGTTATGACTGGGCTTATTGTTTGTTTATTGAACCGTTGCCGATCTTTGGGCGAGGCATGGTGTGTTGTGTGAGGGTTGAGGTTGTACAGTGTTATTCGGGGGTAGGGGGGAGGGTTCGTTGAGTCGGGCGAGCAGAGGATTTTGCTCAAGTGATCGGTCATGCACGTTTACAGGGCTGCTTTATTCAAAGTGACTTGTTAAGGGTATTTGCAAAACGGTTGTACGCTGTAGTGCAGGAATGGTGGTGGTTGGTGGTGGTTGGTCATAGGCCCGCAATTGCCACTCTACCGGATAATGACATGAAACTGACGAAGGATCAAATCCTCGTCAACCTGCCAGCATTATTGCGGAATGTTTCCTGCCACCCTTTATTCAATGCCGAGAGTGGATTTAAAGGCATCTTCTATAAAAATATCTCTGGAAAGAAGTCTCATTCAATCTGGTGCATTAGAGAGTAGCCCATGCAGCAGACAACTGCTCCTCAGCAAATCAGTAGCCATGCGAGTTATGTAGGAACCTTGATTTCTATTTTTAACACGTTTCCCTCGGTATTTGTACGCGGCGGAATTGGTCCCCATTCCTGGGGAGGAACATTCCTCCGATCTTACTACACCGCGATATATATGTTACACAAGATGATAAAAAGGTTAAAATGACCTCCACTCATCTATCGTGGTGCGTGTGTAACGTCGCTTCACATCTCGCCACGCTTACCTCTAGCTCCAGTGCCTTCCCGATTCTAGCATCTAGTAAATACGAGGTGATTATACATTGTCCGCAGACCACTTGAACAGATGATATCCACAATTTTGAAGCTGCTTCACAATATCTTCTCACACGTTTGCACCCTCCACAAGTATAACAGAACGCCCATCTTCCGTCTACTACAATGAAGCTATCCGCCGGGTCCGCCCTCATATTATCGATCCTTGCTAGCTGCGCAACAGCCTACATTGGCCAACTCTGTTCTTCTGGTGGTGTAAGCAGCCTCTTCATCTCACCTTCTTCCGTGTTCACCCATTTCTCTACTCGTTCCCGTCAACCAAGCGGAATGAAGATGAAATCCCGACTAACTCACAAGCGGCAGTCGACTGGAACCTGCGAGGAAAACTCTTGGTGCGATAGCCGTCAGGGCGTACACGACATCCACAACCTCTGTCCCAACGATCCTGATGACGTAATGTGCTGCTTCTACCCACTGTGCGACAATAATCAGGGGAGCTGTGACATCACTTCTAATGGCCAGACGTGCCATGGTACTGGTGGCCATTGGGTGACGTACGTTGTCCCTCCTAAGTTTCTGTCATCGCGAGAGATTCTAATGCATCAATCGTAGTGGATTTTGTCCAGGGCCGAACAATTATAAATGCTGCGTGTATTAGGGTTTGAAACTTTGGCTGTGAAAGGTGCTGTTTTGGCAGCAGGAGTGAAACTATCTGCGGCAATGTCAATGTGCACGTACTACTATCAATGGAAAAGTTCTTCATGTCTAAGGAATAGCCCAACGCCGTGCCTTGAATGCGTCCTGAGAATGTCCAGATTTCCCTACAACCCTAAGAAAAGCTCCCTCGAAGCCGAGATAACAAAGCACTCCAGCAGATGTGCATATATTTGAAGCTCTGTGCGAATGAGTCTACGAGGAAAGTCACTACACGAACTATGGCACACATAAATGAGGGGGCAACATTCGTGTGCTCGGAGTAAAAGACGGTCCTCGCTTAGCAAGCGAGCCCCTATCCAAACAAAGGGAATGACAAGATCTTGATCAATGGACAACCACCGAATTCAGGTGCTTTACAATAACCATCTATCAACTTTCTCAATAAATTGAGATCTACTCTGGAACTTGCTTCTCCAACACCATAGTGCTCTTGTCAACAACTTCACCTGAGTGCGACGGAGCTTTGATACAAGTGCCCTTTCTGAAGACACACCTCGCAGGGGTCGTTTCACGCACGTTCAAAAATCCAGGAGACAGAGAGCTGGAGATCGCAACGACAACTTGGTCGCCATAATAGGATTAGACACCAGAATGGATGATACTTCTGAAGACCTTTAGTATAGTCATAAGGCTAGCTCTCCACAATTCTGTCAGCGTTTTATGTTTCGGAGGCGGGTAGAGTGATTGTGCCCCCCCCGGACCAAAAGCCAATCGGTAATTCATGAAGAATCCCACTCGATTAATACCCCCCATTTAGCCAGTGAAGTAACTCAGAAGATAACTGCATGCCGTTGCAATCAGAACGGTGCTAACGGTTTGTCCAGCTGTCAGACCAATTCCAACCATACTCCTTCCGAGTGTGTAGGAACCAATACAAATTCCTGGGGTTTGAGGTTAGACTTGGCCATCTGAGGAAGGGGAGGAATGGAGACTTACTTGCTGTGGCCCAGTAGGTAAAGTTCGCCCATCCTGTGGATGTCCAGTGTTCTTGCTTGGATGATGGGATAAATGTCACCATTTTCCCGTCCTGTGGTACCCTGTGCTGCATACTGCTCCTGACGATTTTTGACCTCCAATTGCCGGAGGGTTTTTGAATGCGACCGATTGCTATTTCTTCTGGAGTATAGTGAACTTATGCAACGATCCACGGAGACAATAATTTTGGTGCAAGTTGAATATTGAAGGCTAAAAGATCTTATATTGAGTATTGAATCTACCCAGTTGAGCCAACTGATAGGAGTTCCTGCGTACCTTGCAAATTTAAACTGAACCAACTGATAGGAAAGATACCAGCTGTGGGATGCATTTACTACTGATCCCCGGCATTTGGTTTTCCAGGGCCTGTGATGTTCTGGTATTCTCACTAATTTATAATATGGTTCAACTTAAGCGATACTATGGTTCAGCTACTGGCTCTTAAAGTCTTGCCAACAGCCAATTCAAAGTATCGGGGCCTTTCAACTTGAGGCTAGAATTTCCATGCTTATAGTATTATCCTAAGATCGATTGATTTCCAGAGAATGATTGAACTCATGCAGGATGAGGTCCTGCACAACGACTTGCTCTGCGTCCTCTATCAGATTTCCAGATTAGAAATTCAGTCATAAAAGCTCACTTGACAACGTTTGGGAATTGCGGCCTATGCTGCAGATTTAGATTTGTTAGAAAGTGGTGTGGCTTCGCATCGGCGACACTAAAGAAGATTGGGCAGCAGCCCCTGACTGCCTAATTAACCCAAGCTGAACAATAATCCTTACTGTCCAGTGTGTCAAATGATTTAGCTTGATTTGATTATCGCCTCTGAATCAAATCAAATCAAGTCAAAATCTACTTAATCAAATCATAATCAAATATAATCAACTATAGTTAATTATAGTTAATTATTTAGTCACGTGACCGTATACCTACACTCGGAGATTAGAAAAGCGAGATAAGGCCAAAATAAGGCTTAGGCTAGCCCATATCCGGTATTGCTTAAGGTGCTCTTTACTAAATCGGGTATCGCGCCGCTTGGTAAGTAAAGCGGCACGAGCCGAAAGCACTAAAACCTCCTCGATTTTCTAGTAATTTCTCGCTACCTTATAAATCTTATTATTATAAGTAAAATAGCTAAAAATAGGCCCTCTTACAAGTAAGGGCTTTAATATTAGGGGATTATATCTAATTAGATGCTTATTAAAGAATTATCTGGATTCTAGAGGTTTCATATATAAATAAGTAATTTTCCTCAAGTTATTCTCTTTTCCTCTAATTTTATATATAAATATCTTAATAACTATAGCTCTAATTAAGAAGCTTTTGACTATAAACTTACTTATTTTTACTTAATATATTCGAAATTGTCTTAATAATCTTTAATTAATCTTAATATCCCTCAAAATAAAGAGGAATAAAAAAAGCAGAAAATAAGAATAAAAGATAAAGAAGAGATTTCTAAGGAAGATAACCATTTTTATGCCCGATTTAGACTAGCTTTATACCCTTATATATATTTTATAAGTTTTGTTTATATCTTATTAATATAGCTATTAGTTATTTAATAATCTTTTAAGTTACTTGAGAAATTTAAGTTTTCTAAATATTACGTGATAATTATAGTTGATTATAATTAATTATAATCATAATCAAATCAAATCAAGTCAATATCTACTGAATCAAATCATAATCAACTATAATTAACTATAGTTAATTATAATTAACTAGCCTTGATTTTTTTTTTGACACACTGTTACTGTCGAGTTTTGATTTCGCGCAGTAGTTTTGATTTCTTGACCTGTAGTGGTCATTTTCTCGGAGAAATTGACAAATTTCACCGTTTTCTTGACTAGAGACATTCAGCAGACAAAGATCTACTAGCCTGCTTCTACAATCTCGTTACCTTCCTTGAGAAAATCGACCAGGACGTTCCTCTTGAGATTTCGGAGTGTGATTCCACAGGTGGCCATTTGGAAATACTGTACGTTATCTTCTTTAACGCGGGATCGAATGACTTGCCTAGAAAATTGTTCTGGAAGAAGACTTCTTGGAGTATTGCTGTTTACTTGAAAACTACCACCACCAAGTTACTTCAACGCCAGCCCTTCGAGCCGTGTTCCGAAGGAAGTGGTCCGGTCAGCGCCATTAAGACGGCTCCTCTCCTTGCGGTTTCCTTTGCAATACACTCCGCAACAAGGATGCTTGGGTCCCAGAACTCGATTTCTGGAGAAGGGAGTTTAAGGAGAGCTGTGTATGGTTTTTGAAGTAGGAGCATACCGCTGAGGGACTTAGCTTGGGGGAGGGATGGAGGAAACGAACTGAGTTCGTAACTTGCCTGTAGCAGAGAGCAGCCTATGTGCAGAACTGAGGCTTCTTGCTTTGGCCTTCGATATCCACTGCTTGCAAGGTTCGACGTAGCTGCGCGGCTTCTTCGTTGAGGAAGTCTTTGTTTTTGGTGTAGTCTGAGACATGTTTGTATACTCGACCGAGGAGGAAAATTGCTTGTGAGAAACGAGCGAAGCGACCGAGTTTGAGACTCGATGGGGAAGAGAGGGTAGAGGTTTATTTGAGGTTAGAACCTACCTTATGAGGCAGTGCGGATCCGCAAGGGAAATACAGGACTTACGTCTTGGTCCACAAACCATCGTCTATCGGTAGAATGCTTGAATAATATGGCTCCGGAGCAGCTAGCGGTCTTGTGGGATTACCAAGGTTAACAGAACTGTTGTATGTTAGGATTAAAGTCTAATGGCTAGACTCCAAGACGTACTGATCAAGAATGAGTACAGCCCACCAAATTCTCTTTCTCTCCCCTTTTTGCTAAGCGGGAATAACCGAGAGCCCCTTTTAGCTATAGGTTAGCTTGTAACTAGCACGTGCTACAAGTCCCTAGGGGTGGATGGACCACGAAGACAGCCTCATAGGTCCAAAATATCCAGGTTAAGTTACAATAACAGCTTTGATCTAAGCTCTCCCAAAAAGTCGGCAAAGAGGTTTACTTTTGAACACTGTCACGTGACAGACCAAAACTCAGAAAGACAAAACTGTTTTGAATCGCGGCAGGCATTCAATAAGATTACGATTGTAATTCTGAGGTAAAATATTAAATGCCGTACTGAAGGCAATTGCCTTCTGCTTGATGTATACACGGATGGCCTTCCGCACTAGGAAGAGGAGGAGCGTAGCCTAGGAAACACGCCCTCGCCACTTTTCCAAGTTCCAATCACAAATTCACTGAGAGACATCCTGCTCAGACAAGTAATCCCTTGAATTAATCGAATTTGGGCCCACAATAGCCCAATAGTGTTTCTCCACCACGCCAGCACCACTGCCAATCTCTGGAAACTTCAATCCGAGGCAGTGCACTCGTCCACTCCTCATCCTCACTCTTCTCCTCCTCCAAAACACTCATCATCTCGTCCAGCACCTCTTTTTCACTTCTTCTCACCAGCGCAATTGTCCTCCTATTCCCCTCTTCGTCATCTTCTTCCGTAATACTCACAAAATCCTCCCAACTCACATCACTATGATAAACAACCAACTCCTCCAACCCCGCAAACAACTTCAAGCTCTCAACCAGCCCTTCACCTAGCCTCTTATACCGATCGTTCCCCGGATTGGTGCTCCAATGCCCCGCCACCGCCAACTTCCGGATATTCTCTGCATCGTCTTGCGCATAAGCAGCAAGAACGTCAAGAAAGAACGGCTCCCCATACACACCCCTCATATCAACGAAAGCCCCATCACCGCGAACAACGAAGATTGTGTCTTGTTCCCAATCAACCCATGTTCGCTTGAGGCCTAGTTCACTCGCGTTGAACAGGGCAGTAAAGTCCGCGTGCATGGACAGGATGTTTGTTCCTGCGAATGCAAGAGTGTAGTGCTCCAGTGCCACTCTTCGGCTCTCGCGACAGACATGTAGGGCAACTGGGGCCTTCGGGACTGATGGAACATAGTTGGAATAAACTGAGCCTTACTTGCTCATTCGCCATTCCGAGCCGAGAATTGAATCAATGGCTTGACGAAACGAGTGCTCGGCCCAGTAGGGTGTTGCGTTAAGGTGGGGATGAATGCCCTCAGCGACGGTGAAGGTCAGGCTGCAGGCGTACGACGGATGTGTTTTCATGAACGGGAGGACAGAGGCGGGATGGTTGAATGGCATTGAGGTCGAGCCGTAGTGGGGGATGATACTTAAGGTTCGAGGTGTAATTGTGTACTGCCAGATGGCGCGGCGGAGTTCTAGCGGGAGGGCTGAGAAAGAAGTGCGACGAGGGGCTGGAGGGTAGCGGTAGGACATGGATGGTACCCCAAACACTGGTCTTTGGGCATGACGATTCATGCTTTCAAAGGAACGACAGAAATGAATTCGGTGTCCTTTTCATTCGCGACGGGTTTGGAATGAATAGACTAACCTCTTGCACGGTGGTGGTGCGGTCTTCGAATCGGAGATGCGAGCCGAAAAGATGGGGGCTGGTGGAGTGGTCGGAATCAGCCTGTCACGAGGCGACTCGCTTACCTGCTTGCATTTATGACAGGGAGGTGACACCCGCGTGGCTTGTTAGGACATTGGAGGGGGCTGAAATTGAGGTTGAGAGGATGCAAAGAGGGCTTGACCATGGCGTTTAGGCAGGATTTATGGTTGGTAAGATGTGTTATACTTTCCTCCTGTCTTTTAGACTTCATACTGTCGGCATGTGGCTGCAATTGCTATGAACGACCGGAACAACGTTTGAGCCAAAGAAAATCCATTCAGTGTCCCAATCGTGCAAGTCTGCTATACAAAAACGAGAATACCCAGCAGCATTACCGGCTAAGACAGACGCTGTCACGCCTGCGCGACGAAGAGGGTGACGGAAAAAGTATTTAAATGTAAGTGGAGGCCACAAATGTATAGTCGGTCCGATCCAAAAGCGACAAAAAAAACCAAAAAAACCACCACAATACTAATTGATATAAATCGTATTAATTAAAACTATACTATATACTCTAGGAATTAATTCTATATTCTCAAAATTATAATATATGTAATTAAGCGAGCAAATATATTCGCGTTTTATATAGTCGTTTTTTTACTTTGGCTGTCACGTGACTGCCCCCCTAAGTTGACCGCTCTTCTATAATTATATCAATATCTCAATAACCACAAACCCAATCAAGTGCCCTTTTTGAATACTTCCAATAGCTACCTCTATAAGCCTTCAGAAGTAAGAGCATGCGGCATTGCTCGTCGTACACCTAAGCGAACACGTGACTACCCCTCACCAAAACCCACACTTCACCACTTCTTTCCCTACAAACTACCATTTTTCTTCTTTAATTATATAATAATAATAGAAGACTCAGACTCAGACTCAGCAATCCCAAATATTCTCTCTCTGTCCGTTCTTAAGGGCTACTAACCGAATGAGAACTAGAGAACTCCCGTTTATATTACTATTTATTTACTTTACTAGTAAAAGAAAAGCTATAGCCAAATTAGGGAGGTTACAGGCCTTACCAGAAAGGGAGAATTTGGATTATATATCGGCCGGATAAGAAGAATTACCCAGATTATATATAATCTTTATATAGGAGTAATAAAGTAAATATAATAATTTGGGAAGTAATTAGCCAGAATTAAAAGTTCCTACTTATTTTCTTAGTAAAAAAGCCAGAAAAGAAGGGGATTTATAATATAGCCTACTTGAACTAAGTATTTAATTTAGTTATTTTTTCTTAGTTTAATTTCCTAATAATAGAGTAAAATAAGAAGTTTTTATTTATAGAAAATAAGATAAAGATTTATAAGAATATAATAAAGCTATTTCGAAAGTTATATAAACTATATAGGTTTAATTAGCCTCTCTTTTCTTCTAATTTAAATCTAATTGAGAATATCTGGCAATAGATAAAAAATAAGATTATAAAGTTAGAAACTGTTTCTATTTTAATTAAGGATATAAAAAAGGTCTTATAAGAGCTATAAAGTAAAGTTAATTTAACGGAATAGTAATATTTAATAGAGAGGCTTACTTGTAAGCTAGAAGATGTAATTAATAATAAGAATATAGCTACTATATACTAAAGCCTTAATAAATCTAGTACTTTAATTATTTTGGGAATTACTTAAAGTATGGGCTAAAAAATCGCGATTTTGGTAAGGTTAGTAAAGTAAATTACATATATAACAAGTAATACCGCATACTCTTATAAGCAAGCTAATTCAACTCTTAATTCAATTACAGTTCTTACCCTAGCTAAAGAAGCTATAATCTAAGTAACTATTAATAAATAATATAAGAAACCCTCTAATATAGAGAATAATTCAGATAATTCAGATATTAAACCAAGTAATAAAATAGAGCTTAAAGATTTAATGCTTTTTTGGGTTTAGTAAAAGCTTTTTATTAGTAGTAATAAGACAATTATTTTAAAGAAGTATATAGTTATATAGTAAGATTAGAAACTTATAAAACAAACTAGTAAGTTTCTTATTTTATTTTCTTATTTTTATATTATAATATAAGTATATTAAGACTATTTCTAGCTTTTAGAGGCTTGTATAACTCTAAATTAATAAAGAAATTAGTAAAGCTATTAAGAACTTAATAATAATATATATATATAATTAGAGAATAAAAGATACTCAAATTATAAAGTAATTAAAGAAGCTATAATTCGATATTATTAGAGAACTAATTAATATCTCTAGGGATATATAATTAAGAAAAAAGTAAAGGCTTAAAAATAAAGATAATAGAACTAATAAGCTACTTTTAAATGCCTTTATTAGAAATGCTTATAAAGATAATAAAGCTCTAGATATATAAATAACTTATTAAGAAGTCCTTAATAATATAGATATTAAGCTAGCTTAAATTAAAGAACTATATACTTTATATATAATTATTAACTTATATTTATTCTAGTAATATACCTAATAGCTTCTAAAACTAGAGTAATATTAATTTAGAAGAATTAATATATTGCTTTTAGTAGCTTCTAGTAATTACTGCTTTAATAATAAAAAGATACTAGCTCGGTGAATTAGAGAGCTATTTAATTATTATTAATAGTAGTATAGTATTCTATAGAAAACTAGAGATAATAAAAGAGATAATACCTCTTATCTAAATAATAAAGATATTTTTCTAGCCTGCCGGACTTAGTTAATTAATTAAAAGCTTGAAATAATATTACTAAATAATTTCCTAAATACTATTAATTAGGAGATTTTACCTCAATTATTATTAATAATAGAAAAGCCTATTACTTATAATATAGCCTACTTGTAACGGCTGGCGTAAGGGCATGATTTGCTAAGAACAGGATATTAGAAACAGGTATAAAATAAAGCTAAGCCGGAATTACTTAGACGGAATAATACTAAAGATTAAGGCATTCTTCTTACTTTATTCTATAGCTTAGTATTTTCTAATATATGAGATTCTTTAAACTTTGAGCCTTTAACTATTATATTAATCCCGCTATTATATAATACTAAGCTTACTTGACTCGGCCTATAGAGGCAATATAATACTGCCGGCAAAGGACTCGTATTTGTTCTTGGAAAGCAAAGACAGAATACTGCTTTTAATATTTAATAACCTTCTCGAATTATAAAGAACTAGAGAGCTTAACTAGAAGCATAATATCCTCTATAACCTAGTTAACCTCGGAGCCTGACTCTTAACTAGAGCAGACAATATTCCCCTCCTAGTAGTCGGTCCTCTATTAACGTAAAAGAAGAAAGACATTATCTTCTATAACCTAGTTAATCTCGGAGCCTGATTCTTAACTAGAGTAGATAATATTCCCTTAATACTAATAAGAGTAAAAGAACTAGCCCCCTTCCCTAGTACAGGAAGAATTAGTAGTAGTCTACCGATTTAAAACAAGAAAAGATAATAGTCGGTTTTAGTTTACTAACTTAAAACTAGACAAGATAATAATCGGTTATAGTTCGCTAATATTAAATAAGAAGAACTTACTTAGTACTTATCTCTATAGCTAATACCCCTTCTAAAGCTACTATAAATAGCCTAGGACTAAGTACTACTACTATGGGTATATTAGACAAGAGGCCCTAGTATAATGAAATAGAGAAGTCGGACTTTGATATTATAAACCCATATTACCGGGAAAGCCATTATAATACTATCCCGGAAGAAGATATTAAGGAATAGCTAGCTGACTTAGAACTCAAAATTAGTATAAATACTCCGAAAACAGATAAGGCCTAGCAGAGATTACTTATACGGGATAACCTTATTAATAAATACTATCTTGCGGCTAATAAATAAGCGGAATACTACTAGAAATTCCACTTATATATTAACTAACTTACTAAGAAAGTTAATGAGCTAGAGGCAATTACTAGTCGACTTTATATAAGAAAAAGACTAGTATAAGAAGAAGTAATAAAATAGAGATCTAAATAGGTAGATATTTAGAAATATTATAGATTCCTATTAGGAGAACTATTTAGGGGCTAATACTAAGGCTCTCTCCTGCTTTTAGTTTATAGTAATTAACTATAGCTTATTAGAATTAAGGATCCTGCCCTATTTACGGGTAAGAATAATTACTAGATTAATAATTAGATATTTAATATAAGAAATAAACTAATATAGAACTTCTCTGAATTTAATAATAAACTACTGAAAATTACTTATATAATATAACTAGTTACTAGAGATACCCGTGACTTTATTTATAATTAACTAGAACCTGAATTAGTTAGATAGATCTTGACTATTAAATAGATCTTTAAGATCTTCTAGTAAGCTTATGGTAAAAGTAAAGAGATAGAGTACTAGGAAGTAAAAGAGGTATACCGGCGCCTAAGATAAAGAAATAAGCTATTCCTGGTATTCTGGGCAGAGTTTACTTACTTAATAATAAAATTAGGGAAGTCGCCAGATAACTAATATAATAACTTAATAGATAAAATAAATCTCGAGCTACTTAAGAGCTTAGGTAATAAGAAGTTTAATGCTTCCAGGGACCTTACCGAGTAGTATATGAAATAAGAGAATAGGCTTCTCTTAATTAAAAATTAGTAATTTCAGGAGAAATAACTAGTAGAGATT